AGCATTATACGCTACTCGAGACAATAGTAGGGATCATGATAAATGGACAATATTACTAAATAATTCTACAGCCTGTTTTGGAAATAAAAGAGAAGTAGCCAACGGTATCGGCATTTATGCATATGAATATATTTTACACGGACAATTGAATATTGTCAAATAATTTTCGTTAAATAATTTTGCGGCCCGCTTGAAAAATGAAAATAAAGCAGCTGATGACGGTATCGCGTTTGTAGACTGATGAATATCTCTTATTCAGATGACTGAATATCAAAAGAGAATCATTCGGTATTTTAAATCTCGTATGTAATGCAGGCTATCGATCAAGTAATCCCCTAATTGTTTCGAGCAATGTATTTTATTCAACGTCACAAACACACACATGCAAGAATTTATTTGCAATTCGCATTGACTCGAACGATATTTTATCTAGTCCTACATCCGTCATGCGGAATTTTGTTTCTCTTTTTATTTTGTATTTACTCACCGAAACGACTTGCAGTCAGAGCCGGCCGCGTTCCGCTTCAACTCTGTAACAAAAAATTCACATTCGCTCATTAAATTTGACCAACAAGTGCGGGCGAGTAAAAGAATAGTTTACTCTCTGCGATCGTAATTCAAGTCGAGCCGGAAATTATATCCCAGCTCTAGATCGCCAAGGGTCAAACAGAGGACTATAGTAAACTTGTAAACTTACCTTCAAGCCGACTCTGCTTGGCCCGAATCGGATCCTCCGATGCGGCATCCGCGTCCACCGGATTGCTGTTGCTTTCCGCAACAACTGAAACAGAAAAATAATTTTCCCGGTTAATAACCTGCGGTAGAGAGAGAATATCTTTGATCGGGACGAATCGAAAATACGGAAATATTTTGATAAGGAATTTTTATCTTTATATTTTTGTTCCAACATTGAAAATTTAAATGAGACTTGAAGCTTTCAAGAGAGCTGATGAGGACCAAGTTGCAAAGGCAAACATTGTAAAGAGTTGAACACAGATGTGTAAGAAACTTGTAAACTTTACCTTCCGGCCGATCCTGCTCTGCCCGAACCGGATCCTCCGGTGCGGCATCCGCGTCCGCCGGACTTGCTTCCCGCAATATCTGAAACAAAAGTTTAGCATTCCTGGTTGATAAGCTGCGGTAGAGAAAGAATGTATGGTCGGGATGAGTGGAGAATATTCGCTACGGTTTTCTTTTCTTCATTGACATTGAAAGTCTAAATAGGACTTGAAGCTCTTGAAAGAGCTGACGCAAAAAATGACAACAAGAAGCGGAGACAACAGTTGTGTGCTCTCGAAAATATTCTTTTACGAATGAACATTTAAATCTAGATCCCGTAAGGAGAGTAAACAGACTTGAAAGAAGCGCTGACCGAAAACAAAAAAGGTCATAGTCTAAGAAGCGGTATGACGTTGAATATTCTACACATGACCGGTATACTCACACAGTTGGGAATTATTCAGAATATTTGATCTCAATCAATCATGATGAATTAGAGATCCGCGTTCATGGATCGTTATCCATCTCTGTCTGGATCAATATATCTTGTATATGCTACGGTTAAAGTGATAAATTGTTTATTATGCATAACCAACAGCTTTGGTTAATGTAATAAAATACATGCAATTTATCACTTTAACCGGTTATTTTACATAACCAAACTTTATTGGTTAAAGTGATAAATGATATTTAGAAAATGATTTTGGAGAAACTTTTGAAAACCATTTATGTCCAATTGTCATGAATACTGGCAAAAATACTCCAAACGATATCAAAATGTTACAAAGTTATGAACAATTAAACCTACGCGTAAGTTGCAAGTGCGTTTTATGTCGCGCGCTGCGCGCACGATTGTTGAAACCTACGCGTAAGTTAAAAGTGCGTCAGCTGCACGAGTGGTTATTAAAACTCACGCGTAATTGAGCGCGCACAGCGCGCGATGCAAAATGCACTTGCAACTTACGCGTGGATTTTAATAATTGCGCGTGTAGCTTATGCGTTTTTAACTTACGCGTGGGTTTTAATTACAAAAATATGAATAATATATCAAATTAACCAAAGCTGTTGATTATTATGCATAATAATCGGTTATTATGCATAACTGGATTTATCACTTTAACTGTAATATATACAACAATGCAATAAATAAACAGACAGAGATTGACGAGAGTAATTGCAAATTCATAAATTATCTATGATTACTAATCGGATGATGACGGATCGTGAATGCCGAGCGCGAAATTCCGACTTCTTATTCCCGGAAAATTCATCAAAGGTCCGCTCTCGTTATCGGAGACCTCCCGCATAATAAATGATTCCACATACCTGGAAACGTGACGTATCACTCCCGGCGTCCTGCTTCCCGGCTGCTGGAGTCCTTCGGATTTCACTCGCTCACGCTTCTGCCGATACTCGCGATTCGACCATGCAGTTAATCAACGCGATGCCGACGCGATGTCGATTGAGTATCTCGAGGACCGACGAGATACCATTTCTTTTAATTACGCGAGACGGAAATGACGAGCGCGTCGCGCACGGCTGCTGCTGATGGAAGAAAGTCGAGTACGCGAGGTGCGCAACTATTAATACGAACGACAAAAAGTGTCGTCGCTCGCGAGCCAATCAACACAATCGGCGCGATGTAAACATTGCGGGCCTCGGCGGCAGTTGAAGCAAGAGAGACTTGCCCTTGGGTGTCTTTTCTTTTCTCGAGTGTTTCGGAACGACGAAGGGAATGCGAGGAGGCCTTTCAACTATACGCGACATTGATTTACTCTATTTATTGATTACTGAAAATAAAGAAACTTACTCTGTCGAAGCATTGGACATTTGTTAGCTTTATGTTAATTAAAGAGGAATGTGTACGATTATAAAATGTGTTAGCAACTAATTGTACAGAGTGTCAAAGTTGTTGTGACGCCGTTTCCGGAGAATAATTAAAGGTCATGGTAACGTTAAAGAGTGAAATTTCATCCCATGCGAATTTTGTCTCGTTCTTATTAAATGTTAGTTCTGTATAAAATGTCGTATTTAAAAGTATTGTTTCGCATTCACGAGATTTTGTCGTGAATTCTGCTTTGCGGGAATCTCAGATTGGATCGCGGACCAATACTTTTCAATGCGACGGCGAATAGAACGTGAAAATCTTGTATGCCTCTGAATCCGAAAACGATTAGGAGAAATGAATATTTTTCAATACGAAAGTTCGCATTTAAAAATTATCGATTGCGATTGAATACAAGGCATATTTGAAACGAATTGAATCCTTATTAATGCGAAGCATTCACTACTGCCATCTCGCATTTAGCCCGGTGAAAATTTAGTGGGAACTAATACTTTTTAGTCCCTTTCTTCGGATCAGAAAGCAGAATTCAGACGTATTCAAAATGTCAATACTTTTTAATGTTTCAGTTCGACATTTTATACAGGGAGATTATCCGCTGCGGACAATAACTCTTCTACTTTTCATCTAATATTCAATGATGATAAATAACATTAAATTGCAATCGTTTGACTTTTCTTATTTCGAAAATAAAAAAATATATACCAGGGTGAGATTTCACCCATGACAACATCAGCGTGATTTTCTTTGATGCTTTTTTTAAAAGTTCAAATATTTCGTCGATTCGCGGGATGTTTCTAATCGGAATCTCGTCGTGTTAATTAACACGTGCTCCTCCGAGCGGATCGAATACTCACCGACGGCCACTGTCAGTGTCACGAGCGAATGTCCGGAGCGGACAGGATACTAAATTGAGAAGCAGGACGAAGGGAACGGGACGCGGACAACGATATATCATGCGTCTGCAGACATGTCAAATCGTTTATTATAGAGGAGATTTTGATACAGCAACATGTATTCGAAGATTTAACATTTAATACGTACTTTTATTTTTTCTTTCTGCTCCTCCCCTCTACCCCCGCTCTTTTTAGACTACCAGGCATAGTCTGATATAGAGATGGCAAGAGATGGTGGTTGCAGCACGGAGATAAACCGCCTGAAAATGGATGTAGCACGGACTTCCACCACATGCAGATTTTACCACCGAGACCTGAAAGTGGATGTACCATCATAGTTCCCCTCTCAAAATGGATGCGTCCTTTCCCAGTGCGGAAAGTCGATGTCGCAGAAAATGTCGTGTTGGCCGCTCTCAGGTTCCTCTCTGATATGAGTGAAGATATTTGGATAAATTTAGTCGAGACTCAAACCACAGTTTATCGACCTCCATAAAATTTAGCCAAGATTCAATCCACAGTTTACCGACCGCCATAAAATTTAGCTAAGAACCACAGTTACTAAATTGAAATTTCGTATATTTCCCCAATATTGCGCTTTTGTATTAGAAGATTGTAATATTTAGCCAAGACTTCAACCATAATTATTAAATTGTTAGTTAATTCTTAAATATGCGTCTTATTAATATCCTTTGGTTTTTCAATTACAGAGAAGAAAACATTAACGAGGGAGTCGTACGAATCATCGAAGTAGTCACAGGAATACGCCAAGAAACAAATACACATCTATTATGCTATATACAAGGTATATAAAAAATAATACCAAGACGGCGAAATATTTCGAAAACTAAGCATTTTAGAAAAAAATGTTTCAGACAAAAGATATATGATTTCAAGGGAGACATAAAACAACTATATCATTTTGTTTATAGATGACGCAACCGAAACTTCCGAGATTCGATGATCATTATTTTTCTTAATCGGAAACCGTAATTTTTTATTATATCTTCTTTTTCTACCAATTAATTTTAACAACTTTTATCTGAAACATTTTTATTTGTCCAATATTTTTTGAAATATCGTAAGTTAAATAGTGAAAAAATTATTAAATTTCCCTTGAGTATCTCAAAAAATATTAGGCAAATAAAAAAATATTTCATACAAAAGTTGTTCAAATTAATTAGTAGAGAAAGATGATATAATAAAAAATTATGATTTCCATTTAAGAAAAATAATGATCATTGAATATCTCGAAAGTGGTGCCATCTATAAATAAAATAATATAGTTGTTTTATGTTTCCCTTGAAACCATGCAACTCTTGTTTGAAACATTTTTTTCTAAAATGTTTAGTTTTCGAAATATTTAGTCGTCCCGGTACTTTTTATACATTCTGTATAACTATTGCAAAATTATCTACTAATTTGCGTACTAAACTCTACATTAACGAATCGGCTATCACCTATTGCCAGTCGACTTATCGCACTTACAGAGCAAGACGTACTTCTATACGCTTCCGGATCGTCGAAGTAGCTACACGAATAAGCTGAGAAATCATTATTATTTATTCTTACCTATTCACTCCAAATGTGCATTTATCTATCATGTAAAATTACCTATTGCAAAATTACCTATGCTTGCTTGCTAAACTCTACATTAACGAACTAGCCACCATCTATTACCATTCTCGCACTTACAAAGCAGGACGTACTTGTACGCACTTCTATACTCGGAGCTCATCACGACGTAAATGATGGGATTGATGCAGGTAGTCAAGTAGATGAGTATATAACCAGTAATGTTGAGACCACGCCAATCGACCATGTCGTGAAAGAGTTTAGTGATGGTGATTGGCAAATAACATACCAGGAAGGATAAAAATATCACGAGGATCATCTGTAATACTTTCCGGTCCTTGTCGGACATCCTGGGCACGGCCTCGCCATTGCGTATTCTACTGACAACAGTGCGGAACTTCGACTCCCTGCGGATCGCTTGCCTCTTGAAGGATTGTTCGGGCGAGTGCGAGCGTGAGCCCACGAATGTCTCCAAATGATTCAGTTGATCGTCGTCGGCAACACCGCGTGCCCACAGCGACGACTCCATGATGAAAGAAGCTCGGCTGGTCATTCTGTTCAGCTGGTTGCAGTAGCCCTTTGAGGACCTTCGCTGTGGCTTGTCCCGGCTTTGGTTCTTATTCAGGAACCGCTTAGCCTTTACAGAGACATCCGGCTCGTCCGCGAACGGAATATCCTCCGCAGTGATCGTCAGACTCCCGTGGAAAGTATCATAGCTATTGCTGCGATTCGAATCCAAGCGAACGTTATTGCTCATTGTCGCTCTGTTTACGTGCAATGTTGTTGTGCAATTCGTTTGTAATTCATCATCGAGCAGCTGCTTGGAACAGGACGAATCCTCGTCGACCTCTTCTTCCAGACCGCTGACGAGATAAGTTGCTGGCATCGGGATGGGGGATGTACAGAAAACGGAGAGCTCTTCCTCTTGATTTCTCGTGGAGGAGGATCGTTGCTGTGGACATGGTTAATGATTGAAATATGAAGGAGATTAAGAGGATGACTGAAAACTTTTCCGATAGTACATTAAAACTTTTTACAAAGTTCATGTTTTATCGGTTATACAAAATTTAAAATGTTTTTACACGGTGAAAGCATGAGTAAAAATAACGAGCATTGTTCAAGATGTAACAAAAACGAAAAAAATTTTTAAATTGACATTAATTTGTCAGTTAGCATAAGTATTTTTCTGATGTAAAAATTCAACAGTTTATATATACACTGTTTGCTTTCCACTCAGGAAAATTTCAAAAAACATTTCTGTGCTTTTATAATTTAATTTCTAAAAGTCTAAATTTTAGGAGGAGAATTGAATCTGATTCAGGAAGAGATCTCATAGATTTTACCTCATTATTAATCTCTGTAAGTTCCACGTTAACGATCCTGTTTCCGCCTCTACTCTTCAAGGAACTTTTACGAACGATATAGAAAATCCGGGCGTAGCACACGATAATAGCAAGGCATGGTATTAGAAACGCGAGAACGAAGAGGAAGATTTTCGGGCTATGTCCATTCACGTCGGGCAAGATCGAACAGGAACCGATAGCAGTATCTAATCCGAAACGTCCCCATCGTTCGAACCATGTAACGACTAGCAGGCCGAAAGAAAAGATCCATATCGCCAGAACCATCGGCATTAAGTACTTCGTTTTATATAATCTGAAAATCACATTCGACGAACGCTAAATATAAGCTGAAAGTTCAAAATTTAATTACGTCATTTGAGGTTTGTTTGATCTTTTAAAAGCTAAATATACTTCAACTTGCACTTAATATTGTTCGTTAAATATAATTCTTTTTTACTACCCTGGACAATGATCTTTGCAAAATAAATGGAAAGGCAAAGTTCAATATTTTAACTTTCTAAAAATTAAATCATGAACTTTGAACAAATTAATCGTTAAATTTCATTTTTATTTATACTATAAAGATTTTCTTTCTTTAATCTCTTAATTGTTATCGCTATTTTCGTACGATAATTTCTTACGTGAGATGGATACTATATAAATAATAGAGAAATGAAATTGTATTTTATACAGAAAAACCACTTACGTAGAATAGAGATGAGGGTGGCCGATCAATACGTAGCGATTGATCGTGATCGCGAGAACCGAGAAGAGGCTGACTGCAACGAGACCATATCTCAACAGCGGAAACAGTCGACACAGAAGTGATCCATGAAGCCATGCACGGTGCCAGAACGTCGAAGTTGCGAGCGGTAGATTGAAGCAGCAGAACATTAGGTCGGATAACGAGAGATTCATTATGAAAATAGCTGTAGAGTTCCACAGCTGCAACAAAGGCAATATTGCTGAGCAATTTCGTAAGATCACGAAATGCCAATAATATAATTAATAATATAATACGATATAATTAATAATAATATAATTAATAATATAATACGATAATTATAAAAATTACGAATATATTTTCAGATATGAAAAATATTCAGCGTCATAACTGATAAGAATGATCGTCTCATCAAAATGTATTCTACCTTGACAATATCATTTTACAAGAACCGACAAATTTAAAAAAGAAAAAATCGGTGCTTCCTCGATAAAAATATTGAAGTTCAGTATGAAAACGGCTCGGCTTACTTTATCCAACAAATTACATTAAATACTGATTAATGAATTTACGGAACGGTCGGTACGGAATAATGTCTCTCGTGAATTTCTCGCGGCAAACGTACGCGGCGGAACATCTCGACCTGCAAGACTTCCTGATTTAATTCCAGCTGGTTGGTTACAACAGAGAACGGAGTACGTGAACTTTCGTGAAAACACGCGATTGTGTATGCACACGGTTCTGCGTAATCGATTCCAAACTTAACTCATTGATGATCAACTACGTCCAAGAGAGCGATTCGTTTGTTGCAGAATCGTGCCGACGACCTGACTCACGGCGCCGCGCGACGGTGATTCCGCGCGCCGTCGAGAATATATTTCGGCTGGAAAATCCTTCGCGCGGTTTAACGGCCTTGCTCATTGTTGCCGGGACACTTTGTGCAGCTAAAGTGAAGCATAATGGAGCTCGAGGTAAACCACTCTCGGGCTGCCGTCAAGATTTCTGCGTACCGGAAACTCGAGCGGCCGCTGTGTCTTGCGTAACGAATCCATTACGATGTACTTAAGCCCTTGCGAGTCACGAGAATTGCCGCGAATAACGCAAAACCGCACTGCTGGGCCTCCGACAAAAGCACCTACGCACATTTCGTGCGTTTGCCGTGACGAGCACTTCAGGAGGATTGACGAGGAAATTCAAGGCACCGATATTTACACTCGTGACATCATCTGATCGACGCGTTTAATATTGCAGCTAACTTGAATAATTTGAGATACGTAACTTGAGCTACATAACTCAAATCGACTTATTTTCTGTAACTACCTTCTGTCCTGACACTTATTCAACGTTTAACGCACCGTTAAACGCGCGGACGAAGCAGTAGTTATGTTATTTACCGACCTTCTGGGTGCGAAATAACGCGACCACCGTGATAAGGTTTCCCGGGATGCCAAGCAGCATGAAAAGGATGCAGCAGGCTGCGGCGAAGTACAACAACCATTGCGGATAGTCGACGAAGAGGGTCACCAGTCCGGGATCTTGCAGCACATCATCGATCACCACGTCACTGTCATTCCACCCGGTCCCATTGCTCGCCATCCACCAGTACTCCAACATCTGCAAAAAGCAAGACTCTTGTTGGGCATGTTATAAATCTCGTCAGGGCTACAAGGGGCTACGTCAGGAGTACAACTAGGATTGGTCCAGGTAAAATATAAAAAAAAATTACTTGAACTCGCGTTTCTTGCGAAGTTTCTTCTTTGTTTTCGCAAGCGCTCCGCAAACACTTCAGTACACTATATCAGGGAAAGAAGTAACCTGCTTCTCGGTGTGCCAAGCCATTCTTCTCCTTAATGAAGCGGGTTAAAATGTTTACGAAACGTTGGAAACAAATCGACGAAAAACGCGACTCCGAGCCAGAAGCCACCGAGCAAGTCTAGGTAGGATCAAGATATCTCTTCTCGCAGGGAAGAAAGCGCGGAGTAATTCTGCATTCGCGAAATAATAATCGCGAGTCACGCTCGGCACTTTCGAAAGAATGTTTACTTTGCGAACTTGCATCGAGAATGAAGTCGCGATTTCCGCAAAACACGTTATAAATGGAGTTCGCGAAATGCAAACTGGCATCTCTGTCTGACATGATCGACAACTATTATCCTTGTAAAATCGCGAAATCAAACCAAATGTTTCTACGTTATGTTTCTACGTTACGTTTGCGGAAACCTGGTTTCAATTCAGAAGGTTTGCAGTCGCGGCTTATTAATAATGATCCTTTTTGACAGAAACAAACGTTTCAAGACGCTCTCTTATCAGCAGCTGTTGACATCAATCGGATTTCCGTCCTTTCCCTATCGCGAGATAATACAACAAAGAAAAAAATATACAAAATAAGTGTAAAAATACATATAAAATATATGAAAAATATCGCTTTGTAATAAAAAAAAGGACGGAAATTCGGCCGGTAAAACGAAGAAGTAGCGGTATCATCAAGAGATCTCTTCTCGTCCATGTTATCTCGCAATATAAACTTTCGACGTCTATTCCCATCCGACAGCTAATTTGCTGTCTTTTATTCAAGCACGTTTCCTCGCGTCGACGTGAACGGCGCGAATTTTATGCACGAGCGACTGCATTTACGCGCGTCTGCATGTGTATACGCCTGTCGCAGGCCGCAGTCTCTTTTTTCGGCGCAACGTCCAAGAGGAAGAAGAGAGAGATCTATTTTCGCCGCCCGAGACGGTAAACTCTTTCGCCGGAGCGTAAACTCTCGGGCGTTTCTATGGTCGACCATCGCTGGTCAGCTCACACGGTCCGCCAACCATTATCGGCAAGCCGCTTGAGATGCATGATAAAATTAAGATGCACCTAAAAAATATTCCGTTATATTTGACCTGTCAACTGTTGTCTAATAAGAAAATAAGATCGCTTCTTTCTCCTGAATGCGTTTCTCGCGTTTACTCCAAAGGGACGAAGATAGATGCATGTTTAGACAATAGGAGAGATGTACGAAGAGAAGCGAGAAACGAAGCTGAGAAGAAATTCTGCTCTATCTTGAAGAAGGGAATCTGTTCCAGACGACAGCTGCGATAAGAGCGCGCTTACCTTCGCGAAAACAAATAACGAAAGTGAGACGTTTCCGATTCACCGCCGATTATCGCGCGACATCGAAGCTGTCGTAGAGATCTGTCCTCGCTGTTTCAGATAGTACGACGACGCTCCTTATATCCTCCGACTTGTTCCTCTTCTTGGAAACTTTCATCTTGACCTTGATATCGCGCAGCTCAACTTCTCCCGCGGAGATTTACGAGACGTTCCCGCGTCTCCGTTACGATTCTTGCGCCACACTCGTATCTACGAATTCGTTTATAAGATAAATTAACATACAACATATATCGCATATAACAGGCAAAATAACATTGTCGCAATGATTGATTACAACCTACTCGAGTTCGTCGCAAGAAATTAGCGGCGAGAGGAAGGGACGCCGGGAGACGAATTAAGCGGAATCGTCGTCGCGACAGGAGACGCGATGGTTCCCGCGAAATTCGCGAATAGACTGGCGGAATTGTTCGCAAGAATCGCGCACAAGAGAGCGCGCTCAAGAATCGCGCACAAACACTTTTCGGTGAGACGCCGCGCCTGCGCGGCCAAATCGCGACTCCTTTCCTTCTCCTCGCGGGATTTTTCGCCCGCGAGATCGAAATCTTCCGTCGAGGGGGAGCTATCGTAATCGGAGAGGATCACCTTCGCCGCGCGAGAAGCATCGTCATCTCGTCACGCGGAGCATCCTGCCTGTCCGCCATTAATTACCGCATCCTGCGTGTCGCGATTATTGCTGTTATTATTATTATTATTATTGTTATATGCGCACGATCGAGTTACGCGTGAATCAGGTCGTCGCATGCGATATCATCAGTGCGATAGCGAAAGTGTTGAACGGTGTCAGCCGCGGCCCCACGTCGACCCATCGTCGATATGGGCACTTACGGTTGGAGCACCTACGTCTGATGATCCAGGGGAGTGTCGTCCCCTGGAAAACGTAGCGAGAGCGCAGCGCGCGCGCGCCCCTACATCCTTTTTAAAAATAATTGCATTTCGTTAGCGGAGCACTCGCCACGCGAGGGGGAGAGTCTCCAGCTGCGCGCGAACGCCCGCGAGCGGAAGCGAGCGGACGACCCGGTCGGAAGCTGGTTTCCCCGGTTCTCTTCTCGTCGCGCTCGCCGTCCGCGATGGTACGGAAGAGTTTCGAGTCGGGATCTCCGCGGCCAAAGTCGCGAGAGAACGCAAGGCAAGACGATTTTCATTGTCACCGTTTCGGTATCTGCGAGCGGAAGAGCATCCGGCCGATATAGGACGTGAGTGTATTTAATATCTATTATTTAATACACACATTGTTCCACGATGATGCATTCGGCGCGCCGATAATAGCGATCCGTATAACGTAGGGATTTGAAACAGTAACGATTGCGATTTTGGAAGTCGTCTCACATGAGACACGCGGATTTCAGTTTAGAGTCATGTCCCGGTTTTTAATCGATTTTTGAGATATACACAGATCAACATAACAGTATGAACGTCTGATGTAGAGTAGTGAGATTTTTGTAATTTTTGTAATCATACACGCGTTATTGATTTATTATTTATTGATTGTTCAAAGAAACGTGAAGAAAAGGCGTTCGAAACTGAGAAACTGAAGTCTGACTAACTCCAAAGTCAAATTCGAGCGCCTCACGTGAATGTCAAGTCACACTTGTTGACACGAATCCTACCCGTCCGGGAGATCCTATCCTAGGTAATTGAATCCCGGACGTTCGGCCGGCGCTCTCGATGCGAGTCGCCTCTGCGTGTGTATGTGTGTGTGTATATACGATGCATGAATCCAGCGAGGTTTCGATTCAGCCACTCCGGTTAATGCGCGCTTGGTTCCACTTCGTTGAATCTAATTCACTCTCGACTTCCCATATCTTCGATTGCTTGCGTAATTACACCGTGCCGCAACATTAAGAACGATCTAATCAACAACCGCGTGCGACAGGCCACGCGGTTGCTCACAAGCTCTCGAGCACAAGTCCCTCCTATGCGAATTATTGCCGTCGCTTATTATCGGTCGCAGCTGATTTTTCGCAGCGATAGACAGTCCATCGTACGTTTAGCGCGTTTTTATCGGAGTAGAATCAATTAAACTTAATCTTCAAAAAACTATCGTCTGTTATTTCTATATCAGATTTTACTCTCTCGTCGGAATTGCAGCCGATTATTCAGCAGAGGCGACCGCGCGATCTTAATTATTATCTCAGTCATTCGAAGAAAGTCTCGAAAAACGACCGACCGGTCGCTTGTTCCCCGATTATGTGCAAACATCGAATTCAGTATGAATACTGAATCGGAGCGTGTTAATTAATCCGAGAGGGGTATATTTACTTTCGACAAAGGGAAAGTTATGGCACTTCGGGTCATTCGATTGGACTCCCCACCATTCGGCTCACACGAGCTCGCTTGCTCATGTCGTGTAAATACATTGACACTTTACAATACACTCGATCTCAACGCGGTTTGATCATTTTTCTTTCTCGATACGCAGTACGGAGGGCACAGCCGACAGCCCAATGGGATAATTTGGGCTTCTAGGAATTAATTAAAAGCAAGTTTCTTCATTGGAGCCTCAACCGCAACCGGAGCTGCATAAAAAACGAGAAACGTTTCGCAACTGGATTTACATATAGCGGACTTTTGCGAAAATGCCACTTCACTTCCTCGCAAACGTCATTGTTACAATTCGAGCTCGTGTAATACCGGATTTATCCGAAGAGACCGCGACGGGATCGCCCAAAGCGCCGTAACATTTCCCCTAGCTGCTTAACTAGAGATTATCCTGTATCGTGGAACGTTCCGCCCAGGACGTTCATACATGAGGAAACGACGAAGAAACTCGCAACTCGTGTTGCAACGTCCCGTGACACGCACCGCGCTTGAGGAAAAGGAGCAGCTCGATGTGTCAAAGCTGAAGGGTCAGCTGGGTCCGCCTCGAGCGCGCAGATGTGCACAACACTCGTTACGTTCGTCGTCGAGCCCGCGCCGAGTCGCGCCGCCCCCGTCCCCTCCCACGGCCGCCCACCCGGTCCGCGGGGCCCGTATCTAGCCCGCGTGTATACAATCTGACGGAATGCTTGGGTTAGCAGTCCATCCACGGTGACGGTGACGCTGACGCACACGCACGGTGCCGGCGACAACTCTCGCGCGCCGTTGGTCCCGACACTCTCGCTGGTCCCCGAAGATCGATTTGGTCGCGCAGTCGAAATCGTGAGCTGCCGCGAAAGAGTCACGCGATCGCTGTCCGAGACGAGGGACTCTTCTTACAAACGTGAATACGACATCACAATCTTTGAAGACGTCGAGAAGAAAACGTGGCGACTATCAACCGGGTGACTGTCGCTTATCATTCCGCCGTCTCTCCCTATGACTGACGGCATTCGAAATAAATGAAGAGACACGCAGTGCGCTGAGAGGATACAGGTGCTTCTTGTATTATGACTGATAGATCGCGGCGGCGGGAAGACCGCAGCGATATATCGATCGATCAACGGCTCTCGAGAGCGAGAGAGGAGAGTGAGTGAGAAGCGCGATTACCTTCGGGCGAGGTTGCTTCAATGCGCAGTGAAACTGAAGAAAGAAGAATCAGAGGGAAAATTAGGAAGTGATTAGGAAAACATTATCTCGACATTTGTCAGTCGACAAGAATATCAGGGAAGATATTTCCCCACGCTCGTTAAAGATAAAGGACGAACGAGAAGGACTGTTGAATCTCCCGGAGTTTAGTGTTCATTCTGACACGCCACCGGCAACTTCGACTTCTTCCTTCACAAAGTCATACACGAGGATTACACTGAAAAGAAGAGCGTCATTGGATCAATTATCCTCATTATACTTTTCAATAGAAACGGAAGTCGCGTGGTTTTCCTCGTGCCTTTGCGGTTACCTGTTAGGCGGATCATTTTATGGCCATATTGAAGTGAGAAGAGTATACAGAAGTGGTAAGTGACAGTTATCACATTTTTAATTATCACTTTCATGTAAAAAAAATTATTTTTCTTTCTTCAATTTAACCGCGTTAATTTATCTCTGTGAAATGTCGTTGATTTTTCAATGGAATTCTCGTCAGAAACTCATCGCTCGAATTTTTCTCAGAAAAAAAAAGAGTATGCCAGAAGAGAGGAAGATGAGATGACTATTCAAATATTTGCAGTTGATTAATTCTCTGGAAAAGATCATTCCATTTAATCGCAATCGCATTCGATTTTCCGCTTGAATCACACGAAACCTCCTGACCTCGAGAGCGACATTGGTCTTTGCGATCCTGAGAGACCAATGCCGAGAAACAAAAAAGCGCAGCGAGCCGGATGGTCTCGATGAGCATTTTTAGCTTGGTGACAACTTCGCTTTCTCTCTCTCTCTTTCTGTCTGTCTGTCTGTCTTCCTCTCGACGAGAAATTACTTACGATAGATTAAAATTTCTATCGAATGTGAGGATGCACGGTCGCGTGAAAATTCACGAAAAGTTTCGTCTCCAACGAGTCAAAGTGGTCGCGGTTTTTTACGCTATGCAGACGTGTTTAGAGCTAAATGCATTCGGCACGGCACATGTTTTGTGCCGTGCACACACAGGCGCTCGACAGCACGTGGTGCTCTCATGGGCGGGGTACGAGAGTTGTCGCGGTCCGATCGACTTTCGACATTCTACGCTGATTCTGCACCCGACTCGCATGCACCGCATGTTTCGCACGCTCAGTGCACTCGTTCGCTCGCGTTACGGAGAGATGTTCGTCGCACGCTCTGAGAAAAATATACCAAAAGGATGAGTCGGACTTCTCGAAGACCGCGATTGCGCGTGCATGATGTCTCGATCGGCAGAGCAAGCATTGAATGATCTCACTAGCGACGTTGATGTTTCTCGAATGAAACGGATCAATGACGACGATGTAAATTTCATCGTAAGGATTTCCGGACGCTTTCTGAAAATCCCCTTCACTCGCCCCGATCGACCTACAAAAATAAACGCACGACATTAGACGCGCTTCTTGACCGAAGGTGCAATGAGACGCGAATCGGACTCGCACTAGGTACTTTCACCGTGACTCAACTTGACTCATTCATTGCTGTTGGTTGCGTGATTAACTCGGAAATCATTCGATGACGTCAGTTTGGCTCGTCGTCGTAGTCGTCGTCGTGACTTCCACGGAATGAAAAATAATGTTTGCGGTTTCGCGTTGCGCCTGCAGGAGGACGGATTAGGTTCGCTTATCGACGCGCTAACGCCTAAAAGTCAAACATAACGTGAATAACTCACTGTGAACGTGCCGACCAACGTCTTATCTTTTGAAGAACGACGATCTTGTCAATATGAAAGTAGCATTAAAAAATTACACAAATACGAGCGCAGAGTGATCTCGGTAATAAATAATACTCCCAGACGACAGAAATTCCCAAGAAACGTCCTAAAAACGTCTTTTAGATATTTGTGCCGTCTGTGGGATTCCTCGCGATCCGACAGAATAACCGTGTGTGTCGTTTGAAAACGAAACAGGACAACGATGTGAGCGACGCGCGCTGCCGCGTGTTCCCATGTCTTTTGCAGCTTCCATCGCTTTTTTTGTCACAGGGGGACGCCTAGTACCGGGTGTCTGTTAATTTCCCTTAATTAAGCTCAATCGGGGTTAATGCACCGCAGCTTGACCCCAGTTTACCAAATCCGTCCCGCACCCTCCGCAGCCATCCGCCCGCGCGGTCGCGATAGCCGATCGATAAGTGAAAATTCGCTAATAACAATCCTTCGTGAAAATCCTTCATCAAAATACTGTGAATATTTCAGTGCTATTTGTTCTCCATGCGTAATGACGAGTGGCTCTCGAAAAAGAGGAAGAGAAAAAGAGAAAAATCGTGATGCGACCTCTGTCCTTTTGCCCTCCTCATTACCTTTCATCGACCTCGAGTGGCCGTCATCAGTAGCTGGGCGCGTTGAAAGATGTTGAAATTAACGCGCGGTATCGTTCATCGCGCGTCTCGCATTATTCTCCGTGAATCCTCCAGACGACCCACTTCCGCCGCATAAGTGAAGGCGCCCTTCGTCAGTGCTTTTCGGGTCCCATAAATAATAATGGACTCCCGCGTGTGCTCCTTTACACCTCTCGCGATTAATGCTCGTTCCCTCGTCGTTCATTGTCTATGGAGAGATTGGGAATTATTTTAATACGCCACGCGCCGGAAAAAATTTGCATACCGTAAATCTCGACGTCCGTCCCACGCGCGTGCTCGTCGGATTATTGCTCGCTCAAAGTTAACAATTTTAGACGTGACGTGCGAGATAAATAAGCCGCGCGCGGGAGACACACACCAGCATTAGATTAGCCTATATATGCGATTGTTGTTCCTGATAATTTAAAATAAGCCATGAAGTATCAAAGTTCTAGGATAAAAGTTTGAGCTTATCGAGCTTATTTTTCCGGGGCGATGCTAATGACCCTAAATGATTTTAATCTTCCGAAATGTTCGAAAAATTATGCCGATCATTAGTCCGTCGTTATAACTGTCGTTAAAATTTACATTAAGTTTCGACTAAAGACAAGAAACCAAGTTACAAGAAATTTAAATTTAACATAAATTTAAATTAACTTAAATTTAAATTACCAGACGTGTCTCTTCCAAGCTGATGTTCGTAATTCTTAATAGCTTCAACTTTCTAACAAATTCGAGAGATTCCATCGTCGACGACTGTCGGTTTGTCGTTCAAACCGTCAGACAATTTGACAGACCAGCCCATGGTTCCCTGTTGCAATTGCAGGAAATAGTTTTTGACACAAGCGCGTTCGCATCCGTTTTGCGTCAGATCACTTGAACCGTGTGTACCGGGATTTTAGATCGCGGTTTCCTCTTCGTGGGAATTCCATGTCCCTGCGCTGGCGATAATGCGATCCGCGACAGTGTCCGAGCTGACCAGTCATCATCGCCGATACGCGAAGAGAGTAACGGTAGCACATTTGTTTACGCTCTCTCTCTCTCTCTCTCTCGCCTTCGCGCTCGTGTGTCCGGCTAATTTCCAAGGCAAATCGCTGTGCCGGCTGACAGCAGATCATAAGACACGTCCAAGTGTCGAGTGTTGCGATCATTTTGACGTTTTGCGCGAGCGTGACCACGGTGTGTCGTGCTCCAAACTATGTCCGCGCGATTAGTCAGCCGCTTTAGTCATTCGCTGAAGGAGAACACGGTTCGAATATTTAATTCCTTTCTTCCGCTCGCGTGAATGTCGCAGGCCTTCGAGGTCGGTCAAGGCCGAATGGAATCGTTGGATCGGAGTCTCGACACCTTCGGTACGGCCGGGATGACAGACGGCACGGCCACGTGGTTATCACGCCTCATGGAGAATGCTACCAGCAGCACGCTCATCGACGAAGAACTGTCAAGGTACGTCGTGCTCTTTCAGAATCATACAGCGTGTTATCGGTCAAGTCAGTTCGGCTCCTGTTTCGATAGACGGGAGTCGCGACGATGCTCTGCAGACGAAGCACGATCTTTCTCATCGCTCATCTGTTCCCCGCAGATTCCCGAAACCCTTGAGGACCTTCGCTGCAGTAGTCGCGATCATCATCATGATTATTGGCCTAATTGGCAATCTACTGACTATCATCGCTTTGTGCAAATATCCCAAAGTCCGCAATGTCGCCGCCGCCTTTATCATAAGGTATATACAGTCGCATACAGCAAATTATGAATATTCACACTTAGACTTTCTGGAAATTCCGATTTAACCAATCGACGATTAACTCAGCCGGCAGAGTTGGAAAATAGGAGGCGATTGATTGTTGAAACGAGTGTCTCCCTATAAAAGCTATATTTCAAACTGTCAAGTACTCTATTCTGTTAATATACACATTACATACATACACAATTAGATACATACATAATTGTTAATTTTTGGATTATCATCAGACAAATTACATAATTGGAGATTGCTGTTGACAACTTTTCATCGTTATAGTTAATCGTCCACTAGGTTAATCGAAGAAAGTCAGCCTTAATCAGTTGTATGGTTTTTTGCGTAGTTTAGTCCAAATGTCGAAAAATAGTAGCCCGTTCTCATTCATGAAGTCGATATGAATCATCGTTATGTGATCATCTTACGTAAACATGATACGTTACGTCGACATGAAGAATAAACTCGTAAATTTTAACCGTTTGTACCGACATATAACTCCTCTTACCTTGCCGAGAATGCAACGTTCGCGTAACGCTAAATTGAAATGAATTTTTTGTTCGATGACGGGGCAGCCTGTGCGTCGCGGACTTCGTGTTTTGTCTGCTGGTGCTGCCGTTCGACTCCATCAGGTTCATCAACGCCAGCTGGGCGGACGTAGGATTCCTGTGCGTGCTGGTGCCCTTTCTGCGCTACGGAAATGTCGGCGTCAGTCTTCTGTCCGTCGCGGCTATCACTATCAATAGGTTTGTGTTCGTTCCTTTATCCTCTATTTAACTCATTGAACGTTACTTCATCCGACTGGAGGATCCCCTTCTCACCGGATTAAGTCCCAGGGTGTGCGAACCGCCCTGGAATTAACGCGCGTCCAAGCGGGACGAACGCACGATTGATATGGGACGTCCGATTTCGGTCTAGGTACATCATGATAGCTCACCATGCGATATACAGCAAGGTCTACAAGAAGTACTGGATCGCCGCGATGATAATCTTCTGCTGGGTATTCTCCTATGGGATGCAGATACCTACGTTGTTGAAAGTGTGGGGTAAGATGCTCTCTATCGATTGCACGCTTAAGGTCGCGAGGGAATTACACCACCGTTCAAAGCTTGGGAGCATCCTGTAATTTCGCGGTGAGACCATGTTGTTTTGACAGATATATAATTGTTCTACCGAATATATATTGAAACATTACAAGGTGGTAGTGTAATTTTCATGGCGATCGCTTACTTTGGAAATAAAGGAAAACTCACTCGTGCCTTATATGCGTTTTCAACAGGCAAATTCGACTACGATCCTAATCTGGAAACCTGTTCTATCGTCAAGGATAGTTACGGCCGCACCTCCAAGACGTTCCTTTTCGTCATGGGCTTCTTGATACCCTGCGTAGTAATAGTCGGCTGTTACGCCAAGATATTCTGGGTGGTGCACAAGTACGTTCACGTTTCAAGCGTCGCGTGAATTTGCTTTCCACTTCTCGTCCGCTTACATCGCGTCAACTGATCGGAATTCCGTTAACGTTGCAGATCCGAATCGAGAATGCGAAAACACGCGACACCGACCATCAAGTCACCTCACACCCCCGGGAGGGACATCAAGGAAATCAAGCAGAAGCGCAGCGAGTGGAGGATCACCAAGATGGTACTGGTGATTTTCCTCAGTTTCCTCGCGTGTTACCTGCCGATCACCATCGTCAAGGTAGCTGACCCGGAAGTCAGATATCCTGGTAAGAATATGTTGAGTAACACCAATCAACACAAGAAACACTCTATGCCTTTGGTGCTCACTAAATATGAAGCAAAGACGCTTTCGTCAACTAATGTCTCATTAAATGAAAAACATCTATTATTTATCACACAAGCCAGACACGCGTTACTCTTTCGACAAACAATTTTTTTTCCACAAAAACCACGCAAAACAAAAGAGAAAATTTATCCCTCTGTCTTTTATTTATCTCTTAGCTATTATCTTATTTTGTAGCTTATATATATTTTCTCTTTTCAACGGCAATTATTTTTCATGGTGCCTCTTTTACTTATTTCTTAACTATTATCCTACTTTGTAATGCAGATAGAGTAAATTTCCTCTTTTCAACGTTACTTTTCTTATACGACAGTGTGACTACCATCTATTTATTATTTATATCTTGTGTGTTATGCCGTAGAGTTTCATGTTTTGGGATACCTGCTGCTATACTTCGCGTCATGCGTGAATCCGATCATCTACGTAATCATGAACAAGCAGTACCGGCAGGCGTACGCCGGCGCGATCGGCTGCTCATGGATCAGGGTGAGCCTGACGCCGTACGGTAGCAGTGCGCCGGGTGGCGGTCTTCAGGCTCAGCAGGACTTCGCCCAAGGTAACTTCGAGCACCGTCACGTGGTAACTCTCACCAAGCTCTGACCGAACGCGAGCTAAGCGACCATTCGCTCACTTTGTAAGTTAAGGGCACCAGTTCGCTGCTTTCTACGATTGCTGGCCGATTAATGTGTTTTTTAACAACGATTAATCGCATTCCTCAATCATTAATCGTTTAATTGCAGCATTGGCGTTACGTAACACGTGCACAATTTCAATTGGTGTAAGTGCGAGCGATGTCAGACGCCGTGCATTTGCAAATTAATACATTAACAAGATCTTCACCCTTTCTTTTTTGCTAAGCTTATTGATTCAACGCAACTTTTGCACTTCTTAAATATCAATGCTTGCTTCTAATTGACGATTCGAACGCCGTGGACAGATTTTATACTGGTCGAGAAATTTATACTGGAAATTTTGCAATGGGAAATCGCAAAACTCCAAGTGAAAATTTTGATTTCAATAAATTACAAATATTATATTGTTATGTGCGACCGCCTCGTGCGTACCGGGCTCGCGAAATGAACTTAGACAAGACTTTAAAAAAGAAAGAATTTTTCTTTACTACTATTATTTAAAAAACGGGCGATACCACATCATACCGTAGCGCATAACAATATATCACAATACTACGGTGGTTTCTATTTTCTAAGAATTACGTTGATAATCTTTCCTCTTACACGCATATTCTTGTTCTGTATACATACTGTTATAGCTTTTCCGTATCTCGTGAGGCATAAATCTGCCACTGTTCACAAATATAGCTTGCTTCGCTGTTTCCTCTCGTAACTATATTGCTTCTATCTTTGTGCATTCGACATGCGCCAAAGTCCAAACGGGGTCATTTTCAAAATTCAATCGTATTCTATTCTTCGACCGCAGACTATTCAAAGGACTTCAGCAAAACGATGGTGTCAACGGTCTCTATCGCCATGAACCCTGTGAGAAATTCGCAGTTCCAGGAGGAGCCGTGAAGGATCGAGTCGGTAGCTGATGTCGGCGACTTGAAGAGGACAGATGTCTCTTGTCGCAGGAAGAAGAGATGGAAAGAAAATAGGAGGAAGGAGCTGAGATATGCTCGTAACAGCAAGACTGTGTTACCGAGCCCTTTTTTCACATAATTTTCGCACCTAGAAAGAATTTTGTTTACAATTGTTACAATGGCATGCATAAATTATTCGCTTGCACGCCTGAGAGCGAAAGTTTGCGAAGATTAGATTATTGCACGCGTATTTAATTCCCTGGGGCGTTCGTTAGATTATTGTCCGCCGAATGCCGATTTTCTACCAAAGGTTGTCATACGAGACAATTACACATTGTAAATAGAGTGCGCGACTCGTATTATCTTCGATGTATTTAAGATACGAATGTAGTAATTAAAACGACAATGATATGACAGACTGCTGTAGTTATTTTGTTAGATATTTTATTACGCAACTTGTAAATTTATTGGCGCTGCCAATATGTATAAACAGCAAAGATTAATAATATAAAACAATGTTATATGTATAATGTTGTAATATATAAATCTTTCAGTGGAATATTTAAACAAAATCATATTTTTTACCATGTTTCGCCGTCTCTTTTGATCACTCATCGTCGTCCACGTGTTCCGGTTCGAAGCATTCGCTTATAAACGCTGGTTAAGCCACGTTCTGGGATTTTCTACTGTTAGCAATTCGATCTCTTCCGTTGTAAAGTGCTTATTTTTTAAGATCGGTACAATGTTACTCACAATATGTGAATACCCATGACCGCCGAATGTTGTCTTAAAAATCGACAAAACAATTTAGACGTTTAATCGTTAAGACTTAATTATTTATTTACTTAACTTATTATTTGTTTAACTAGCGTTACGAACTGAAGTAAATTACGTGAAAATAAATGAGGACATCACGTACCAGTCTATGCTTAGTGTGAATATCGTGACTTAAGAGCACTCGATGCAGCTGCTTTTCCTCCTTTAATCGCGCGATATATTTTATGCGCTGAGCATCTGATGGCATATCAAACATCGGGTTAAGTTGATAAAAAGAACACTCCGTACCAAAGAGATCAAACTGGCAATAACATGCGACAGCCTTAACGAATTCTATTATCGCTTCCGCATCGGGTAATGTACCTATAACAAGTATAACCGATTAAATTATTTTTTTAAATACAGCAGGCCAATTTAACAAAAAAAAGATTCATAAATCTTACGTTCAACGTGAGACATGATAGCTTTACGAGCATTCCCTCCAGCCTCTTGATAGAGTCGTATTATTTCAGAAGGTGCTGCTTTGTTTCTTCCAGGATGGAAGCTCACTGAGCAATGTAATTGTTCCTGAACCTGACCAGTCGCACGAATAGCACGTTTCTCGAAATCTATGTGTCATAAATATTAGATATAAATACTGTTAAACATAATGCCTCGTGAAAATACTAAAAAAAATTGCATTTGATTTACAATTATAAATATAGTTCTCGTGAATATTTCTATAAGTTGTTACATTTAAAAATTAATTGAATTCTCAGATACAATGAAACATATCTCTTCTTATAGAAAAATTCTTTTTGAAAATTTATAGAGATATTTTCTTATTAAATATAAAATGCATTCTAAAAATAATTTATAATAATTGTACAAATACATAATAATTTCGCAAAATATAGAACTATATATAGCTATTTACCTGTAATCGGCCAGCTACTGCCAACTTCTCCGATAAAACCTGCTTTTATTTCAGGATAATCAATGCACCCTTTTTGCAATTCAGTGTGCATCACATTGTACATTTCTTCTTCAGTAGTTTTGAGAGTTGATGCATTTTGTACATTGGCAACATAATATCCTGCGGAATTGCAAAGATAATAAAACAATATAATATAAATGATAATAATAAACTAATTATATATATTAAATTAAGTAATCCTCTATTATTAAGTATAATATAAGAAATAACATTATTGGCAATATGATAATATAATCATACCAGTTCCAGCAATGATGTTAACTCCGGTCTTTTCACTAATTTTTATCATTAAAGGAATATTGCGGTTCAAACCATGGTTGCTATTCTCCACAATAGTCCCACCACCAAATGTACGGAATAATTTTACATCTTCTATGACAGCTTGTGCAGAGTCAACATCGTTAAATGTCAAATTATACTTATTGCTGTATCTGATTTTTAAAAAATTTCGTCTTTTAATAATATAAAGTAAATAATAAAATAAAGTGTGTATAAAGTAAGTTGCAGAAATGTTATATATGTAGTATTAAATAAGTGTTTACTCAATAATATGTTTCTATTATAGTTCCAAAAATATATATTTTCTTTTCTACAAAATAAATGAGAAACAAATGATATGAGCATTGCATACATTAGGCCTGTTCGTTTTGCTTGCATTGCTGAACTGGTGCATTAAGTTAAAATGAGACAAATGTAGGTTTTCTCATTCAACTTGTTGCACCAGTTCAGCAGTGCAGACAAAATGAACAGGCCTATTATCTGCTAACACTAATATTGTTCTTTCTTTGATAGAACCCTATTTTAGCATCTTTTTATTAAAAATTGAGTATATATATATATATATATATATTTCAATCTGATTAAATCTTTATGTTCATCTTTATGTTCATAAATTTCCATAGACAGATAAGAAGGATTCTGATATAACTTACGGATATTGCTTAATATATCCAACATTCTTCAGATTGATTTTGTTATCAAGAAAACTCTGTAAATTTGTTGGTGGAGGAACGTAGAACTCATTAAAATCAAGATGTACATGCTCATGTGTTAGTGTTATACCAATTTCAGACAATGGCTTAGATCCCAAAACTGTAAAGACATAACAGGTTAGGATAGATATAGAGAGAGATTATAATTTTAAAATTGCAATATATTTAATATCATATAAAAGTTTATGTGGTAATAAAATAATGTAAAAGAATATAATTATTTGATAATCATGAAATAATACTTTCATTGTAAAAGCATGTATAAATAAATATAGAATCTAAATATATTATGTTTAATTTTTTAACTTTTTTCTATACTTACCAGTTTCAACAGTTTCATAGGCAGACATTTTCACACTTTATTTCTGTAAAAAACAAAAGATTCAGAATTCTAATCTATATCTTTCACTACTTTATAACATTTTTAACTTTATAACAACTGAATGTCATAAAATATAAAGTTTTTATGTAAAGTTTTTATGAAAGTATTCTAAGTTTTATACAGATTTAACAGCATCCAAGATCTGCAAGTTATAACTTGCAACTGTTGTAGCAGTAACTCGTTACCTTTCTCCACTTTATCCAAATGTTGTGTCATGCTTGTTCTAGATTCACTTAACCAGCAGTACTGGTTATCTGCATACCTAACTGATAATGAAAATAAATATACATATCTATATTCTGTTTGATATCAGCAGTTACAAATCCAATCATATATAACTGTTGAAATTCTAGATATGAGGTTTGGATGAATTTTCCTCATTTGCTGATTCCTCTAAGATATATTGTTAATTAAAGTAACATTGTTAATATAATGAAGTAAGCAAAAATAGTAAATACTAAAAACTAAAATGTTTTCTAAAACTAATAAAAAAGAAATCATGAATTTCTATATACATATAAAATATTAACTGTCCAACAATAAGATCTAGAAATATGTAATATAAATAAATCCATTATCTTATATTTTTTCAATCTTTCTTTACATTATCTTATATTTTTTCAATCTTTCTTTACATTTACCAATTTTGGTAGCTTCATGAACCATCTTTCTATCATATCTCTTTTGAGAATAATCTCAAAAATTTATGTCCTGTATGACCTGATGATTTTTAATATGCAGTTTAATCTCGAGGAACAACCTGAAGCCATATAAATTTAAAATTAAACTGTAAATTGTGCACAAAAATATGAATTATATTGGACACTTACAAGTTGTAATTCACGATCGTTGAATAATTCATTGTATCGATCACAATTATTTGGAGAGTCATTACGTTTATCGGAAATCCTTGATGATATTCTCCAGACATCGTTCCGGAAAATTTATAACGCATTTAAAATATTCTTTAACAAGAAACCTGCAAATTACGTAACGGCTTCTTACTTCAAATAAATATAAAATGATGGAAAGATGCATGAAACCGTTAAATAAAAGCGCGTTCTATCTGAATTTTCCCGGAGTTTTTCTAGTAACTCGACAAACTCCCTAATAAATGGTATAGTTACTATAGAAAGAGAACTATCGATATATTTTCCCCATCGATTATCGGTGGTACATTATATCATTATCGATAGTTCTCGATAATGCTATCGATAACTCCCGTCACAAATAGTTACATCATTTTCTGGCGTCAATTTTCAAAATTTAGGTATTGATGTATCACGACTATCGGTTAGAGTTTAAAATTATTTTCTTTTATTGTTCAATCTGATATTATATATCTATTACTCATATTTAAACTCTTTACTTCATTAATTTTTCACGCATTTTCAAACACTTATTGCCGCTATTAAATATTTACATAAAGAGCGATATTTCTTCAAGAAACTAGCACAGATTTTCCGAACAAAAGAATGCGCAATAAAGTTCCACTTTAACGGTAACAATTGTAAATTCAACTATAAATATTCGGAGTCTCGAGAAAAGACTTTGGGCTTCGTCTGACTTGAACAAATTCTTTAATTTGTTAATTATTATAACGCACGATTCTCTCTGATAGCTTAGACGTCACAATTTAACAATTGTCTTTAGCTATTTCTTCAATAGTAAAAAATAATACAAAATGTATAAACGCTCTGTAGAAGGCCACCAATCTGTGCACTGAAACGTACTTGTAACATATCCTTAATTAGCGATTTGACAAAGACTCAAGCTGATAATTGTTCAGACACATGTATATTTCAGTGCAGAGTAGGACAGATGGAAAGTCGCTGAAACATCAGAACCGTGCGTCCCGTAAAAAGTGCAGGCCTTTATTTTTGCGCATACACCTCTTTGTAACGAGTAACACGGCAGCGATCATTGATGTTAAATAAATTTTCTCAGTTTCTATAATCACGAAAGCTGGGTAAGAGACTAGCGAACATCATATACACATAATTGTTTCCTATAAATCTTCGGAAGATACATGCGACTCCGTTTCCATTCGACAATAAAATATACATATGTATGTCGTGTTTCTGTACATGCGCGCGCGCGCGCGCGCGCGTGTGTGTGTGTTGTGTATGCGTGCGCGCGCGTATTTGTATGTGCATGCGTAGTACACGCGCGATACAATTTCAAAAAAATATTTCTCTTGTATATCAGTAATTCGTATGAACGGAAAATCAAATGAAATTATCAGTCGCAGCCTTGTTAAACGCCAAACATAAGAACTCATTCTTCGTTTTCATCCTGTCCTGTGACACGGATAAATCTGGCACGGAGAGAAAAAAGAACGTGCGAGGAGATAAATAAATAACTTAATTAAACGAGAGAAAAATAGAGAAAGAGATAGGAAGAGGTAAACGAGCGAGGAAAGATAAGAGAGATTCGCGCGTTTGATACGCTTATACCACATATAGACGTATTTCTCAGTCGACAATTCCTTCTCTATTTCTTTTTCCGTTTCACGTGTCTTTCGTTTAATTGCGTGTACAATATAAAACATTACAAGTCATTTCTCTTGCGCGTGCATTTGTGTCGTGCGACACACACGCCGACTATGATGCCGGGACGAACGGCATATACAATTGCGTATATGCCGATGCCGGAATAAAACGCAATGTGTGCGTCGCTCCGAGGAACTCGAACAAAACTCGAGGCCAGTTACGACGCGAGATTTACGTTGTACACTTAATATCAATTCACAAAGACTGATGTCGTGAACGCGAAATTCTCTTTCCCGCACAATTGAGAATATGTGATCCGTGGCGCGTGTTGCGTGTGTGTACATATAGAGACACTTGCCAAGTTAATGGGATTACAATGATCTCTGGATACCGAAGCTCAAGAGAAAGAGAGACAAGAGGCCGAAGTATCTCGATTGTAGTCGCGACTAACGAATGAATTGCCATAATCACCACGGTTTAGATATTTCGCATATTTCGATCGATTTAAAGATTTTACTTCACGACGAGAATTGCACGATCGTCCAACGACAGCCACCAATCAACGTAGCGGTGGCCGACGGTACCTCCCATAATCCTTAAATCAACAATAATAATCATACGGATAATAATAGTAATGGTAGCACTAATAGCAATAATAATAAATTGCAGTAAATACACAGTAATCAGGACTCGCACAAAAGCTCATGTCGCTTATGGCTGGCTCGCCTATGCCAACGAAGTGATTTGAAGTAACGTAGATATTCGTGGCTTTCAGGCTACTAGTGAATGATTGAAAAAGCCGGCCACAATGGACGGTAGCTTTCGCACACGAGGACCCTAATAATATAATAATTTACATTTACACAAAACTTCATTCCTTTTCTTAAATGATGAATTAATTACACTATCTAACTATAATATGTATGCTTACGGTTACGTTCGTTCATCTTCTCGCGGTACAATACAGTTTCTACTCGTCAACCATAATCTCTAATACCTTGTCTGAGTGAGGACTAGACCCCTATATAGGATTATTCTAGGACCGAGCTACGCGCTCAAGTCGGACTCGACAATCGATAACATCGCGGAGTTCCAGTGATGCAAGATCTCTACGTCTCGTCCGACTCGAAGGGACTTAGCCCGCAACGGAACGAGGCACAAGAGACGTGATTATAAGAACGAAGAAATACGAAGGATGACCGAGCGAAAAGGCAGAAAGAAAAGAAAAAATATACAGAAACGAACGCGTGCTAATGTACAAGTCGATGGGAGGGATACGTCATGACGGGTCGTCTCTTCTTTCTCTTCTTATTCTCTTTCGCGAAGGTGAGGATACCGCGTTTCTGTGATTAAGGATTTCCGACATATGTGAAGAAAATGATTCCACGGAGAAACGATACGATGTGAACTCTCCTCGACCAAATCCCTCACAAACTTATTCGCAACAATATGGACAATTGCTAAACTTAATTCGACGAATGCGTTAAGCGACTTCTTATCGATTCTGTAAAGCGCCAGATCGGGATAGAGAACGATCCGAGTGACCAGACATGAGGGACAACGATGCGCTACAAATTGTCGCTTTATTTCACGGCAGCTTTCTTCTTGTGCACGGCGCGACGTTTTCATAAACTGTCGTCGCTATCGTCGGCGGGAGGTTCCACAGAGACGTTCCCAGCGAGAGGCGCAGAGCTTCCTTCTCTACTCGTTTCGACTTCCTGCTCCATTGAACTATTTTGTGCTTGTTGTTCTTCTACAAAAGTGTAACTATATCAGTATAACACGCTGACTAACTGGCTATCTCACATTATTCTCGACACAAATTACATCGAGGCAAAGGTTAAGATCACCACGGTTTCACAATTATCTTATGTTTATTCAGAGATGATTGAAACGCAATAATTAGCATATAATTAGCATATAAATCTTTCTTTCGATACCGATGGCATCGAGAATAAGAACTCGTGAAAATATGTTATTTTTTTGTGAATTTTTTAAAAATTCCAGGTTGGAATTTCTAAAAATGTCGCTGTAACCATAATACCAATAATACCTGATTGTGTCGCAGGAGAATCATCATCTCCTTGTCCTGGACTCAATATAGCCTCCTTAATTTGACTATTAACACCTTTCGGATCCAGATCCGTTGCCCAACTAAAGTACATTAATGCGAGATGCGTATTGCCTAACTTTTTATGCACCTATATCAAAAATAAATTTACGTTTAAGAATTATTTAGAAAACCAGAAGTAAAAAATTAGAATATAAGAAATATCACTATTTACCTTTCCTATCGAATAATAGACTAGAGACTCTTTGGGTACAATATTTTTTAGCTCCTCAAACTCTCGGAGAGCTTCCGCATGTCGACCAATTGAGAAGTTGATGCTCGCACGATGGAACTTGCATAAAGTATTGTCCGGATCGTTAGTTATCGCCGTATTCAGTGTCTTTAACGCCTGCTCGGTTTTCTTTAAAGCATGCTGCACGACACCTATGTGGCACATTATCGCAGAATTTTGCGGATTTATATGATAAGCCCGTTTAAAATGTAATTCCGCTAAATAGTATTGCTCCTGTTTCGAAAATATCGTTCCCAATCCAAACCTACAATACGCAATGACAAATCTTAAATACACATATGCAAATGCAAAGGATATATACGTATATACAAATTCAAAGAATATAACAACATCGTAATGCGACGTTATATCCTTTTTGAAAATTTACCATGCGTTATAATGCCTGGGATCAAGCCTGGTGGCGTTGCGGAATGCAGTAATTGCCTTATCTAGTTCTTCTGTCAGAACATACTCGTGCCCTAGTAATGTGTAAGCGTACGGGAAATTGGGATCCACCTACGCAGTCAGAGTATTGCTCTCAATCGAGATATCCAAGATGATAATTACATCAAAATGCGTAAATCATATTGATATGCAAATTGTGTCATATGAATAAGCTAATCAGAATAAGTAACTTGCATACTTGCATAAAGAAATTATTCATTACTCGCGAATAACGTTAGTCTCGTTCTTGTAAAATTGAAGAGAATTCACATGAACAAGATTATTCAAACTTTCACTTTAGTCTTGATCGGTTGTCAACGAGCTTCTGTTGACGAAGTCAAAATATACCTGGATAGCTCTTTGGAAGAATTTGATTGCGGTTTCGTGTTCCGTTTGCGCCGAGAACAAGTTACCCGTGGCGCACCATGCCGCCGCTGATGTACGATCTTGAGCAACCAAGTCATGGGCAAGCGTAGATAACTGCACTTCTGCGTGTAAATGCCATAAAACGGTGCTATAAATCTCCATCAATTCCATCCTTTGTGGCTCCAATTGCCGCACTTCTGCGAAATAACTGCACGAAAAAGCAGGTTATATAAATATAATCGAGGAACAAGAATTAAGAGTAGAAATACAATTAAACGCATATTTCTCGTTTGGTGTACATTACTTTAATAGCTGAGAGATTATATATTTTTTACCTAGCAGCCTTTTTATAGTCCATCATTTCAAAGTGCGCACGAGCCAGCATAGAGAGTACCCAACCTGTGCTATAATGCTGTGTTGGCAGTATACTCAATACTTCAATAGCTTGCGTACATTTGAACTGACTCAAATGTTGATAAGCTGTGCCTAATTCTCGCAACAGAGACATTAGACCCTCTGAAAAGACATATCAAATTATATTCAATTAATATTTTAGACTTTCGCGGTACAAAGAAATGCTTCATTAGACTTCCAGGTTAATGATCGTAGATTGAATAATCGATAGCAATCCGAAAGCTGAATTAACCATTGTATTCAATTATTTCGTGACAATATATAATATATAAATGAATGTATAAAGAAATAAAAAAATATGCAAATGTATACCTGCACACTGTTTTTGTAACGTTACTGCACAATGAATATTGTTACTTTGTGTGTTCAACGCGTTCGTATTTGCGATAGCTTTCTCCGATGTAATCGTCTCGCTCTTCTCTTTCTCGTTCCTATTTCTCTCATTTAACTCAAAGTTAGTCTTGTTCTGGTTTGCCTTGATAAATCGCGTTTTTGGCTTCCGAGATGGAGATTTCGGAGTAGCGAATTGGTTCCTATTAGGTGACTTATTATTTTCCTAAGGAAAGAGTATAAATATATATATTTGTAAATCTGTCACACGCGCACACATATAACAAATAACCGTTAGTATGTAAGCAGAACCAAAAAAGTTGGAAAATGTAATTATACCTTCACTGAATAATGATGATGGCTAAAAAGCCGCGATGAACGTCTAACGTTGGTGCCCTGCAACGTCGGTGAAGGAGGTGTCGGTGTAGCGGTCACTGTCACGATATTGGCAGTATTGCTTGCATTACCTGACTGCGAAAAAACCTTTTGCCAGTCGGGTTTACCTTGCTGCAACGGCGTTTCCTTCTTCGACATTAATTGCTTGAAAGTAAATGGAACATTTGATTTAAATTTCGTTACGCAGTAAATTAAAGAGAAACACATAAAATGCGTTTACAGTTCGGTGGAAAAAGAATGTAGAAATAAGATGCGAAAGATGCAATTGTAAAGCATACAGACAAGAAAATTATTACTATACTCACCCCAACATGAGCCTTTACACGTTTCGCCAAACTTTTCTGGTCATTGGTTTCCGTGAGAGTTGTATGCGTGGGTGGTACGGCCTGTTCGGGTGTATTGCTTTCTAAAGGCAAAATGCCGAAGCTAGGTGTAAGTGGACTCATAGGGTTACTGAACATGTTACGATAACGCGACAGTTTGGTCCTCGGTGATATCGAGGAACAGTTACTCCAGTGAACTGGAACATTTTGTGGGTTCTCCTCTATAGAAGAACATAATCGTACTTGCGATACTTGGCTGCCGTTTATCAGCGTCGGTGCAGTCACTTGCACAGGTGTGCTGCAATAAATGAAACAAAAAGAATGCGATCATATAAAATATTAAATGACATCACATTGTAATTATATTAAAAATCAATGAAATGATAGACACATAGAGATATCAATGGCAACATATATATATAATACATACATGTTAGTGCTATTCGACATAGGTGTGCTGTTGGCATTGTTATTTCCAGGTACAATGAGATCTGGCTCAGCGACGTAGTCCCACGTGGAAGCTGTACCATGGCACATGATAAAGGAATCTAATTTGTCCAACTGAAAGATCTTGTTAGGATCCACTTTCTCGCCGACATTACAGAGTTCCTCGAAAGAGTGCCAGAGAAACGGATTTAGTTTTAAAGCTAGTTTATGCGCTTCGTTGGCTTTTTTGGTGCGCATCATTTTATAATAAATCTTCGCTATTATCTGCAGGGAAAAGCATGCTTGTTCCCCAAATTGTGTCACTATCTCTTCCAAACTCTTCAATTGTTTGTAATACCCACCAATTATTATCGCTTCTGCCTCTGCATACCTAAATAATTTTTAAACAAAATATTAATCTTTACAACATATATTACTTATAACAATTAGTATTTATTATATTAATATAAATAATTTAATATTTTCTCTAGAGATACTTGTATTTACAAAAAAACAAAATTTAATGTTACTTACTTTTCCAGATCGTAACAACATTTTGCTAATAAAAATCTACACTGTGCCGAATTACGTGCCTTCTGGGATAATAAGGCATAGGCTTGTCTAACTCTGCCAGAACGATAATAGCATGTTGCCAAGAGAAACAATGTTTCCTCCGTGTCCACTACAATAGAACATCAATATAAATTACATAATAATTACAAAGCACTAATACTTTAAAAAAAGAAAAAAACAATATTTTACCTTCTGCACATAGTCTTTCTGCCAAGAATATTGCATCTGGATAAGCATAATGGTTCAAACAATGCCATATGGCTGCCTAGAGACAAAATATAATATTTACATATAATATATAAATATTAACTGCATGTTTTAAAGCAGTTTTTTGTTTTAAAATATATATATATATTCTTTACATTTTAAAATACCATATGCGATAATATAAATATCATAAATCTCTCATATATAAACACAACCCTTTGCTTTTTGCAATGATACAATATATATTTTGCTGCATTTAAATATAAATATTAATGCCTTGCTACTTGTGCATGCTACTCAAATCTGTTAAAATGATTTATACACATAAAGTTAATTCTCAAGAATTGGGAATCAGATCATGATAAGTATAAGTCAAGCCCAAAAATGACAACTCCCTGGAATATTAATGCATCTTAATCATATATTATAGTAGACTTTATCAAATGAAGTCTATCAAAATCTGTAAATACGGTGAAGTTTTGTACTTATTTATAGCCAGAACCCCCCACTGCCTTGCAGTTTTCTTGCAGAAAAGCAAACATCTCGGAGACGCGCATCCAGAGCGCAAGTACAGACGGGATAAAATTTACAACGAAGATCGTTTCGGTGGAACAACTTCGCAAGGAACGATCGTCGATGCAGCCGTCAGGGAAAATTAAAAGCAGTCGAAGGGTTGCGAATGGTTTTCACGATTATATAGCAAGACGTCAATAGCGAATGTCGATGCGGCCCGACACATAAATCCGCACGTCACACAGCAACGACGGGCTACGACGGGCCGACACTCGTTACCTGCACTGGCTCTTGCACGATCATCGTTTACGACACGAACTTGGTCATAAAAGAACGGTCCGTCTGGCTTCAGCGAAATTTAACGTGGGAACATCCAAAGTCGGACGACTGCCGTGTATAAAAATTCTTTAGGAGTCCATCTTTGCTTCGATTCTTTTGAAGCGAGCGACTGCCTTCAGGTCGCAGGGTCACCAACATAATGGTAGGGACAACTAAAATTAGCATTAATGAGAAACACGACGTTACTATAGAATGCATTCAATTTGAATGAATTGATGTAAACGCAGACCTTTTTACTAGTTTTTATAACCAATAAATGGTCCTGCGCTTACATAAATCATGCAAATCATGCAAACAGAAAACGCTCTTAACAGAATATCCAATAAGATAATTGCGTGTGAGAGACAAACATTAGAGGTTTGTTTTTTATTGCTAAACTGGCTGCACTAACTTGCACTTATTCTCTTCTCCTCTCCCTTTCACGAACTCCTAGATGTACATCTATTTCTATTTATGTTCCCTGAGTGTACACTAGTTCAGCGATAAAAACAGACCTATCATTTGCTGAAGTCCCTAGAAAGTAAGTTCTTTCTGTGTAACGGCCCGTCTACATAGGTCGCAACGCGCAAAGCGCTAATCGCAGGATGTAGAAATTAACCAATCATAATCGATCATTTTCCTCACATTCGACTGTAATTGGTCAATTTTTGCGTTTGCGTGTTGCAACCTATGTAAACAGGCCAGAATGAAGTGCGCCTGCGTACGAGAAGTTCGAGTATATTTGAAAAGTCAACGGTTTCCTCATTATTCCTCGGTGAGAAGAATTTATACTTGATCATTGTGCTTATTTTCTTTCGCTGCTTTTTGCCACTTCGTATATATGGATCAATTCAAGACACCTACAGCGGTAAGATGCAGATGTAGATGCAAAATGACGAATACCGAATTCGAAACTCCCATCAAGATACCAGCATCACCGTGCTTGGAACGAATAGGATGTGGGACTGGTATGTTTTCCACATTTTCTTTTTTATATAACATTACTGTGTATTAACATTTAATTGAATTTATCTAATTGTTATTTCACATTGTAATCCTATTACAGTTATAACTGTTATAGTTATAATTGTTACGACTAATAATCATTTAATAACTTAACAATAGATAATATAGCTTCTGCATTTGATCTATAACTTTCATTGAATCATTTCATTTTTTACATCAGGAGTTGGGATATACATGTTGGAAAGATCACCTAAAGTTGGCATTATTCGTTCACCTTGGGTGATAAAAAAATGGCTGAACGGACAAAGCACTAAAGAAAACAATAAACTTCTTAAATTGGAAGCTGATGTTCTACGACAATTGGTCCATCCCAATATCGTTGGTTTTAGAGCATTTACCCCTGGAGCAGATGGGAAACCTTGTCTGGCTATGGAAGCTTTGGATATATCGCTTGGTATTGACAATACTAAGTAATATTACTGTTTTTAAAATATATATATATAGTAATATTTTTTTATGTTATAAATTAGGGAATGTGATCGAAGAAAAACATACTTCTGGTGATGACACACCATTTGCAGCCAAGGATATTTTGAAAGTTGGTTATGAAGTTGCAAAAGGATTGAAGTATCTGCATCATAAAGCACATATATTGCATGGAGATATAAAGAGTCCTAATATCTTAATTGATCATAGCTATAGTGTGGTTAAAATATGTGATTTTGGACATTCTATGCCATTGACAAAATCTTTAGAGTTAGATACATCAAAGGCTAACCATTCTTACATTGGAACAACACATTGGAATGCCCCTGAAATTATAAGAGGTACATTCATTTGCTTCAGTTATACCATTGAATAACAAACTTTAGTATATAAACTTAATACAACTAAAGAATTTATTATCTCTAAAATTATGTAGCTGCTATGAAAGCTGATTCAAAATTTATATCTTTAGTTCATGATGTTTTTTGAGTTATATGACTTCTTTAAAAATCTTATTTTCAATTGTATCCTTTCTCATAGGAGATGGACCTGTGACTAATGCTGCTGATATTTGGCCATATGGCATTGTCATTTGGGAAATGTTAACTCTATCAGTACCTCATATGGAATATGAGGATGAGTCGTCCTCTGACTCTGAATCAGTCAGTGAGAGAGACTCAATGAACATTACAGATGACTCTAATTATGATACAGATAAAAATGTTACTTCCCTTAAGAAGAAAACACCATATAAGAACAATAAATTGCATGTAGAAACTGAGGATGAGTTATCCTTTGATGAATCAGTCAGTGAGAGATATATGACGAGCACTACAGATGACTATAATTATGATACGGATAAGAGTGATACTTTCCTTAAGAAAAGAATGCCATATAAAAACAAACTTCATGTAGGAATTGAAGATGAATTGTCCTGTAGCGAATCAGTCAATGAAGGATACACGACGAACACTACAGATAACTCTAATTATGATATGGATAAGAATGTTACTTTCCTTAATAAAAAAATGCCATATAAAAACAACAAACCTCATGTAGAAACTGAGGATGAGTCAGTCTTTGATGAATCAGTCAGTGGAGGATACACAACAAACTTCACAGATGACTCTGATTGTGATATGTGTGTATGTCCACTTAAGAAAATACATAAGAATGACAAACTTGGTAAGCAATTTTAATCATAACTCTAACATCTTTAGTTTACGCAAACAATATATTACAACGAATTGATTTAAAAATTATGTTAAAGAATGGCCAAAAAAAGTAGAAACTCTTTCTGATTATAGGTACACGTCCACCTTTACCTGCTATTAATTTTAGTAAAGAATATGACAGAGTGTTGGAAGTATTTTATATATGTACTAATGCCGATTATAAATCAAGACCCAACGCAAAGATGTTGGTAAAGTATTTCGAGGAATTCATATTTATTAACAAAACTTAAATCTAATTTTTTTGTTTTTTATATACATATAATTATATACATATATTATATACAAACCCTGAAATAACCCATATAAAGTGTTTCGCGCACGCACGCACGCACGTAAAATATTTAAGAAAAAAAAAAAAGAAAAATGTTTTATACGATTCTTATAGTGGGATAATAAAGAATAAAAGAACAATTATTATCACACTTATAATGATGATAATCTTGAATTTCCTCTGTAAGAATAATTGTAATTATCATTATATCAATGCTACAAAATAGAATATACTTAAGTACTTCATAAATATATAACATATACCTTCCTATATGTGCTACTCTTCTTTTCTGCTTTCCTGAGTTGAATACGACCGCCGCCTATATTATTTGTCGTTTTGTTGGAAAAATATTCCACATTATTTATTTGTTCCCCCTGTACAAACAAAATTTATAAATTTAACATTTGCTATTGCATGGTAATATTTCATAGTCCACTCTGTATTTTTATACTAAGCACTAGATACAAACTTGTTTTTCTATCAAAATCGCCATTTCTGCAAACAATTCTCTAACTTCTATAATGGATTTTTCTAACTTCAAAACATTATGGTGTCTGTTTTCTATATCGGACAACTGTTGTCTTGCAACTTTACTATTTTTTAAAATCTGTAAATTTATTAAGCATTTGTACACATAAGGAAAATGAATTAATATATAATTATAATAATATTTTCAATATACTCGTACATTGTCAACAAATAAATTAGTTTCTTGAGCATCAAGCATATGGTCCAGTTCTTCACTTGTTACTTGTCGTCTTACTAAATTAACAAATTAATTACTAAATTAATAAATAATTTTATTAGTGGCTCACATAAATGATATAATATATATATATATTTTTTTTTTATTTAACACAAATGCACAATATTTTAAGAGTATATACATAATAAACGTTGCTGTTGCAAGAGCAAAAGGCACTTATCGTGATATCTAAGTAATGATGTATTGTAGTCCTCCATAATTTCAGAATATAACTGCAACATTGTTGTATATTGTAAAACTTTAATCCTTGTGTATATGGATCCATCTTTCGCACTAGCTACAGATAAATCATCAATGGCAGTGATATCTTTTCCCAAATCTAGGAAATAACAGTAACAAATTAGTAAAGTTGTTCAAGTGAAAGAAAGTAGATAAGAATAAGTTATTACAAATCATATTATTTAAAATTGTGTACAGAGAATGTGTTAAAGTTTTTATATAAATTGTTATATTTTTGCAACTTTGAGAAATGTAAATTTGCATTAGATGCATTAGATAATTGCTTATATAAAATATTTTTTTTATAATTGTAACATTTTTTACAAGAAGCTTATTTAAATATAGCGTTTATATTATATTAATTCATGAGGCTTTTAATACATGAGTTTATTATTTATGTAAATGATAGCTCGAGTTGCATGACTGGGTATGCAAATTGCACATATATATATAATTATATATATATATATATATATAGTCGTTTAAAGGAGTCATGAATATGATTGGTTATTCAGTTTACGGTTTCTATATGGACGTTGTTGTTCGTTTTGCCAGCTCTAATATAACAAACGAAATGCTTCGGGACAAATTTTTTATTAAGTTGCTCGCCATTATATACATCGAACGAAACAGAATGGTAAAATCGTTATCGATATGCATATGGAAGATGATAACCTGAAAGCCCCGTTGCACGAATCGCATTATCGCAGCACGATAAGTTTGAGGTTATGTTTATTCGCGCGCGAGCGGCTCGCTTGCGAGGAAAAAATTATAGTGGCAACGTTTTGAGCGCGATTTGAATTACACATGTGCCCGCGCGAAAGAATGGAATCGCTGCGTATATTTCACAATTTCAAGTTGGACACTCTCGACGAGTTTTGGATTAAGTCGGTATGGGACGCCGAGTTCTTACATTACGAAGAACCACCTGATGACTACTTGGAATATCTCGAAAGCGATGATATGAGGTTGCTGCTACGTAAGTGTCGTCATATCCTGAAAAAATGGATCACAACGAACTGCAATAATCCACTCGATTGTGAATCGTCTAATTTTTCATGGGAGAATCTAATGATCCTGAACATCAACGTGCAAGGCCTGCTGCCTGTGCTAGATTACATAATGAAGACCGGTCAACGTGTCAGCACCGACGAGGCATCCAAGCAAGCTTGCCTGGAAGCGACGAGTCTGTATCTCATGCTTCTCACGATACCTGGTAGCAATGCATTTCGCATCTATCACCCCAATTTGTATGAGCGAACGATGGATACATTGAAGATGTCAGACTGTATATTTTCTTCTAGGAAAAAGAAAACTAAGGAGATGGATACAGTGATTAATTCCAGTATTGACGATGAGTCCTCAGTTTATGAAATACTGTCACATTCCGAAAAGTTGACACTTGTGGAAGGAATAAATAGAATTATCTCTGATCTTATTACAATGCTCAAGTTATTCAAATTAAAAGAACGCACAGGGTCCTTGGGCCTCACGATACAAAGGCTGCTACAGATCACAAGATTGGAGATGCATGATATATCATACAGTCATGCTAAAAACATGGATTATAGAGTATCTTCATTATCTAAGAATGCGTTTGAGGCTCTACAAGAGTTATGTAATAGTGATCATGGGGCTATCTCTTTAACCATAATGTTAATAGCTCAATCCATGCTACCTTATTTGTTATTTCCTCATTATACCAATAGTTATGAAACAAAAATAGTTATCAGAAAAAAATTGCTGATGACTATGCACAAGGCAGCTATATATTTTCTGAAAGATCTGTTGAAGATTCACAAGGAGGAAGCCAGACAGGGAATCATAACTCTGATACATCAGTTGATGGTGAACTGTCCAGAGAGAGCAGAAGGACGTCAGAGACAAGCAGACATTGTAGTGAAGCTATTAAATATATGCAACAAAAGTATCATTGAGAATGTTCTCAAAGACTTGATATTATATTCGTACAATGGTAAAATCTCTTACAGACTGTTCGCGCAAGAGATCATCGGGAAACTCTTAATCGAGCCCACATTGTTACACAAAGCTTTGCATGAAGACAAGAGAATGAAAATGAGGAAAATCTTAATAACTGTCGTGATGTCACGTTGCAAAGATCGCTCGCCCATGGTAAGAGGAAGAGCAATGGCCACGCTCGCGTTAATCTCTGATTGCAACGACGACGCTGACAAAGCTATCCTTGAAAATATATTCAAAGATACGGTCACGGACAAGCGCTTTTTTGTCATTGACGACTTGCAGACGGTTATAAGGAAAAATGTGAATCCCCTGCCGGGATCAGATACGTTAATCACCATGTTGCTGGACAGAGTGAACGACGAGCGCGCGTTTGTGCGGCGAAGCGTCCTGAAGATCCTACGGAACCTCTCCGTCATGCTGCCATCGCTCGTGGACCGCATGACGCCCGTGATAAGCGAACGTTGCAGGGATCCTACCTTAGTGGTGCGCCAGTTCGCAGTGCACGTCTTGTCTGAGATGTTGGAGCAATTTCCACATAACCCGAAACTCTTACACGAGTGGACGCAGGCGGTGATGCCGCAGATCTTTGACGTCGAAAACAAAGTGCAGGAAAAGGTGTTGGAGTGTCTGTACAATGTACTGATCAAAAAGATTACTAGTGCCTTGGTATACAAACCGAGCAATGCGAACAACCTACCATGGAGAGTGCTGGACAAATTGAGCAATATAAGAATGAGGAAGCATCTGTCGAAGGCCTGCAGTCTGTGGGTGAAGAATGGTGTCATCACGAAGTCCGTGATCTCGAATGTGCAGTCACACATCGGCACCGACAACACAATAGGCGCATGGATATTGTTGGCCGCCTTGGTCGAGAACATGAAGATCTTGAGTATAAGGAGACATATCGCCGATTATAAAGACGTCATCTGCAAGAACGACTTCCACGCGAGCTTGGTTTTGCATGTTTTGCGACACGTCTGGTCTTATTTGGATCGTAAGTGCCTCGAGGATCTTCACCAGTACATCTTCGAGCGTGCCTGCCACTTCGAGATCAGCTTCAACCTGATCAGCATATGTTTGGACATCTTCAGTAGTGTGCTGCGACACTTGCACGCCAACAAGAATAACAATTGTGTAGAGGAGGCAGTAGCGAAACTAATGATCCTTTCGGAAGCGAAGGTGCAGAACATGCTGAAGGAAAAGGAAGATGACGCACAGGGTATGATAAGAGCCATTTTCACCCTGGGCCATGCGTCGCTCCTGTGTACTAACAAGATCTCGTCGTCGACGTTGTGGTTTCTACGAAAACTGTTATTGAATTCGGAGTCATTGCCAAAGAGTGTGAACAACATAAAAGGCCTGCAGACATCTGCGGTGGTGTTGCTCTGTCAGCAGGCGCTGAGGGACCGTGAGATCGCAAAGAAGATCACGCCGATACTCGGCGAACTGATATGCCGTGAGACGAGTCCAGACTCGTCGGCAGAGATTGCCGTGAAAATAAACGCCGCAAAAGCATTGGCTGACATTTGTGTGAGATTCACTGCGCTGGTGGAGCCGTATCTGCCGGACATGTGCGTCAGCATGAAAGACCCGAGTCCAGCCGTGCGAGAGGCTATAGTGGTGATATTTATCCAACTGCTGCTTGAGGATTTCATCAAGATCAAGGGGTCGTTTTTCTTTCATATACTGACAATGCTGTTGGACACGGACAACATGATACGCGAACTCACGATTTTCTTGATAGAAGAGAGACTCCTGAAAAAGAACAAGATGTTGATCTCGCAGCAGTTCCTCGAGAGTATATATTACTACAACAATTACAACGTCCCAAGTACGTTCTGTGGTTACAGAATGTGCGACACAAAGAAGAAGATACTGACAATGCCTGGAAAAGCGAACCGGGACAAGCGCAATGTCGTGTACAAATTCATGCTGGATCACTTGGACCCTCCCGCGAAGTTCCAGCTGGTCGTGAAATTAACCAAGTACATACTTTGCGAGATATGCGACGGAAATTCTATCGACCTTGAAAAAGAGGAGGGCGCGTGTGTGTTACGAGACACGATCTGCATATTATGTAACGATCGACTTCAGGTGTCGTCCTTCGCAGAGAAGAATAAGTTTGAAATACTGGACGAATCAACAGAGCTCGATGAAACAAATCTTTCTCAACCGAGCACCTCCACCAGCACCAATAATAACAATGCGACGAACGTCTTCGTAACGGCAATGAAGAAGTATCACTTGGACAGCTTGCTGCCCACATTGATCACGTTAAAGAAAAGATTTAACGCGTCCAAGTCAAGATTGGAAAGCGAGGTGGAGAAATTGTTGTATAAGATTTATTCGGATCACGATAAAGATAATCTACTCATTTTGCTGGATGAATACCCTGAATTGGAAAAAGATATGGAGCGTTATCGGTACGTATATATCAATATGTAAACGAATTTATACTTTTCTCCGATGCGATGTTACTTGAGATTGTGTCTTGTACATTTCGAAATATCAATTCACAATAGCGAACTGAGATTATTTCTTCATTTAACTTGACCGAGAATTGTATATACATTGCTAAAACTATGTTATATCAATATATCAAAATTATATTATCTCTTTAAATTTTGACTAAAAGAAATTTCCCTGAAATATCTCGTAAATTATTCTTATCTTTCTTATGTAGAAAAAGTAATTGATATTTCAAAATATAAGAATTTTATAATAAATCTTAATATATTCTCGACATTAAGTTATTCACGATACACGCAAAACATAAAGTAACCAACTTTTTAGGAAAATGAAGGATACAACCACTCATTCAGAAAGCGACAGCGATACTTGCGATAGTTCGTCACCGATGACACCCACGACGAGCCACAGAGATTTGTTACTGGACGCGTGTAAGCGAACACCAGCACGAGCACTTAATTCACTTTCACCTTCACCCTCGAGGATACCAACCAATACAAATGATAGATTGGATTCTAATAACGATTCGCCAAATCTATCTTACTCTAAGTTCATTAAGAATGTGTCAGTACGTCTGGAGAGAATCCCACTGACAGGATTGTCTTCAGGGTTGAGCCTTAGCACCAGCACGCCCAGATTGATTCAGCATTCAAATCCCGGCACTAGCTACTCTTCCACTTGCATTGTGCGAATCAAGAGACCGTCGAGCGAGCTAGGAATGTCATCGAGCAGCGTTCGGAAAATTTCGAAGAGTAGCGTGAGCAGATTGTAATCGCTTACCAAATCGCGATTACCACCGTGATTCGCGCCACTTGGACGTTCATTGTCGCATGAATTCCGTCACAAGTTCTCTCCACGTACAAAATTGCTTACCTCGTAATTTTCGCTGAATGTGAAAGGCCGTCTCCGAGATCGTGCACGTGCGAGCTTCCAGTTCCTTTTGTATATCTGCAAATATCGTATAACATACAAGTACACACTGCACACTCACACATGCATACATGTGAATTAGACTCACGTAGTAATTCACTGTCGTTTGTTGTCGAATCGCTTACCTTTGTTCGTGTGCGACAAAATATTATTTTGCAAATCCTTTACAATTTTCGTATTTTCGACTATAAGATGGAGTAATGCACGGATTTCCTCTGCCTATATCAACATGACACGTTATGTCTTTATTAAGCATATCAAACCATCATCCTGTGTATATAAATGTTTTTCTTATTGCTGCATCGCGTTAGAACGGTCTTTACGATACGTACTTCGTCCAACAATACTTTCAGTTTTCTATTCTGGGCTATTTGAATGTGCACGTCTTGCAAGAATCCTCTGCCAAAGGTGCTGCTATTACTTCGGCTCTGAAACAATCAAGTACAAATGTGTGATGGCTCTGTAGATTTTTAGTCTAGTTCGTTAAGTTATGCGCACGAGTGATGACGTTAAAATCGTGCGTGAGGAGGAACTTCACTTCGACGATTTTCGCGCAGTCAAAGACAGATACGTCGGCTGCACGTCGCCGGCAGCCGACGTGTCGAAAGGAGAAGACATCTCCTGCCGGTCGAAACAGGTTCTGTATTCTCATGACTCACGTGCAATTACATCAGTTAGGGCAAAGTACACAGAACGATCGTATGAAGTTCTTCCTCTCTGATATAACTGTACAGAAAAAAAAAGAGAGATAAAACACTAACAGCACATAAATCGGGCATACGATCGCGAACCATAGCGAGCCGAATGACTTTCAGAGTCGTCTAACTGTTATTTCCGTAAAATAAAAGCACGCGGTACGTCCGTTATCTTTTTTCTTATCAGCATACTGGAGATATCTCAGATAAAATCCGCCGCGCTGCTCACTGCACTATTCGCGCAGTCGACGTACCACCGCCGAGTGCAAAAGTCACGCTCCGTCACTGAGCGCGCCTTCGACTATAATGCGTGGCACGCGTCTGAAGAAAACTGTGCTGCAACACGCCGCACATGGAAGATACTTTGCATCTCAAATGAAATAGGAAATGGGCACTTGGCGGCGATGTCGCAAGGCCGGCGTTTAGAGCAATTACAAGTGTGCATCTCTTCGCCTAATTTATTAATTTCGTCGATACGATACATTAGAACGATACTTAGATCGCTGCAAAAATTCCCTGCCGTCGCTCATGGCAGAAAATCGAGAACGAATTTACAGTTGTAATATAATTCTTTCATCTGTGGCAAAAACAAATTTTTTTAATTGTTTTTCCAAGAACTCTGATGGCTCAGACCAATTAAAACGGAGAACGGTCGAACTTTCACATTGATCTAATCGCAAGAAGTATCGTAGTCTTGAATTTAGTTGTGAAAAACTGCCAATTTTCATTTTTGTAATATCTATTGATAAGTTATTCACACGGAACACATGATAAAAGTGTATAAATATTACATATTTAGCACGCTATTTAAGTTCCTGCAATTTTGTTAATTATTCGATATATGCAAGTTAAGAATAACGCAATATAATATTATATTATGCGTTTTTAATCGAACAACAATATAGCATGTTTTATTTTAATAGATCAAAATTTTTTTTAATCAAAACGAGGAATATTTTGTTCCCATTGTTAGTTTCATTGTTAATTTTGTTATTGGGAATCTGAGTATATAATTTGTTGTCTGCACTAGTTTTGACTTTTGACATCATTATAATATCACCCGTTGTGATTATAGTGAAAATCATGCATTTTTAACACATTCTTTATGTGTTCATAGTACTTGGTGAAAGAAATGCGATTTCAGTTTATAGTGTGAACTGAGTACTGTGTGAACTATTCTGTGATATTACATAAAGCGTATGTAACTTGTCTCTAATCATGTAAAAATTAAATATCTCTAATATATTTTTCTAATATATATTTTATACATCACAAATATGACATATTCCTCATGAAAAAATATACTAATATATTAAACATTAGTATTTCATAACGGAATTATTTCATAACGGAATATATTTGCAATGTATAATTTCATATATTATTTTAGTAACATCTCTGTCTTCTTCATAAAGTTCTTTATTTGTTTTTCTCTTGCAAGTTTTTGTTAACAATAACAATTAGTTGTATCTAATAAACGAGTGCTTTATGTTAGGAAGACGGGACGAGTACTTATTATCTTGCTAAGAAGCTAAAATTATTACAAGTATTCAAATATATTGAAGCGAATTATCGCTTTAAGTAAAGTATCACCGTAGTTTCTAACTTCCATCGAAGACTATTTTTCGACAATGTTATCCAGACGATATATGTATATATATATTTGCGACATTCTATGCGTCACGAATTGATTGACAGTTTTTCGCAAAACATTGTCCAGTACATCGAGAAAAACCTTTACGTTGAATAAAATGTGTTACGAATAATCGACAATTCTATATGTACTACGTATTGACTTCCTTATTTGTAATTCCTTATTTGTAATAGAATAGATAGAAGATCTATACCTTATACACCGTAAGAACGATAGAAAATACGTATTCCAAGGCGAATCAATCAGTCTTATGAACTCGTCATTTTTAACAAATCAATCGATAATATACTTACTCGATAGTTACAGACAGGCTGTTGATAAATATTAATTTTTCATACTGTTACTGCATGCACAGTAACAACACGCACATCAACATCATTGTATTCTGTTACTGTGAAACCGATGAAATCCAAAATATCTACGTTTTTCAACACTAATACAATATACTACGCAAAACAACAGAAAGGAATAGATCTACCACATTTCAACATTCACAAACGTTTGTACAACCGTATTCGTATTTACAGTAGAAAGTGTATTAAAATATCTTTACCGAGATTTACAACAGAACGGAATGGTATCGCGATTATGTACAAAACATAACAATAAGTTTGTTCGTTTCAAACACATTTTTTATCACTTTTCGCACTTGAATAACGAATGGAAATATCCAGGCCATGCCAGGAACTAGGACGAAGAAATCGAGTGCCGAAAATGCAATTGAAACGAACATACCTAACACGCTCTCGCAGACGGATTGCTCGTAATCTCTGTGTGACCAACGTTAATGTACGTTAATATACATTTATCTTGGCGTGTTTATCTTTTTACATATATTCATGGAACTTCCTTTCATTGTCATATATTTCATATGATTAGTGTAATTTATATCATTTATGTCATTATGTTTGTGTAGCATACGAAAGAGTAATCACATCTTGATATCAATCTTACTAATCAAGTTTAACAGAAGAATAGAATTTTATTACGCAACAAAAAAATAGCATACTTTAAGTTACTTTCCCATAATAATATACCATTCTTGAATGATCATAAAATAGCTTAGAATTTAAGAAAATTTAAAAATTAAGAGTTTTCTGACTTCAAAGTTGTAAAGTTGTAAAGTTTATTCTTAATCACTAAGATATTAATCAACATTATAATATATTAACATATATAATTCTCAAATATCTGGAAATTTTATGATTTCTCTCTAATCAAAAATCGAAGACATGGATATTGTGGTCTCTTTTCTTCCAAAGTATATTCTTATATGATAATTAATAAAATTCTTATTATCATCAAGACCGGATTACTTTTCATATACGTCGCATTTTACGAATATTTTTATTGTATCCTGCTTAGAAATACTGATTTCTGAGCCAGACTTGTCGAGTAACATTTCAAGATTCCTGATATGATTGTATTAAGATGGAGAAAATATTTATCGCTAACAGGATGCGGTTCGCACTCTCACTTTGTCCTTAAGGTAATTGGCGACTTGAGTCTGCGAGTGCCTGATAGCCAGCTGTAACGGCGTAATGCCCTCTTGATTTATGAGCAAAGGATCAGCTCCCGCTCCCACAAGCTGTCTTGCCACCGTCATATGTCCCGTCAAGGCAGCAGCATGTAGTGCACTTTCGCCATTCTGAAATCATAAAGAATATCAATAAGTCTTTTATAATAATAAGATGTTCGTTATGTGTCTATATATAATTATATATAATTAGTATACTATATTATTATATAATTATAATTATAGTATACATTAAATGTATATCAAGAATACATACGAGAATACATATATAGAATGTACAATTTATGTTTTAAATATTTATGTAGTAAGGAAAAATGTGCGTTAAGATAAAATAATTATATCGAAACAATGCAACAATATAATGCGCAGATTAGTTTTTGACTAGTAGTTGGGCCTTTATAGTCTCTAATGTATACGTTATGCCTAACATTCTATTTTCATCAGTATATTTCAGGTATACCATATTTACAAAATAGATAATACTTATACAAAAAAAATTAACAGATATTTCACTAAGTTTTCCTAAGCAAGAGTGTCAGCGGACATTTTACCGGAAGTACGCCGAGCGAAGGACGATACTTGAGCAGTTCGCCGATCACAGCAGTGTGACCTTTGTGGGCGGCTTTGAAGAGCGGGGTCGCACCGTCCTGCAAGGCGAGACAGAGGAGGAGAGGATTATTCAAGACGACAATTTGCTCGTCACTCCGACACAATAGTACGCTTTCGGCAATTATGGAAAACAGTGCGGAGACTGCTCGCGACCTGCCAGGACTTACGTGTCTAGTGGCGTCGACCTTCGCTCCAGCTTTCAACAGCCTCCTCACGACGTGATCGTGCCCCATTTGTGCCGCAATCCATAAAGGCGTGGCGCCGTCCGTTCTCGCTGCGTCGGTCTTCGCCCCGTGTTCCAGCAGGACTTCCAAGATACGGAGGTGACCATTCTGGGCGGCGATGAATAACGCCGTAGCGCCATCCTGCCAAACAATAATCATTCTTAGTTTTTTTCTTGCATATCAATGTGCCACCTTTCTTTCACGATAAATCACTTTTGCGATATATTAATGACATATGAATACGATACGCAGTACTCTAGTGTTACCAGTATGACGATCAAGCTGTTCAACTATACATATTATGTATCTATCTCTGGTATCATATGTCACTAATATGTGCTGATATATAGAGGGTGATTTGCAGCCATGAGAATCGCCTTTCAATCCACTTAGACTACTTGAGCTGAAATTAAAATGTTGAAACTTGACGTTGATTTTTCTTTAAAAGGAATTGTCGAGGGATCAATAGTTCACATGTGACAAGTTTTTCAGAAATAAAAAATTTTTCAGAAATAAAAATGGCCTTCCAAAAACTGAGCTACGAAAAACTTTCTTTCGTTTAAGTGAACATTGATGAACGTGATGTATCTGGGAATCTGTCGTGAAAATGTCTAATATCGGAGATATTGTAGATGATTACAGACTCGTGACGAGTAGTAAAACAACCGTCCCTCGACACTCTTTTCGCCCATAAAATCCACGTCCCACACGCGTAGGATAAATCATATTCTCTTACTTTCATGTGTGCGTTCGGACTGGCGCCTCTCTCTATTAAACCTTCCACGACGTCTAGATGACCATACTGGCATGCGACGAAGAGCGGCGTGCCGCCGTCCTGAAATCCATGTGGAATATATTAGCGTCGCTAGAGCGAGATCTCGTTACCACACGTGCCGACGAACATGCTCGTGGCACGGCGCCTCTCACTTACTATGCTGCACGAATCAACGATCGCGCCGTGCTCCAAAAGCAGATTCGCAATGTCCATGTAGCCACCCTGAGCGGCGAAGAACAGAGCTGTTGTCCCGGTCTGCGAACAAAAGTCAACGTGGAAATTAGCAGAAACGCACGATAAAGATTACGTGTGTTTACGTAACGAGAAGCCACCCACAGTAAATCCAATCGACTGACATTACATCAATGTTATAATTTCAATTATATGTGTTTGTTTTTATACTCTTTATTTACTTATCCATTCATATAACACTTTATTATTTTTGAGAGATTTTTGAACGTTTTTATTTCGGTTTTCGCGTTACTTCGATATTGTGTAACTAAAATTTTCTGAAATTTATTACCGTAACTTCCCGCTCATAATGTAAATATGCAAATACGTTGTGTGTAATGTTTACATCGTTGAGTGGAAAGTTGTGACATTGATGTAACGTTATCGTGAGTTATGTAACGTTATCGTGAGTTATGTAACATTATCGTTAGTTGGTGTTTACTTGGGAGTAATAAAAACCGTGAGCAACAATGTACGCGAGACTGCGCGCGCTTTTGTCTTAGATATCTTCAATACTTTCTAAATTCTCTTACTTTTTAGTTCTTTTTGATATATTCTCCCGTATATACATGAGACTCGCTCGCGCGTGCGTTAAAATTACGATAACGGCGTTAAGGAATGTTAAGTAGCGGTTGCTTTTATTGATCGACGCGAAAGAGAAACGTCAATTTTCACGTAGATCGCGACTCGCCGCCACTCGCGACGACACAAGCTTCTCTTTTATGGTTTCATTAACAGAAAAAAAGAAATAACGCGCAACTTCCTGCAAAAACATGATTCTTATATGCCTTTATATCCGTCTATAACACGGGAAGTTGTACTTAACGGTAAACGTTAGCAGTGGAACCGGTTGCAAAGCAGTCTTGATATTTCGAGCAAATGTCAAGCCGAGTCTCTCTTTCTCTCCAAGGAACGATGTGTAATGCTGTAATGTCACGTTTCTCCTGTCAAACCTCTGTTACGTCAGCCTCTGTGTATCAACTATCGAACTTAATTTCTTACCGAACTGCAGTCGACTGCAGCTGTACAATGTTCAAGAAGATGGCAGAAGGGGTCGTAATTATTGTCTAAATTAAATTCGTCCCGAAGCTGTGCTGTATGCACTTTACTCCACTTTGACAGCCACAACAACAATCGATTTCCACCGAGCGGAGCGGCGTATAATGCCGAACATAGTTTTACGATGCAACGTACATATGCACGCGGCCTTCACCTGATTTAAGATAATGTCTCGCATTAAAGCGTGACTATCCGCCATGTAAAGTGCGCGCACATCGTGCTAGGATCGCGCGGCATAAATTCGGCCGCGGAAACTTTCGTCGATCGCGATCGGGAGCGTTTGCGCGGTTGAACTTATTTCGAGAACCGGCGGCACTCTCGAGCGCAATTAGAATCCGGCGTTACGCTTTCACGTAACGGAAGATAAATTCTATTTGGCCTGTCTGTGTTCGGCGATTTCAATCGGCTCGCGCATCCTGCGAACGTTGGCTGAACGTCATGAAGCGAGTGAGTTGCAAGCAAAGAAGCGAACGCCGGTGTACCATGCAAAATGCGAAGGCGGGGATATTATTGCCAAACTCGCAAATTGTTCTCGAGTCGAAGGCAACGAAGCGCAACGCGCGTTTCTCGGAAGCAATTTAAAAATGAAAATTCAGTCCTACTCTCTATCTCTCGCGGTGAAGGCTTCTCTCTCTCTCTCTCTCTCTCTCTCTCTCTCTCTCTCTCTCTCTCTCTCTCTCTCTCTCTCTCTGTCTTTCTGGATGTTGTTTTCACCAAGTGCATTTGCGACGGCCAGTCTGACAGCACCGTATGGATTATGTATCGCCGAATTCACTTGGCAAGATACGTAGGAAAGATCAATTTCTCTTTCGCGAGAAGATCTCTTCGGCAAGCGTAACTTATGAGTTACGCTTCAAGAGTGGACGCGATGGAATCTCGCGAGAGATAAAAAGATGGTCAATCGACAATTTCTTCTTGTCCCGCGAAATTAGCACAAGCAAAAATATGTCTTGCGACAGTTGCCGGAGTGTTTTCACACGTTGCGATTAAATATAGAAATCATTCTCGCCGCGGTCAACATTAATAGCCGTGCGATCGTCGCACTCCGTTTCGTAATGTTTACCTAGATCCCGTTGTACCAATTAGCGAACTACACAGACACCGCCACGCGACTTGATCAAAGCGGTGAAAGTGTAGGCGCTTTTCGAATTTCCCATAAGTCAACAGTTGCTAATTGGCGGCAACTCGATGCGGTCACAGGCGGATTGAGATACCTGAAACGGTGAAAGATATACCGATTGTACTTGGGGGAGCGAAGCGTCGCCAACCGTGAGATCCGATTCTCATCTCCGATTGTGAATATTCACTTTAACTTGTACGATTACGTAATTTTCACGGTGCACGACCTCTGGCCGTAAGCAAGCCTCTCGCGGTGCACGCCTAGTAGTAGATAATCCACCAGCGAGTCGGACGCGAATAAAGTCCACTTTCACCGCCGTAAAAGCTCCCGTCGGAGGAGCGACGAAGGAACTCGTAGCTTTATCCACCGCTCATTCTACACTTCCGCGATCGACGTGGGGCTGTATATGCACACGTGGACGATTTCGTTGCTTCAATTTTCAAGTGTGGCGGGAGAGAAATTTCCTCCTCGCGTTTTCTATCTCGACTTTTGCCATGTGGTTTCGCGTTTTCGCCGAGCTTAAAAAAACAGAAAGAAAAAAGGGTCATTATCTTCGACGAGAGCGCGCGCAATTCATTCGCGAAAAATGCACTTCCTCTCCTGGCGTCCTCTCCTTTCCTCGGGAGACTCGCTTCTTCGCGCGAAATGAGGACGAATTCGATCCTCCTTGTTTACCGGAAACTTGTTTCGTCTGGTCTCGTTCGCTCATCCGAGATCAACCGACGCGTACACCGCGAAGTTGCATGTGCCGCGAAGCGTGATGCGAGCGCGGGGACATAATACCTATCCATTACTAAACCGCAGAAATTCTATAACGGCGATCAACCTGTCTGTCGGCTCAGCCACCGCCGTCAGTGGAACGAGAGAAAGAAAAGAAAAGAAAAGAAGGAAAGAAATCCGCGGGCTCGCAGTCGCGAGGACTGGCTCTCCTCGCCTCCTCATTGCAGCACTCGCCAGGGATATTCGCCCGTAACGTATGAATGGTATATCAAACTGTAACTCGGGGATGTCCGCTGAATCACAGCCGTAAGTGGCGTAATTTCGCGCGTATATAGCGGTACCGTGCGCGCGCGCGCGCTTCGCAGCTTACGGATGCAGATTCCGCCGATCGAACGTTCGGTGTCGAGCGGAACGACGAAAGGTCAGTTTATTTTCGTTGCACGAGCGGCCGCGGTGTCGAGTCGATTTCAATTAATCTGTCGGAGAACGGCCGACAATTAGCGCTAAATGACGCGCGACAGCCGTCGCGTCGCTCGATATCAAGTGCCAACTTGATTTTAAACGTATCTTTTACGGCCGCTCCAATTAGCGCTCCACATCCTGCATCTGCCGGCGAGGATACGTCGCGCATCTAAGATCCGCGGTTTATCAGCGACTGCCGGATGACCCGACAAGTGTCATTCACCCTCGCGCAGCACGTCGTTGTCCACGTTTAGAGACGATCAATAATCGCGGAGAGAATTTTTAGACGACATCGTGTCCGTGCAGCCGAGAATTCGCTTCTCCGAAGCGTCTCAGATCGATGCGTGCGGAGCGAGCAAAGAGCAAAAATTGTCAACAAACTTATCAAGCGTAAGTTATTGAATGCATTAATGACCGCTGTGGCAATTAGCCGCACGCGCTGCGCGTGACTCTGGGAGGTCTAATCTTCATTTTATGAACGTGAATTTTTACTAGACACTTTGGAAAGATGAATGGTCCAAATCCTCTTCCTTGTTATTCCGGCGAATTTGCGCTTTCGAAAAACTCCGGAAACGTATCCATTTTTCTCGGTCATTTTCCTCTTTCGTTTCTTTCCAACTTGGCGCGAGCTTATTCGTCGGCCGCCTGCGTCTTGCTGATAACCGCGGTGTAACGCGGATAAAACGTTCGGACAGGCCGCATACGCGTTTGTCAGCGATACTTCCTCAACTTGCATATTATCGTCGTTGCGCGTACACGTTGCATGTTTCGCAGGTGCCGCTATTAAGAGGCGCACGCGAACTTGCACGCACGCGGGCATTTTACGGTTTAGCGGCAAGCTCACGTGCTTCGTTCGCATGTAACCTTGGAATGTTTCTCGTTCCTTCGGTAGCTTCGCCGCGAATTCGCCGCGCGATATTTATACTGCATACAAAACGCAGTTAAGCACGATACATGCGTCGCCGTCTGTTGGAATCAGCGCGAGAGTGGATCGTTGAAATCGCGCGGCGTGGGCGCGTGATTTCCACGCTCGACAAAAGTGGCGAATCTCCAATCGCTTCGCTTTGCGAGCTGAATTCGCGGATTATCATTGCCCGCTAATTACGGCCGTTCGCCGAAGAATTTATCGACGAATTATCGCGCGATAAATTAATATGAAAACTGAAATGAGATACAATTACATGCGCCGCGAGTAACGGTGTCGGGTCGGCGCGGCGCTAATAATTCCTGAGGTGGGAATCGCGTCGTTTTCCAGCCCGCCGGTGAAAATGATCCCCGCTGCATCTCGATCCGCTGATTGCGTAAGACGACGGACGCGTTTAACGGGTTTTAACGAACGTTTGCGTAATTCATCGCCGAGCACGACCGCCGCGTCTGGCTGCCGCCGCCGCCGCCGTCGTCGTCGTCGTCGTCATTTATGCTCGATCTCGAGAACAGCATACCGTACACGATCTCGTGGCTCTCTCGATCGCTGAACGTTACACATTTCTATTTTCGAGCGCGTTCGTTCGTCACGCGACGTGTTTTCTCACCGATTTCCAACAGTAATCGCGTTTGCCGATATCTGGAATCGCGCTTCCAGATATCGTGCTTCGCGAGTCGGCGCGTTTGCATTGCTGATTTTTGCCATTTTCAATTTGTTACTACCGTCACTTTGCAATTTTAAATTCAATTGTTTTGCATTGTTAATCTCTCTCTGTCAGTATCGTTAACGCGATACAATAAATTTTTATTTTCGAGAGAACTAATGCCGAAATGCGAAAATCAAAATCCGAGCCGTTATTTCGTAAATCGCGAACGATGCAAGACTGAAACGCGTAGTCATGTCGCAAATGTAAGCAACGGCTTGCAATACTGATTTGTATATAAACGGACTTTTATATTTCCTAAAATATACGGTGTGAGCGCAACGTTGCTTCGTTGTACGCCGGTGATCTTGTCATCAATTTGCATACAATGCCGTAATTCTGAGTGGCACGAGGCACTGTGGTAGAAAGAAAGGGAGAGAGAGAGAGAGAGAGAGAGAAACGTGGTAAGACGATAAATCCTCACGTGGCACTTAAAAAAGGAATACTCGACAGCTCCCTGGTGTGCTTCGAGCGACATGCTGCGCGATGAGCTTTTTACATCTCTGCTTTTACATCGCTGGGACTCCTCAACGAGCGTAAAAGCCCGACGCGTGTGAAGCGATAGAGGAAAAAGAAAAGCACGACGGACCCGCAGATAGTGAGGCCCCGGGAAGTTTTACAAATTCTATTTCGAAGCTGCGACACTCGCCGCGCAAGCGTCTAAAAAAAGAGATCCTTAAGAAGAAGATCGTGAAGTCCGAACTGCTGACGAGTTACGCAGAGCACTTACGACACGAGCTACCATAATACGTAGAAGACACTCTTCAAGAAGCAGGTGGGTTCTTCGACGAATTCGGAATACGAATTTGTCCACGGTAAAAGTGTCGACGCGCCGGCAATTATAATCACAAATGAATTATCCCCGGCGACTGGAACTTTACAAGTGCACGCAGCAAGACATTATTTTTCATAATAATGCTTATTTTAATTTTTTCTCTCTAGACTTGATTATGAAGGAAATATCTATTTCTTTGAAAGGCGAATGAATTACCGCGATACTCAAATGGAATGTCCACGAAAGTGCGCGATCGAATGTTTGTCGGGAGAAAGGTCGACGGCGAATCGATCTTGAGGAATCTACACTTCCAAAGCCGGATATCTAATTGCTGGTATTATCTGCGATTGATCTTCTAATCGAATATGTATGAAATAAGCGAAGTCTCTTTCGCAATGGCAATTAATGGGCGGACCCGAGATGGCAATATATTAGGCCATTAGGCACCGGTTTTATTAAAATACGCGATGAAATAGTGCGCAATTCCGCAGACACGCATCTAGACGTCATCCTGCTTTATTTTCTCGATACTCAGCATCAAAAATAAACGTCGTCAAACCGCGACTAAACACATCATCAACGCGGCGCCGTAATAGTCGTTTGCAGAACGTTGTGTCTCGCAGGTATGCGATCGCGTAGTAACGCTTCCGATTACACACGACGCTCATCGACGATTAGAACGAGGTTTAGAACGAATTGAACGCCTCGATTAGGTTCTACGCAAAGTAAAGTTGCGATATATTTTCACGAACGTCTATAGGACGAGAGTAATGATGGTACCTGAAGCGGCGGAGTCCTCAAAATATCGCTTATCTCATCAATGTTGACTGTTTAAAAAATGATAGAGTTCGATTGATTACTGATAACGTACTCGTGTACACGATTATTGACAACTTGAGAGCAAACCCGCTGAACATCGCCACTAATCTCTCACACGCACTATACCTAATCAAATCGCAATCGAGTCAAAGTGCACTTTCACCTTGCACTCGAGTTTTCAACAAGCGGAATCGCGCCGTTACATAAATTCATGAATGAACACCGGACGCTAGATTTTTTCTACTTTCCCTTTCCTCTCTAACTTCTGAAACATGAGAATTTCGAGGGAACATCGCCTCTAAATTTCGACCATTGTTGAGTAAAACGACGAACATGACGCGTCTCTGTCGTCCCATTCAGACAGCGAGTCTCGTTCATTCACGCCACGGAAACATTGTTCGCACGTGGAAAAGATCAGAATCACTCACCAGCCTTTTGGCATTAGGGTCCGCTCCTTGATGTAGTAACTCGGTCACGGCGTCAATGTGGCCAGCGGCGGCAGCTAGTATCAAGGGTGTCGTGCCATCCTGAAAAAGAGAAGAAAAGTCAGCTGAGCAGCCTCGTTGTGAAACTTCGCTCCGACGACTCGATTAGCCGCGAAACTTTCCTCTCGGCGAGCGTTACTTCCACCGTCGAATGTATGCCGTATTTTCTAGTCGATTCTTGGCGAGTTATTAAGATAATTCTAGGTCTGTCTGCGTGCTAACACGTGACTTAATGTACGACAACGATAACATGTTACATCGTCTCCTCTTTATTATCATCGCCGAGAGACTCGAAGTCTTCTTTTCTTCCCTTTTCGACGCGTGCGCGCGCGCGTGTGCGATAATATAATTTTTATTACATATAATTATATTTAGTAAATGTAATTTTTAATTTAAATTTATACCAATGTATAACAATTAACGAATATATTTATCTAACATATAAAATTATATGTGTTATATTATGTGCTAAATTTTCGATAATTTTCGATCACGATTTTTTTTGGTACGCTGCGCGTTCGAAGACAAACGAATTGGCGATCACATTCAACGACGATCAAATGGCATCGTGGGCTCGATTCGACTCAGCCTGGCCACGACACGATTCCATATGGATGAGCTCGCGAAAATACGCCGGTAAAACGCGCGGCATCCGTTGCCGAAGTGGCACGATTAGTACGTATGTCCGCGCGTGTGATCTAATAAACCACTTTCGAGACGCAAAGAAGAGTAACGTTACTCATGCTGCTCGTTCCTCGTGCATCGTCTCATCGTTTGCATAATGAGACTGGCCGTCAGCAAGGAAAGAGGGAGAAAGAGAGAGAAAACTGACGGCCGTAAATCACGCTTCTGCCGTGAAATCACCGATTCGTCGTTAAATTAGTTCTCGCGTTTCCAAAAAAAGTAGTTTCGAGCCCGTCTCTGACAACGCTCTTTTCGAGCGACCCGAACCAAATCAAATGTCTTTTGGCTTCCGGCCCGTTTGGATCCGATCTTTCGCTGATAACATCATCAGTCTCGAAGGGAGGATCATTTTTCGATTAAATCTACGCTATCTACTTCCGGCTGTCTATCGTTTACCTTTTCGGTAGATCGGAACGTTTTATGATATAACAAGGGAGCGTTAAGATATATTTCCCGACAAATAACGCGATGGCTTTCCTGGATTTTATCGCGGGGAATAGGGGAACGATATCCACCTTGTCCTTACAATCGACGTGGACGCGTCCAGAGTCCAGCAAAACACGGAGACGTTTGGCATCCCCACGTGCCGCCGCCAGGTGCAACTCCACGTCCCAAGGCGACTCTTTCTGTAAAAACGAGGAGATAACCGATTAGATACTAATGGGCTTTTTCACTTGATTGATCGCGTAAAGTAGCGGTTGTTGAAAGAAACAGTGAATGATAGGAAACCGCGCGAGAATGTTCCGTTAAATTCTGCACGAACATAAAATCGAAAGGATACGATCTCTTCGAGCGGTCTGTCGGGAAAAATCGATCTCGAAATTGGAAAATGCGTCATCTGACCGACGGAATGCGTGTCTTTTGCATGCTACAGAAGAACAAAAAACATTTTGCAAGATACATGAAAGCAGATATTCCATAAAATATATATTTGTACTTTAGCGAGTATTTTATTTAAATAACTTTATAATTTTACTTTATTATACTCTATATTTTATAATATTATTTTAATAAATACTTCATTTACATAAATAACTCGATACAAATATTTGTATATGTCACCCACCACGGATTATTAAAGTGTCAACGCATTAACGAATATAGACATGGCGAAACAATCGAAAACATTACCATGTATCGAATCCGACACGGAAGAATTCCGGTGCCAGACGTCGGCCGAGTGCAATGTACGTAATAAAAGTGTATTCATAAATATGCATACAACTGACTGAAACAAGGCGCGACGCGACCCGAAACTCGCCAAATATTTTTAGCGCCTCCATAATCCCGAAAGTATCTCCGCCACTGTCATCGGCACGTGGCGCCGATATTTCAGTCAGCCGCGAAGGCCGGCTTTTATTTCCGATCTTTATTTTACGACGGAACGATGAATGCTACGCGAATATTTTTCAACATTTATTTGCTCGCGCAAGTCCACACTCCGTCCCATGACACAATCGCGATGAATTTGACCTTCGTTTTCGATGTTTACGGAACGATTCCAGCGGTGACACAAACATACCTTTTGCAGACATATTTTGCAGAGACGACAAAAAAAACGAAAAAAAGAGCGAAACGATACATCGCGTGTGGCTTACACCGAGAAATTAGACGTGCATCCCAACCGATTTTTACGTCTCAATTATTCCGTCTCAACGAGACCCTCGCGTAGGGATGCTGATTTAAGATTAAATCGATTTAATCGAAGATCGATTAATCGGATAAAGCCTAAAAGATCGATTTCAAATCGATTTTCTGGAACTGAATCAATTCAAGAATCGATCTGTAAATTCTGAAAATCGCCAACATGATTTTTTCAGTTTCTATAGTAATATACGTAGTTTCCGTTTTACTTCTTTTAGTTGTAACATTTGAAGTCATTCAATAGTCACAATGCACATTTATGTTGCCTTTAAACCGATGTCCCATAGACGAGAATTTTCAGCGGAACGAAACGCGCGAACCAATCACAGCCACTCTATATAATAGTATACATTGTATACATATATATGTGTACATAATAGTAAACGTGATTTCTTATTTAATAACGTTTAAAAACCCTTGATTGACGTTTAATCAAACTAATTAAATCCTTAGCACAAAGATCTAAAGATCTTTTTCTATTTTGTTCTGGCCACACACACACACACACAGAACACAACCAAAAGAATACCATATGTTTAATTTCTTTAATTCATATTAAAATTTAATTTCTTTAATTCATATTAAACTATATGAATTACACGAGGTCTACTTTAGAGTGTAGAAATTTGACAGATAATACTTTAATGAGTAATAGTAGTAGTAGTAGTAGTGGTTCTTTTATTTTAATGAGTGGTTCACTTTAATCGATTTTCTGAATTCAATTCTTTATAAACCGTCTTCTTCTCCGTGATTCGAATCGATCTTTAAATCGATCTGTTTGAAAAGAAATCGGCATCCCTACTCTCGCCCCGAGCTACCTCGAAAAATTCCACGCGGACGGAGAAAATCGGCCTGTTGACGTGCGAGCGGTGTCCGTTATTCGCCGATATTCGCGTCACGGATCGCAGACGTAAAATTGCGGAACGCGCTTACCGTTGTGATCGGTAAGCACTCGATGGCGCGGAAAAGTCTTATTGCAGGATTTCACGACGTCGATTCCGTGTCGTCGACCAATGTTCTCTTGCCTCCTGTAGCGGAACACACACCCGCGGAAGAATCCGCTGGCGATGAAGCGGCGCCTCGTCGCGCACGGACACGCTCGCCTTTTATTTTTAATCGCGCCCGCAGGTGTGCGCCCATTCATGGCGAATAACGCGCTAAATATAAAAAGATACATGCGCGTACACTCTCGTCGCGCAACTCGATGTCGTCGAGCACGAGCTCTTGTTCTTTCCTCGCCAGACACGAAAATCGTGCGGTATCAACGTGAAGATTAAGTACAATCGCGTTATGTGCGCGGTGAGAAACGAGCGAGAGGAAGCGACGTTCTCTTCCGGAAAGTCCCGGCTGGCCAATCAGAGACTGAGCAGGGATAGAGGCGCAATAACTAAATGGCGACGATTACGAATATGTATTGCGAAAACAGCGCACGGGCTTCTCGCGATCGCCGAAAAAATTTCGCGCTATTATGACCCCTAAACGAGAGTAAACAACTGATAAGCGACGCGACTTCTCGCTATTACTCTCTTCCTCTCTTTCTTTCGAGCAAAGGTGAATCGCTCGACGTAATAAAAACACTGCAAAAAAGGTACAGTCCGAGCGGAAAACGCACGACCTCCTTGGAAAAATCGTCGACTAAATTCAGTTCAATTAATAACAAATGAAAACCGGAGAAATGGCCGTTCCGAGAACTCGCCGAGGGTGACGAGAGTCACTTCCTGAAAATCGCGATGACACGAAGAGAGCGCGAGGCGTATCCTCAGGTATACCTTCGACTCGTCGATACTCACCTTCATGGACATGTTGAAAGCCGCGGCTGCTACCGTGCGCTCGATCAATCATTCGATTCGTCGCTCTTCTCGTCGGTGCAGAGGAACAAGCGCATCGCGTTTCGTCGCGACGCGTCGTCGTTCATTCACTCGATCGTTCGTTCTCGTCGCTTTCCGCGTGCACTCGAGCGCAAACAATCATGAAAACAACCCACCCACCCAGCACGGAGCGCGTCCCGCTACTGAACGTGATTTTCTGTCACAGCCCGTTTTCAAACGTTCGCTCCTCTCACCGAAACACCCGCTCTCTCAGCACGTCACCTCACCGGCTCGCGCGAAACGTCCGAACGTCATCGCGACGAGTGACGTCGTATGTACTACGAGCGCTCCGATTCAACTGCGCGTCCCTCGCGTGAGCGCATCATAGTGACGCGGACGTCCGCACTGTGGCAGCACTTCCCAGTGCTCGGCGGCCATCTTGAGACCGGAGCCCGGCAACTTTGATTTATCGAATGAATCGCTGTAAAACCTTCCACACGTTTGGATATTCACGCATTAACCGACGATTTTATATCTACAGAAAACTACAGCTACATGTATGCCACCTCATGTATGCATCTCATATTTTTATTTTAAAATTTTTCAAAATAGCTATAATTTATTTTTATATTAGAATATTTGTGACCTGCTGAATATAATAATTGTCAAACAAGCTTTAACTTTCATATTTACTGCTTTAATCACAACGTCAACAATAATAATTTAATAGAGCATAATATAAATTTAGATTGCATAAAGAAATACTGTTGTTGAGTAAAATTGCATGCAGTTTGCTACGCGTAACGCCTTAATTACACGCTTAAGAACAATACATTTAAAAATAATAGTCTTATGTTCTAATATAAATTAACAATATTATACTATATAAATATAATATACATTCTTTTTACTTTACTTTTCGTGATCATATGTAACTGTACATAGTGCAGTGTACACACATTTATGTCACGAAAGAAAAAAAAAATTACGTTATGAAATGATTGGCTGGACAATTTGATACTACTCAGGGTGTACTTCATTAATATGTCGCAGAAAAAAAGTGACCTTTACTTGTTCTACATGCCGGCATAGCTTCATAGCCGCACTCATTCGCAATTTCATATGTTGAGTAAGAGAGGGAAGATTCAGCAGCAAAAATGCAAGACCATCAATTTCCTAAAAAACAAACATATCAATATTTATGAGAATCCAATGTCAGAATCTATTAATTCCAATTATTATACGCTTATACATTCACCTCCTCCTTGACACGGTATGCGAGATCTTTGCAATCGTTCGTTTTTCTAAGATACCGGAACACGTCGTCTACGGACCAGAATAAAGGATTTGAATCAAGTTTTCGGGTCTTCGGTCGTCGTTGCGTTTTCTGCATCCTCACATACTCGGCATCTGCCTCAGAGCAATCAGATTCTATGCTCGTATCCCAATCTCGTTCCCTCTTAAGGTTCCCTCTGGTGATTCCTGAATTTTGATTGAATTTCGTGGAATGTTGTTTAGAATTCAGACTAGGAGGGCTACACGGCCCCCTGTCCTTCGTCTTTCTATCGTTGAACGAACTACCAGAATCTTCCGAGACATTACTGGAAGGTGTTTCAGTCTTAAAATCATCCGACTTGTCGGATTTCTCTAATCCTTTCTGAATCATAATATCTATTTCCGAGAGCGGTTGTCTCCCGTCGAACGTCTCTTCAAGACTCTCCGAGACATGCTTTGCCAGATTTAACGGCATAAATGGCATTTCTTCTTCATGATCATCTTCGTCATGAACTTCCTTATGTTTATTCGCCCATCTACCCCGTCTCCTTTTACGTCTTCTGCCCCAGGGTTTCGGCTTTTGCACCATGATACTCGTATATCCTTTCGGCTTTCCTCTTTTTCCAGTTCCAACCGACGCTGCTAAAAATGTCGATTAATATACTTTATAAAATGTTTAATGATAATAGCATAAAGATGCAATTTGCTATTACGCGATATGTAGAACTTCTTCGAAATATATTGTATTACTTACTATATTTTGTCTTGGATGTTTTGTAGCATTCGTCTGGACATTGATTTTCCGGGACATGTAATGGACCGAATAAATTTGGACACACCATTAATTTCTTGCATATGTTCCGGCAAAAGTCAGCTACCATATCTCCGGATGTAACAATAGCCACATTCGCACGATAAGTGTTATTCTTGTGCTTCGCCTTCAAAACTTCCAAGTGGTAGCCGGGATCTGGTTTGGAGTCGCATTGTAATACCTTCAGTATTCTAGCGCTCCTATAGCCAACGGATACAATCATGGACAAAACTTCCCGCATGACCAATACAACTGGTCCGGGTCCTACTGCTTTTGGAAGAGTCGCTAATTTACCCTTTGAGATCATTGGGCCTGTGAAACATCGGTAATTAAAATATATTTTTGGACACCAGAGCGAAGATCGTGGCTCAGATATCGGTATGTCTAAAACATTGTTCTTTTCTTCTTTTACAGGTGTCTGCAGCTTTTTACACACTTCGACATAATCCCTTGGTGGTTTCAGCGGGTAGTGATTGGACTCGCACCATCCGACAGGAAAGATCTTCAAGGAACGCATGTCGACTATGTGATCTGGCCGGCAATGTTCGTAATTATCTAATTTAATCCATAAGAGATTGTCGACGATCTTAGTGATGTGAGCGGCGCATATCACATCTTCATGTTCTGGGTCGACAGCTTCCAGTCTCATACCGCATTCGAAGCCTGCCTCAGCAGCACTCTCGCGAGTAACAAACAAACTTTCGGGTGCAGCACTAGCATGAAACATTTCTAAATATTCATTCCAGTCAAAGTTTTCAGTCTTTCCGGTCCAACCTAACGGCTGAATAATCCTAAATAAAGAGAATGACACATTTTTTATACAAATATATCTATAATCTAAGCGAATTAAATATTTTTACTCTGAAATATTATATAGTTGTCTATGTTACTTATAAAAATATTTTATCTATTATTATATATCTATATGTAACTTTTTAAAAGAATTGTGCTAAAACAAATTATTTAAAAACACATTTGCTTACTTAATATTGTGTTTTTCTGCCCATCCAATTGGAAATACATACGGATGTTCTGCAGTACATAGCCACGTATTATTTTCTGAATTATTGGGGACGGGTGCATCTTCTGGTCCACTTAAACGATTAATGTGTGTATCCACATTTACAAGAAAATATGTGTCGTCGAAAACTTTCGATACAGTAGCTGGATAGATTTTTGTACAATTTTTTGGACATAAGGCTTCCATTTTCATCCCAATCTGAAAACTATGCTTCGGGTGATCGATATTATTGTTGAATAATTCTTCTGGTGGCTCGCAATCTTTTGGTTTAGATTCTAGCAAGTCCTTCCATTCTTCGTACGTGTGTAAATCAACTATCGAAGTGGGTGGTTCTAAGAACCAAGTAGAATTTGATTTAGATGTAAATCCGTATGAGTGTAAACGTTCGGATGTACAGAATACCCAGAAGTTTTCGCGAAAAGAACCCGGCGTATCGTATTTTAATAAAAGACGCCCTCCAATGTTTTCAATAATCTGGGAAAAGAAATATAGAAATATAGTCCCATTAGACATGTTTCTAAATAATAAAATACATAATAAAATCAATACTAAATATATTTTTGCATCAGAGTATATAGCAAGAAATAATTCCTTATTTCTATAATATCTTGTACTGTTTTTCTTCCTATGTTCATTTTTATGTATGTCTAGTTTTATATAAAATATTTTTTAATTTTTTTATTCACAAAATCATACATCTAATATAAAATACATACCGTAGCTACCCATAGTTTATAGGGATGTAATACATCACTTATTTCTACTTTCATATCCTGCTCAATTCTATCTGTCATACTGAGACCATTCTGTAAGATAAATTAAGTGTCATGTTAAGTTGTCTTAATTCTAATGTAAAATTCTTGAGAAAATCTTTGCATCTTACCCCTGTTAACATCTCAGATGGAAGTGCACGTGCTGTTATAAGAAATTCGCGCAACTTATCTATGCAGTCTGGTGATCTTTCAAATATAGAGTCAGGTGGTTCCAATTTTTTATTATTTTTTAAGCTCCAACCAATCTCATGGCCAGCTTCTTTTGTAAGATTAAACCAAAACTCTAATGATCTGTCATCACCACCAAAATAACGCAACCTTAGCAAAGGCCCACAAGCCATGACAATATAAGCTACCCAATACGTCTCTTCTTGATCATTATTCTTTTGTACTGGTACTTCTAATGCCATGCCAATCTCAATATTGTTCTGCAGAGTCAACTCGACGTGAGGAAACATAATTTGTGGGACTTCCACACTCTCTGTGGCGTCAAGATAATCTTGCCAAACAAATCCATATTCTAAAATTTCAAATTTTATGTAATATGCATACAATTAATTATAATATAACAGCAATTATAATTTTATCTTGATATAAAAGTTTATAAACTATTTAAACGTAAATATAGATACGCCGTATATGTGCGCGTATGCATGTGTGTGAGTGTAGGCGCGCACTCATGTGCGCAAGTGTGCGTGTTATATATATGTATGCACGTGCTTACGTGTGCGTCGGGAGCACGCGTATGTGAGTGTATCATGAATAACAGGCGTACAAAATGTAATAATCATCTTTTTTTTTCGAACAAATGTTTGACTGTAAATTTTCACTTATTATTTGCATTAAAATTACTTTACATTTAGTTATTTTATTTATTTGTATCATTACAATAATACGTGTAGATATAAATTATGATGAATGAAAAGTTCTTTTGCCAATTTTCAATTAATAAAACTACTAATTTGGCAAAGAAATCGAATATATTAGAGAGATATATAAAATACCATTTTTTTACGAATATTAATGGAGAGTAGAAATTGCTACACCAACATATACTTGAACATTTATAAAACTATATACAAGGTTACAAAAAATTGATTTTATCATTACGTATAATTGTTACGTGCGGGGCAAGATCGAACAACCTGTTTATTTCTTGGAAAGCTCATTTAGAAGCAATTTCAATTAACGTGCGTACATACACGTGCCTGTGTATTATGTGCAAGAATATCTCGAATATTCTACATATTCGCTCTTTCTTGAAGTGGCCTCGTACATGATCAGTGTTTAAAATAATTAATATAACGCGAGCATTATTTTATAATTATATATATGTATTATTTTGACCTTACATAACATAAGCCACGGATTTTACATACCCGAAGGCGCGCAGTATATAAAAGTAAAAAAAAAAATTGAAACGAAATGAGCGACTATTAAAAATACTCACCACCATCCTGTGTTCGATTTTCTTGTACACGACTCTCGGACGCCTCCATAATTTCTTTGTTTTAAGTTCGCGAACGAAATGTACCCTGTGTTTAGTACATCTGACGCAGGGTTCATACGTTTTGAGTATGAAATAAAAGAGGTAAAGCAAATCGAAACTATTTCTACGATTCACCATGAAGTAAATGATCCGGTACAATAGAGATTGCTTCCGTAATTTGTGACAACGCATATAGACACTCGCGACGCGAGCAGGCTGAAAACAGAACTGTTCCACTCTTGCGATATAATTTGAACCTAAAATAAATTGCCTTGTTCTTATTAAATGCATAATTAAATTTTGCATATATAATAAAAACGTTTCAGGGATGACAGAAAGCATTACATTATCATATTTTATTCTTTTGCACACACATAATCCATGAAAATACATGCACAAGAGTAATCTTATCACGATTGAAATTCTAGTTATTTTTGGTTACCGTTAAATTTCCAGTAATTTTTGTGTTCTTCAAGGTTACCTTTAGCTACACTATACTGCACTTTCTGTACCTAAAATAAAGTTGATGTAAATCGAAATTCAGAAGGAGCGGAGGAGGAGAAGAAAGATTGTAAAAAAATATCAAAAATACAGTTAAAATTATATGACGTATATGTTGTTGATTGAAGAATTTCTGGAATTTTCTTAGAATTTTTAGGATTCTAAATATTCTCTAGCCGACCAATCATTTCTTTAGATAGCAAACGGTCATAAAGCATGAATATCTAGATATGGTACGTTTATGTTTATATTTTAGGGGCTATTCAAACCTACATTTAAATCTCAACCTGCGACCAACTTCACATCGAAGCGTGCATGTGACTGAAGTTGGCTATACAATTAAATTTAATCCCCCACTCAGGTTATAGGTTTAGTTGTGATATCAGTCAATGATAGTAACATTTCGCATACAATTCGAATTTGTCATCAAAATCTATCGATGATATTATCATCTTCTTTGTTTTATATTTTAGTCTGCATGTTGCGTGTCATTGTAACAAAGATCGATAATATAATGGTCAAAACCTGATTCAATAGCAATGTCAAAATTGAACGAAATACTGCTTTATTTCTTATTGACTGTCATTGCTTCAGCCGTACGTATTTTATAATATTATATTTATCATTTTAAGTGTTTTATGTTTTTATTTCTTACTTATATCTGTCTAAGAATCTTAATAGAAAAATTGTGACTCTGAAAATAATGCGTTATATTAAGATCTATCAAACTGTAATTTTTATCCTTTAATGAAATGTTAAATGGACTGAAGTATTTGACAAATTGTTAATTGAATAGGATTATAAATTGTGTATTTTCATTGCAGACTTTAACTGTGATTTCTCCAGCTCCCCATTGTATAGTACGTGAGCATGATCTAGGTTTTGTACACAACTTGACGCAATTGTCATCAAATAACGAAGATATTTTTATTGAACATCCTACTGAAACAATACGTATGCAATTATGTTTCCCACTGAAGAAAAAATGTAATAATCAAGATGGATATGCAATATGTTTAATAAAAAATGGAACTGAAAAGGGAATAGGTAATAATATATAGCGCTAAGATTTTATTTTGTCTCAATCATATTATTAGAGTGAGCCTAAAGTAATCTTATTTTATTTTTATAAACAGGAAGGTTTCCTCCGCAAGTAGTAAATGATACCGGGAGGATTTTATTTAATTATACTGGTGATATTTGCTTATCTTCAAGTAATTATACAGTACTTATCCTTATGAAATGTGATTATAGTGCAAAGGATAACTTGAGTCCTGAGTTATTTTCATATGTGAGTAAACAATACTTTTTTATATATGTTATAGCAAATATTAATAATTATATGTAATGAAAATATTTGTAGAGAGAAGGAGAATGTAATTTATTCATAGTATGGAAAACAGCATTTGCTTGTGGACCCAGAACTCAAACAAATTGTACAATTGTCAATAATAATCAGCATTATGATTTAAGCCCTTTAACAAGGTATTCGGACAATTATGTAATTCATATAGGAAATGAAACATCACCCAAATTAGTGCTAAATGTCTGTCATTCTGTAATACGCCAACGTGGCTCTATATGTCCAGTTAAGACAGGAATCTGCTTGGATGATCCTAAAAGATCTAATAGGTAGATATACCTAGAATCATTATGTTATTTGAACTATTTATTCATATTCTCTTTAGATAAATTCACATCTATCATATATTGTTTTAGATATTCAAGTTTAGGTGAAGTACAAGAGTCTCCTTTCTTCACAAATGGACGTTTGCAAATAGAGTATAAGAATGGTGGAATATGCAGTGTACTGAGTATTGTAACACCACACATTAAAACAACCATCATATTTATTTGTGATTTGGAAGCTAAAACGGTAAAACAAATATCACAATATTATTTTATATATATATATACACGTGAAATATATATAAAATAAGTATATTTAATAAATACCATGATATTGTATTGATAGGAAACTACTCCAGAGTACCTTAGAGGACAAGAAGAATGTCATTATCGTTTAATATGGCGTACTGCTGCAGCATGCAGTGTCGAGGCTTTACGTGATTATAGTGCTAAAACAGCAGGCAAATGTACTGTTACAAATCCGCTTACAAATTTTACGTAAGAACTATTTGATTTTTTGACATTTTGCGATTTAATGTTTGCAAATAACAAATCTATAAATTGATAACGTACTTTTTAATGTACAGATATAACTTGCAGCCGTTGATGAACAAAGACTTCATTGTTACAAGTTCAAGCGATATAGAATACAAATTCAGAATATGCGGATCTCTTACGGATAATACATGCGGCGCTAAAACAGGTGCTATAACAATAAATAAAACTATATTATATATATCGCGATTGTTTGTGATTTAACTTGCATCGATTATGGATATCTCTTTTTTTTTTTGTAGGAGTATGCGATTCCAAACACAATGCGTCATTGGGTCAAGCTAATGCTAATTTAATATGGCAACAAGGTGGTCCCTATTTAAATTATACCAACGGAAAAATATGTTCGCAAACTGGGATGCGTCACTATACGATTATCGGATTTTTCTGTGGGCCAGAGGGATCGACCAATGCACCATTTCTCATGGAAGACAACCCCTGCCAGACCGTTATACATTGGAATAGAGACTTAGTTTGTGAAAAAAGAGCAAGTATTTAAAAGATATTGTCTGTTTTAATTTATGTCAACGTTTAAGTCAATGTGTACATGTACGCTTGTGTGTATTTTTTTGGCGTAATCAAGAATTTCTTCGTCTAGCTTAAATGCGCTACTGATAACGACGATGAGATTAACTTGACTCCTCTGATACAATCTACAAATAATTATGTTGTGAAAATCAATGATACAGAGTTTCACATAAATATATGTCGACCACTGGTTCCTACTCGTGGTCTTACATGCACACATGGTAGTGCAGCTTGCAAAATTTCAGTAACTGCACAGGGTGAATATACTAATGAAATTGTGAGTATATTATATAAGTTTACGTCCAAATGATTATTTCAAATTTATAATTGAGATATATTGAACTAAGCTCTCAATAAGGCTGTGTTTTTATAATAAAAAACAAAATAATAATCAATAATTTAATAGAGTTTAGGATTTCCCGTTGTCAGTCCTACATTAAATAAAGATTTACGAACAACATTACATTATTTGGGTGGATCAGAATGTCCAGACCATCCAACTAAATCAATATCTTCAAATTTCACATTTATTTGTGATGATAACAACCAGGTAACTATGTATATACTGTATATACATTGAACTCATTGAGTCCATATTTCATATGTTATGTGATCTTATGAAAGATTCATTTTTACAGAAACTTCCAGTTTATAAAAGCTTTGTTGATTGTACTTATATGTTTGAGTGGAAGACAAGCATAGCATGTGGAGCAGTGATGGGATCTTGGACGCCACCATGTGCTATAAAGGATGGTTTTCTTTCACATGAATATGATCTTTCTTTGTTGCACAAGAATCAACAGATACATTATGTGAGTTTTAAGTACATCCTACAAAAGAATTAAAAATACTATAAAAATATAAATAGTAATGTAATAAATTGTATATTACGTATATGTTATGAGGGTGTAGATCTGACTGTTATCTTGTAATTCGCGCTAAATATCGCATGATTGCTTATAATTGCAGGTGAAAGGTAAACAAGGTAAAGAATATGGCATAAGTATTTGCGGTGGAGAGAAGTATTGCAATGGTTCTGCAGTGTGCCATGAAAACAATGGTTATGGATCGCTAGGAAGTGTGATTTTCGACTATAGCCGAAACGATATTAAACTTAAATACACGAATGGCAGTAAATGTAACAATAGTCAGTAAAATTTCATTACATTTCACTATGTATTTACAATTTGTTCATAACTGCACATATTTTTTTATAACAGACTCCTATTCGTCCGAGGTCAGATTTATATGTGACGAATCTATGGGCGTCGGTACACCAAAGCTATTATTGGTAAGTGAACATTTCAATTGAAGTATATAGCGTTCCTCAGTAAATCATTAGTAACTAATTAACTAAATTTTCTTTTATATAATATTAAGTCATTCATTACTAATTCAATCAGTATTAATTCTTCTTCAAAATGGGTAGAGCACTGCATGATTCGGATTTGCTATTTTTTCAATATTTTCCAATATTCCAATATTTGTGTAAATGATCTCACCTATATTTCTCATCTATAAATCTGCATGCATACAAAAACACACATGTCATGTATTTATATGTCTACATACTCACTCATAATATGCAACATACCATATTTTCGTTTCGACATTAAACAGTTTAATTAAACTTGGTAATCAAAAATTATAATATAAAGAAATGAAAAAACCATTCGAGTCATATGCAGACGGAGAAGTGAAAGCGATAAAGATATCATAGTGATACGCGCCCGCGCGTATTCCACTAAATTCTTGGTTGTTAACATGTCTTAATTGGTTTCATTCTGTCATTTGCTTGGCTTTTGATTTGATAGATTTTTCCATTTTTTTTTATTTTCTAATTTTCATATCGAAGTATTAATATAATATGCGCACGTAATATCGAACGTTACACGAGTCTGCACATCCTTTTTAAGTATAAATGTAAAATCATAAAAAAAGGTGATCAAACTGATTAAAAAATTCTTACATAAAGAACATGGAAGAGCTTCATATTATACGCATTAATATATAGCATGGAAAATATATTTTGAAGTAGATTATATAAATTATAATTGAATTTGTCAGGTACTTCGATCTTGCTAATTTAAACTATACAGATTTTGTCTCCACTATTGTATCAACACTTAATGACATATTTCTATTGTATCAACATTTAATGATATGTTTCTTTGGCTATTTTGGAATCGAGTTTGCTCAAACAAGGTTGTTTACATATTAGCAGCTTTAAAATAATAAGCTGTGTGAAAATAAGAAGTTCTTTAAATTAAATCTTTAAATTAAATACAAGGAAACGACGAACGAAACAATCTGTATAGCTTATTTTTTTTACTAGTTTTTTTAATAGTGTTGCATTATATATACCAGCAAGTATTGTGATTGAATAAGGTACATGACTATATCAAACATATTCACTGAGTATTTCTTTCGCTTATGCTATGTCGGACCTTCTCTTGCAATATTGCGTAAAAAATAATGCATTAAAAATAAATGATAAATTTACAAAATAAAAATTACGTAATATTACGTGATGTCTACCGTATACGCGCGATAAAAAATATTAATTTATAATACGTAGAACCGTCAAATACCGTTAAGAGTTACAATATTTAAAAAAACTATATCCCTAAAAATAATTTAATTTCCTAGGAATTGATGCAAAAAGATACCTTAAAAATACCTAGAAGGACTTACCTAATATTCGATAGATATGTAAATTCGTCTCTTCCAATATAAGTCAATTGTTCGTTATTTTCACATACTGATTTACTACACTCACTTTCTCTCTTTTTCTCTCGTATCGAATTCGTATTCTTACATATTTGTGCAACCTGAAGATTCTAAATTAAGATCAAATCTTATAAAGAAGAAAAAATATATCAAAACGTTTTAAATATGACGAAGAGTTTGCAATCGTAATCCGTTAATTTTTTAAGAGGAGTACCTCCTATTTTCTTGTCGCACTCACTATAAGAACAGCATACAACTTTGAGTGAATATTGCAATACTTAAAAAACGTGAATCTTCATCAAAAGACAGATATAACAAAGATCACAGAATTCATCCGCGATTTGATTAATCTTAAATTACCGTCGATGTTTATCGTATGCTGTACAAACTGCATGGAATCTATTTCATTATTAAGCATGGTCAGCGCATGAAGTGTGGTGGGAAAACGGAATAAGTCCTGCACTCCGTGCCCTGCGCTTCATGGGTGAAACTAAATATACTCTTAAACACTGTCTACGGACAACCGTCAGTCAGTCACTGTTCTTCACCGACACTGCGAACATTTTAGTTTCTGTGCTAACAAACAGTGGTACACTGTGGATTATCGAGTGCGGCAATTTTAAACTCGCGCGTAATTGATTTCGGTTCGAAGATGACCGCGATGTCACCATTCAATTTAGGCGATTCATGCGGATATATGATGTCCGAAAACTGTTCTTTTCCGTCACATGTAAACGTTTTAAGCGTGTCAGCTGGCGGTGTCGTGTTTGCCAGAGGGGTCTCCGGAGGTCCTGTCGGGTAAATTAGCTCCTTCTTGTCTCCTTCTACTCTGATGCACAGCTGATGATTCTCAAAGATTTTCCGTCCGGCCGCGTTCGCGGTTTTCGGCGGATGCGGTAGCGCGTATCTTAGTTTGTCCCAAAACCAAGGATCACCCCACTTCACGTAGGTGTTCATGCTTATGTACGCTTTCAACTCTGGATCCATGTCGTCAGTGGGACCAATATCACCGTACAAGATCAGTATCACTCTCGCCCGACCCTCACTCAACGCTTGGCTGTGAGCGGCTCGGAATTCCATCCGTCCCCAAACGCTCTCCAAGAAGTTCGGTGAAAGCACAACTATTGTCCGTCTCGAGTCCTCTACGGACTTGGCGATTTGTGCTGGTATCCACTCGCCCGCTAACCAATCTCGATAATGCAGGCACAGCTTGAACGGCTTCGGACCGCTCTCTAACTGGGACACCAGTTCATTCTCTACAAAGTTCTGATCCTTGTGCGAATAGCTTATGAACGCGTCGTACAACTTCTCCTTGTCTAGTTCCTCTTCTGTCACAAACCACAGACACCATTGACGCGCGAATAACCACACCTTGATGTTTCTCTGATATCTATAATAGAATCCAAAGACACCAACGAGTATTCCTATAACAGCGATCACAACGCTGATCCCGATAAACAGTTCCGTCTCACCGGGGCAAAAATCATTTACAGTCATCTGCGATATCGAGTGGTTCTTGCCACGACACATCACGTGAGACAGATTGAGAATCTTCACGTATTTGGTCTGCACGAAATTCAAGAAGTCCTTAGCCTCACAGTCGCATTTCCACGGGTTTCCGTGTAACGTCAGCCGCTTCAAATTTGTCGAGTTGCTCAGGAATTCTAATACGTCAGGAGGTATCCTCGATATGTTATTATTGTGTAGTTCCAAAAACTGAAATAAAAATCGAATTTAATGCGCCTATTCAGGATCAGATTGCAACGTGACATGTTATCTCTCGTGACTCACACTTCATTCGATTCGATGAACGGAATAACAAATTTACACACCTCTACCGCGTCGGGTAATCCGTCTAGGAAGATCTCGGAGATATTGTTATTAGATAGATCGACTAATTTTGTCGATTCGAGTTTTAACTCCATCAAATTTGGCATTTTCGTTAGCATGTTGCTAGAAAAATTTAATCCGAGCCTGAATGGTTGACCAGGATCCTTTATGTCGCTTGGCATGTGAGTCATATTTTTGTGAGAACAGTCGATTTTAAATGATCTGTCATCGGGTCTTAAGATACATTCGCATTCTTGAGAACACGGAAGTTTGAGATTCGTATCTTTTACATTACATTTAAGTGTTCTCGATCGCAAATTCGTAACCTTCACGTCCTCTAACCATTTTGGGCTGTGACATTTTAAGTCTCCCGGTTTTATATGGAAAAAATTTTGTGCATAGGGGTGCATTCTGCCCTCGATGTAACGTAGAAAGTCATATAAGATGCAATCACATTTTATTGGGTTGTTTTCCACTGATATTATTACGTCACGAGGTACGTCTTGAGAGCTCGCGAGCAACTCGACCTCTTTTAAGAAAATATGCTCTATCTTATTATGAGTCAAATCGACATTAAGTTTATTTGACATAAACTGTAAATCGGTAGCCTATAAATCGGAACAAAAGAATAAGCCTGTAGTCAGACATTATTGTCAAAGTTTACCACAAATAATGCATACGGTGCTTCCTCGAATACTTACGCTTAAATTAGATATGTTGTTATATCTGAGATCTAGTACTCGAAGCCCTAAAATGACGAACATCCAGTCGCCAAATATTACTGGAATATTATTATTATCTAAGTACAATTCTTCCAATAAGTAGCAGTCCTGAAAGGGCGAATACATTTGATATACATCTAAATAACTATATCGAGAAGATAGTAATGTTAGATGATTGTTGGAAAATCTGGCGATCTTTAAGTTCATCATAGGGCTTAAGCTTTTATGGGAAATAGTTGTTAGGTAATTATCTTCTATGTTCAAGTATGTTAATTTGTACAATCCGCTGAACATATACCTAAAATTGATAAAAATATAAAAGATATGAGTATATATAACGATTGCATAATACATAATGACGATATAAAAAAAACTTACTTCGGAATGAAGGTTATTCGGTTTTTCGATAAGTTTAGTGTTAGCAATTGATTGGTAGTCGTGAAGATATAATTGGGCAACTCTTCGAGTTCATTCATATCCAGTTCCAATGACTTCAACTGTCTCGCATCCCGAAATATATACTGGGGTAAAGATTTAAGGCGGTTTTTCGTCAAACTGATTTGAGTCAGCGAAAACGTCCCCCAGAAGAGATCTTCTGGTAATGTGGTAAAATCGTTCCACGTTAATTTTAACACTTTCAATTGCGTGTAGTTACTGAAAAATCCACTTGGCAAAGTCGTCAGGTTGGCTCTGTTTTGGGAAATAGTGACATTGAGTAATTTCGTGTTATTTCGTAGCAGATCTCTCGGTAACTCTGTGAAGTAATTGCGAGATAAGTTAATGGCTTCCAGGTTTTTTAATTTTGCGAAAATATTCTCCGGCAAGCTAACGATATCATTCCCGTTGATATCGAAACCCCTGAGAGCTACAAGATAGTCGAAGATTCCTAATGGAAACTCAGTAAAATTATTTTTCCACAGATTGAGCAGTTCCAATTTCTTGAGATTGTCAAACGTGCCCAGTTCGATCGACTGCATATTATTGCCGCCTAGTTCAAGTCGCTCCAAGTTGGGAGTATAATCAAAAAATCCAACGGGTAGATTTAAGTTGTTCTCCATCAGATTGAGTTCAATCAGATTGGGCAAATTGGCCAATAGACTTCCGTCCAAGTCGGATATCATGTTGTTTGATAAAATTAACTTCTTCAGATTGTCGAAACCATCTAGATGATGTTTCTTTAGCTCGGAGCTCAAGTTTCTAAAAGATCTGAAAATCAGCTTTTCCACACCGATGACTCCCATCATTTGCGTAATTTCGCCCAAACTGGTGTTGTTCGCTGGTAAGTCGCACATGTGAAACCACATCGTCTCCACTTGGTTCCACTCCAAGGACGCCATATTCACATGAAAATCTGACCATTTTGGCGAGTTGACACATTCTATCTGTATGTGTGAAAGAAAATTCTCTGATGAAAACCTCTCGAGTCAGTCAACTTAAAGCTGATAAGAAATATGTAATAATAGAAATCTATGTGTCTCTATCTCTATGTTTAGATCTCTATCTACGTCTGGATATCTATATATGGGTCTAATGTTTAACTTCTAAATAAGTGTGAGAGACACGGTTGGAATCATTTAATATTTAACGGTTGGAATCATTTAATATTTAACGTAAGCGCATAAATTGCATACAATTGTGCTCAGACGATAGATATATAATAGTAAAACATGACCCCGATAGATATGTACCTTTATAAAGCGACTCGGATAAATGTATACACCGAAGGAAGAGTTGTTTGGCAAGTCACAGGTTATCTTGAAACTGTCACCAATATCCGGATGACAGAAGCATTCCTGAACTTCATTGCAATCAAAGGCAGAAACGCTAGTCCCAACGACGATGAAGATCACAATGCACCAGATCAGACCATGGTCGATCATTATCCGAGACGTCACAACGTCCATAGTCTGTGTGAATTCCTTGAACAAAGAGCAAAGACAGATTTATTTATCACGTTATCACATCGCACATGCAATTTGCCCTCGTCTCATGCTTCTGTCTTAACCACGGGCGTTAAGAACACCGTGAATATCATAAGTACCGTGGCTTAGATAAACACTTCCTCTTTTCGAGATAAGCTCGCTAATAATATTTAATACGCTTTGACATACTACGTAGTTGCAGGCATCAACGCTTATCGAGAACGAGAGAAATAAAACGTGATTTACATCTAAACGCACTTTCTCTTATGTTTGAGGCGAAAGAATCTTTGGTAGTGACCGATGGTCAAGCAACGAACTATTGAGATAATTATATGTGAGAATTAAGCGGGCGACAGGCTAGATCTCATGATTCTCGGTATTATCGTGATGGAGCATCTTAATGTACATTCATTCTTAGCAAGAAGCCTTCCCTTTCAATATTTTATTTTTTATCGTATAGGGTGTGGCACACACACAACGTTCATCCATCATGTTTCAAGCTGATATAAAAGCACTCTACTCTCTATGTTTTGTTTATTGTAAAGATCGTGTTACAAAGAGTCTCTCTCTCTCTCTCTCTTTCTCTCTCTCTCTCTCTCTCTCTCTCTCTCTCTCTCTCTCTCTCTCTCTTTCAGACAAATATTTATTTATCTTATATTCTGATGGATAAAAAATCGATAAGCTCTCTATTAGATTACAACAAGTCATTATTAATAATGGAGATTACATATTAGATCAAGTTTTCATTTAAAATTATTTTACACATATTACATGTTCAATAGAATTATAATTTCTTCGAATTTCCTTTCACACTATGGAAAAATAATAACCGATATCGATCTATTTTTCAAGATCATAGAACACATAAATTTTCCTTTCTATTTCGTAATACTTGTAATCTTCGGCTTATATATCTCCCTACAATTACAAATATGAGCCTCACGAGTCGTATAGTGTTGCATAAATCGACGGTCATGTTCACGTATATTATCGTAATTGCTATATTGCTATATTTCGAATACATGTTCGCAGAATCGTCATTTCAGATTAAAGAAAATAATAATTGATTTATTCTTTCTTCGATGCATTAACTTAAACCGGGCATAAGAAAATTAACATCGTCTTAAAGCTTAGCTGAAACAATTATCATATATTAAATATATTAATTATAATAAACTCCAATTTTTACTATAATGAAATTTCAAGCATTCGACATCAATTTCTCCTTAAAGTAAATAATTGGAGTAAATCTAAAATAAGTAATCATAATAAACGACGGTAAAATAAGTTTCGTGGATTAAACAGTTTTAGAGTTAAGAACAATTACAAGGCACTAGCGGTTACGATGCATTTAACGATATAGGTAGACATGATGTTACATCGTGCTGCCAATCGACAATCACGATATCTCGAGTAGTTTGCTCGAAAATAGCATCGCGTACCAAAATGCTACGTTATCGGAAAAAAATTTCAATTATTTTCCATTTAAAAATTATTAAATGCAAGAGGCTTCCACAACCTTTTTTGTCTTTCATGTATTTATCATGTAAATCAATGCTTAGACATAACAGTTATGTTTAATTGAAAATATTCCGTGTGTGTGTGTGTGTATGTGTGTGTGTGTGTGTGTGTGTGTGTGTATACACATTTAATTTGCACATGGCGCAGATAATACGATAATGAAGGACAAACGTTAATGAAATAAAGAAAAACAGACGCTTCAATTTTTCTATTAATTGTTACGATAGTGCAAATGATTAAAGTTGATTTATTTGTTGAATGAAGTTGAAAACGGAAACGAACACTTCTAAAATGATTCCCGTTAACTGACAGTCGTTTTTTGACTAGATTCTTTTATGCGCAGAAAAGCGATATCATGTTGCACGATAACAGATGATCTTTACATGTTGATATCTCTCAATTTCCTTCTTTCTTCTTCTTCTTCTTCTCTCTCTCTCTCTCTCTCTCTCTCTCTCTCTCTCTCTCTCTCTCTCTTTTTCTCTCTGCTGGTTTATCTTTCTCTCTTGTCTACACATGTAGTAGTTTACACATGTAGTAGTTTCTGAACGAATCTTTAATCTAATATAGAATGTTTTATCAGAGACATGACGTTTTCCTATATAATTTCATTCTGTTAAAGTGTTAACTAAGTAAGATTATCTGAAGCATATGTAGCACACGTTTCAGTCGAATTCAACTTTCAATGGGAGAAATGTCAGTCAGTGTGACAATCCAAAATTCATTCAAACACAATGTGACTGTTAGTGATAAAAATATCTTGCTTTTATGACTAGACACGCTATAAGTTATGAATAAGTTTTTCTCTCACTTTCAAATTCAAGCTTGTGTTACATAAATACTGCTGAAGTTGGAGATATCGGCCGCCATGTGTGAACGTGCCTTATAGTTGCAAGTTGTATCCGGGTACTCCCAGAAGCGCAACAATTAGTTGCCTGTTTTTTTTAGCTGAACTTCCTTGAAACTTCTTTCTTTCCCCTTCTTTTTCGCATTGAATTTCAAAGAACGTAGGCTTCTTTGAAGATACGGTATATTGTTTATCGAGCCGACTTTTTATCAATAAATATCGGTAAGAACATTGTCATGTGATGTGCGGACCAAGTTACATCACAGTCGGTCAATTTTTCCATCTATAGATTTTCACGGAAATTGCGGCACACGGACTGTATAGCAGCTGTAATAATATTTTTACATTGTTTCGACTCGCTGAGCGCTGAGAGACTCGATGGACGGAGGCCTTATTAACGATGACACATCCTGGTTTGCACGCCGATCCTGCGCGCGCGCGAGAATTCAGGTTGTTTACGTCATACGAACAGGTTTGGATCCACTCATGGATATTCTACCGAGCATCCGGTTAAATGACTTTAAGAAATGGCAGATTGCCGAAAATTATTTTTACATAAATAAGAATTTGCTTTGTATCGCAGACAACTGTACTGTAATATCGATCTCTTTCGATCGGATAGTCGTCCGTACAAGGTCGTCGTGTACAGAGGAAATGTGTAGAGAGGAAACGTTTGGTACTAACATACGCCCTAGAGGCAATAAATGGCTCGATTTTCGATCGCGTGCATCAAACGGTCACACGAACGAGGCGGTGTCAGGAAAACCGGTTCGTGGAAATGACGTCTGTGCTCATTTACTCACCAGTCATAAACACGATACGCTACGTTACGATCATTGGTATTTTCCTTCACACTATCCTTCTTTTCTCGTTTGAAAAACAAACGATGATTATTCCTGATAATGGTACCACTCCGGATGATTGGCACACAACGGCACACGCGATGTGTTGATTCTCTAAGCACTCCTGGCACTCCCAACAAGCTCGTTCTCGCTTCAGTCGTACTTTTCAGACTTTATCGTTTACACTCTCCGAGATGCGCGTTTATTTCACTTTAAATAATAAATATCATGAAAAACGTGTGTTCGTTTGCCAAAGCATACAGAGAACAATAAGTCGGAGCTGTCAACTGAACACTCACGCAACCGAGAGAAACCGACATCGACTGTCGCGTTGAACGCAGAGTGCTTCTTCTCCCTCCAGCACTCTTCCGTCCCCTTACCTCTTTTCGTCCTCTATCCATCTACCGTTCAAAGTAGAGAAAAAAAGACCACGCAATGAAAGATGGTAGTATGCCTGTATATACACAACGAAAAGCTTAGCAACACCACACTGTTATCTTGTATGACAATAACAAAACTGAATGTCCAATATGAAGTTTGCAATGATAATAATACCTAACACCGATCACGGGTTATCATACGGATCTGCGTCTACACAAACAACTCGAGAACAGGGAAGATCTATTGACGATCAACATAATATAACGTGTTCGTTAGATTAGAACCGTGAATTCTATATCCTAGCGAAAGGACATATGAGTCGAAGCGTCCTGTTGCAAATTCCACGCAAATATCTGGAAGATTATGCCGTGCATGTGTGCGCATACATATCTCTCCGCTTCTGTACCAAATGATAAGGCTGAAAGAGACCTATACGTCATCCATACGTCATCTTTGTGATAAGACCAAAAACGGCACGTTATGAATCGTCATGTATATATTACATGAGCAACATGTCACATCCTTTTACTTCAGAAAATCGAATGGCATGGTGGTTCTTGATTTTGTGAAGAACTGGCAGCAAATACACGGGGTCGATCTACAAAATAAATGGAATCGATTCAACGTCTTTGCGATAATTAACATTAATCAACGTTAATCTTTGTACATTTACATCTGATCGTCCACTCGTCGTTCTAGCTTCGATCGATCGCTTTCTCTTTTAAATTCCTTTCCCTCACTCATCCTATTTTCTCATACTTCGTATCATCAATTCCATTTTCTCACATTTCATTGTATTTGAAGATTCAGCTTCACTGCAAGATTCAGATTTAAATCCGAGCGAGCGGAACGATTGACCTATATATGCATATGTGACATTATTATTTATTGTGAAAAGTAATACTGAGACGATATTTGATGTGATAATATTTGGAAAAAGGGACATGGCATATATGGGCCAAGTATTCGAATACCTTTGCCTTAAGCTTTTCATTCCGAAACTTTCCATTCCGGTTTCTCTTCAACAACGTCTACTTGCGGGTTTTTCCTCATCCTGGAATTACCACTGGAGGCTGACGTACACGATACAAACCGTTGACCCATACTCCGCACCCAGATCCAGAGTAATATTATATGCAAGATTTATAATCGCTTCATAACCGCATTATTATTCCTGCGTCTTACCTACGAAAGTCAACCATATCTTTGGTGGTGAATTACATTTCCTAGAAGCTGTTATAACGATATTGCCTAAGTGACATTGAGTTGAACACGTTCGCCTCATCTTAATTTTCTACGGTTGCTACGGTTCTACGGTTGTTTTATATTTGTAACGGTCGTAGGTAATTCCTAAACTCTTAAGAACTTTATGTGATTACATATGAGATAGACAATGGCTTCGAAAGAAGTGATTAAATTCTTTTGTTTTGTTTTTTATATTGACAGTAACACATTCTTAAAAATATAAATTGTATTCTGTATGTAATACATTTCCCGAACTTAAATATCTTGTAAGGCAAACTAAATGAGGCAATTATTCATTTTTATTAATGAAATATATCGATAGGCGTAATCGTCGTCGATATTCTAATGACGAACGATCTTCAAAAATTGGTATGTTATTAGAATAGATTAACAAAAATTTCGATTTGTTAACTTGACGATATACATATAGAAACATATAAAAAATTGTGAAACTACTTTTATTTTTATGTACCGTTAATATGCACCGATATATATCACCGACAGAAATCTTATATGATGAATTTTATATGGATAAAAGATTTGCATATTTAATATGTCATAAAGGAACACGAGGTATAAATATAATTATAAATAGTATCCTTGATGTTTCTACACACAATGATTTATCTTGTATAGAAATTTTCACGAAAATTCCGCCTTGGATTTTTCAGCTGCGTAGAATACATACATATATATATATATATATATCGGTCATAAGAATAAATCCCACATATCTGAATGATTATCGGAAGTATCTCGAAATAAAATTTGTGTGGAATTCGTCGGCTTTCTCACTCGACTTGATATATCGTCGTTACTTGTTTTTATGATTTAGGAATCGCAATGCAGCGTGGAATTCGAGTGGTATACCGAGGTGGTTTGCGCAAGGCATGCCAATTCCCAGAACATTGGAGGTACACCGATTCTTAGTCGAGAAGACTCCGACACCGTGAAAGGTGTCTCTAGTTACGGTAATTTTTTAAATATCAACTCACAATTATAACGAAGATATTTCTGTCATTATGTTTCTGAAACATGATAATGTAAATATAAGATGAAAATTGTAACAACATATCATCAGCAGCTATCTCGCGAGTCACAAAACGATAGTATTTATCATATTGTGTCACGAATATTTTATAATATAATGCACCAATCGTTGTTAGTCACACATGCTTATGTTATGATATATTTTAACAACAAAACACGGAATTTTAATGACAAAACACGGAATACGAATCATTTTCTTATATAGATCGTAACGATAATTTCTAATATCAGTACCTGAAATTTGAAGATGTCGTTCATTAGACAGTTTGTTCTAAGCTATCTCGTTGCAATCTCACGACGATTAATATTTACGTTTACAGCTAGAACAATGCTGGGAGTCGGACTAATAGTGATCGTATTGTTTACAACTTTGCTTTATTTGCGTCATTCGGAAACAAGAGCATGTTTTCGTACCTGGACGAATATATTTAGTTTCAGAAGAGGCGCAGGTCGTGTCCAGTATTGTAGGGTACATTATTACTCTCTCCTTTTTGCTTAAACGTTTAAACTAATAATGTGCATTACTGCACATACGCCTGATGCATATTCCTTTTTATCGCAGGTCAACACTACTGAGGAAGCTAGGCTTCTGCTCGATGTTTCCGATCCTACCCAATGTCAAACGGACAGCGACGACGATCTTTTACATGCATAATGACACGATGTAATTGTCATTGTTTCAGATCGAGAATTAGCGTGTAAATTAGTTACTGTGAATTGTATATTATTTTCAATATATCTATATAGCGTCTTGAGAAAACATGCGATATGAAATAAATTCAATACATTTTTCTGTGATAAATTTGTGCGCTTACGAATTTTTATCGTCTCCATAGTTTCTTCTAATTTGATCTTTCACTTCCTTCGCTTCTATATGATGAGATAACGATGAACAATCTAAAATGAGTTAATGTTGTTAGTAATCTAAAATGAGTTAGCATGCAGGAATTGATTTAACTCAACAGTCAATTGAATTAATATTCTTCATCGCATCGGACCACCAATCATAGGATCACAGCACACCACATCGTTGATTCAGGAACTTACTCTGATTAAGCAGTAAATTCTGATATTTTTTGAAAGCTAATTCTTAATTCTCGGTGATATTTTTAATCATAAATGTCATATTAGTATTGATTGTACCAGAAGTAGCGTTAGGCAGAATGTATTCACAAATAACGATGAATAATTTTGAATATGTATTTGTAATGTATATACATATATACATGTAACGTATATACATTTTAATACATTTACAAATACATATATCATTCCTTACATATTAATTTTATTTCTTAAGTCTATGAAGAAGGAAACCTACGATAGAAGAAACATTATCTTCAACTATTTTTAACAAGAAAACATTATTAAATTTTATTATAAACTTAATATTAATATTACAGAGGTAATTAAATCTTATGTTAGTTTGATTTGTGGACACTACGTAAAGAGAAATGAATCGTAGTATTTTAAATTTTGCGTAACAAACACTTTGGTCGCAATTTATACGCCTCTCGTTTATACGTCATCTCTTGTTAGATTACATAAAATACTACTATAATATAGTAAAATAATTACTCAGTATAACTGTATAACTAAACATATTTATAAAGCAAAGAATAAAACGAGAAAAGGATAAATTGTAAATATACACACATGTAAATACGAGACGCGACAGACACCGTAGCATTATCTTTTTGTTTGCCTGGTTTTGAGACACATATATCATCGCAATCTTCACCGTCGCACAAATCACATAGATTTGTCCTTATAGGCTCATAAAATACCCTTGCTCTTCTCGCTATATGTAAAATAATAATACATTTTTCAAGTTCAATATTAAAATATAATATTAATTTAAGCTAAGTATAATCTAATAAACTTTTATATATATCCTATCTACTTACATGAGTCATAATAGTCATATATAGAAACAGGGACTGGTTTCTGTTTAGCTACCTTATGCACCCTGAATGCGGACACAGTGGGACAATATTCTTGCTGCACCATCTATGATAATAAATATTCCATATATTAGTTAAAATTTACAGTAACCGATTACTATTGATTACAGTGTATAATAATGCAGAGCGTATAAGCCTACCTTATCAAAATATAAAACTACCATCGTGTCACCATATTTAGTTTCTACACGCTTCACATGTGACGATACTTCCAGACTTGGTAAAGAATCTCTGTCCACCGTAAAGCCAGAAGGTAAACTCACTTCCATAACAGCCATGTTACTCTCGTTCGTTTCTTTGGTTGGGACGAATCTGATCGCAATTGTTATTTAGATAAACAAATAATTAGCGTTACAGAATTATCTTGAGTGATTTTGAGTCGAGTCAGCGCTCTGCATTTTTGTTTTACATTTTCAAAAAATTAAACGAGATTCATACGTCTCGATGTTTTTTAGCTAACAACATGGGAGAAGCATAAATTTTATCAGCTTGATGACAATACGACAGGTAAACATCAAATATAACAACGCAAACATACCCTGAGCATATGGAGAGTTGCAAATGATTAGCATTGGAATTTTTATCTACTTGAGGATCCAAAGTAAACAATGGCCAAGCACCGGTCACGTTCAAGTTATACTGATAAGATACTTGCACTAACGCGAACCCTTTACCAGACGCCGTTATGTTGACTTGTCGAGTTTTCTTCGGTAACTGTGAGGACGTACGAATATATTAATATTTGTCTGCTCGCGACTAATGTATACGTTAATACACGTAGTAACTTGCTTCGACTTACCAGTTGCTTCTGTAATATCATGGAATTGCCGCCATTTATGTTCATATAGCCCTGACCTCCCTCGTGTTTGAACACAATCGGAACCGAACCTATGTCCCTCGATAACTTTTCGGCGAGTTTCGCCAACGCTTGAAGCCCGATTACAGTATCCTAAATGATTTAAAAAATGTATAGCATCACATTTTGAATTTTAACATCATGAATTTTAATTCATACATAGTTTACTCAACGTATATTTGATAGAAATAATTTTAAGCATTTCGATGAATAACTCACTTGCGTCGAGGCGAAGCCGCCTTCTGGATTTCTTTGCTTGATAAGCCACTTCATTACCGGAATCGTGTCGGGAAGCAAGTTACGTCTAAGATACGAGAGTAAAGCGTAAGACGTCATCTCGACATCGACAGAACGCGGTAGTTCATAGTATGGATTTTTGTCATCCTTCGGTATAGGTTTGCTCCACCATTTAAGATCTTGTTGCGTCATAGCTTTCGACTCTAAATAATTAAATGCAGAAGTTTCGAACGGATGTTTCGCTAGATTCAAAGCGTAAGCGCATAAACTCAACGCATACGTGTCGTTTAACCCCTCGATATTACGAACTATGTAGTCAACAGCCTTGTTTACTGTATTACGATATTTCTCTGTGGAATCCTGAAATAAGTAACAATTAAGTTGGATGTTCGTTGATTGTACATGAAGTAGCAATGTTTTCTTTATAATCAGAAATAATTTTAATAGTTAAGACAGAAAGATTACACTTACTTGATTTTCAAGAAAAGTGATAAGTGTATATGCCGTTAGAGCAAGCCCTTTCGCAGCTCCACCTTGCATATCGCGATGACTCACTTTTCCCACTTCAGGGAAGGAGCCATTTGCAGCTTGATTGTTAGACAACCACTCCAAGGCCTCATCTATTATCCTGTTCTCCACCATGATATATTCCGCCGCTTGCTTAAAAGATTTTGCTACGAAAGCTGTAAGCCTGGTAAACGAAATAATATTAAGTTTTAAACTAAATCTAACTAAATTGATCCGTACGTATAATTATTAAATAATACGCTGATTCTGTTATAAACGTACCATGTACTTCCATTAGGATCCGACATACCAAACGCACTGAAAGAACCGTCAGTATGTCTATAAGTCAATTCTTGTTGGTAACCAATATCCAAGTATTTTAATGCTTTACTTTGCACGGCTTGTGTTAATTGGTTTGTATTCTGAAAAAGATGTAGTTTAAATACATCGCACATATTATGTTTATATTACGAATTGCATATCATTGGAAAAAGGAGAGGAATATTAATTATTTATATATATGTATGAATTGTTGTACCTTAAGATAATTCAAAACGACGATGTTTGGTACAAAATTCAACATATTCTGCTCACCGCAACCAAACGGCATTCTTATTAAATTTGCCAGATTTGTGATACTAGGCCCCAAAATATCACCTAAATGATACAAAAGAAATATGATATTTATCTAAATGTTCTATAAAATATATAGATATGTGTTAATATGATGTATATACATATATTATGCCAAAAAATTCATTCTCTAGTTATTTTTTATCGATCAAGATTAGTTTCTTGAAAGATTCGTGGAAAACGTTAAAGCCTCTTTAAATTAAAAACGATATGAATTAAAATATATCTTTACCAACTGCAGATATGTGAATGCTTTCGGAATCTGGAACGGCGTTGTTAGGTATATCAATAGTAATATTTGTCTCCACATGATCAACATTTCTTAAATCCAGAAATACCGCTTTGTTCCTGTATTGTGTTTCTCCTTCAGCCTTGAAGTAAAATGATTTTCTGATATATTAATGTTTATAATAGCGCAACTAGAAAATTTTATATACAGAAGTTATAAATTATTACATTAACAAGCAGTTTATGTGCAACGCCATCACTAGCCGAAACAGAGCTAGCAGTCACTTTTATATCGATGTACCCCAGTTCTCTTGGAATAATCATGAACGATACACTGGAGCCAGAGTTAGCTTTCACATCTACCTTCTTCGCACGATATAACTCCAATCCTGAAAAATTAACAAACATACTTTCATCTTTGTCATATACAGATAAATCATTATTATTATCATAATAGTAAATTACTTTTTAATCGCCGTATTTTATCATCTTGTTGCAACTTTAATAATTTGGTACTTACGTGGTGCATCATTAACTTCATTAGAAACTTCTGCAAAGTCAAATTGACCCTCATTCTTTAGCAAAACTTCAGCCGTCAAATCTTTATTCATATAATTAAAGACCGCAATCTGTATCGCCACGATTTCCCCTCGCATTACTGAATATGGCAAGTCCACAGATATAAAAAATGGTCTGAACACTTTCAACTAAAAGATATATAACAAATACTAGTATCAGATCCGCTACATGATATAACATAGAATAAAATCTTGTTAATATCATGTGTATAATGATTCACAAGAAAATAGAATGGATAAGAGTCGATATAGAGAGTATATAAGAACCTTCCTAGGCTCCTCTATGAGACCCAACCCGTGCGCATCGTTCAAGGAGAATGCAGTCAACACCCATGACGTGATAGAATCTGGTACCTTTCGTCGCGTGTCAATTTGTCCAGTACGTCTGCAAACATATATACATATGTATATATATAAATATATATATATATACATACGCGAGCGTACACACATACACACACATTATATTTTTGTAACAATGCAATAAATTGAAATATTTCATTCAAGGAATTCATTAAAGATACATCCTGCCTGCTACATGACTGATACACAATAAAATGAATTCCGCTAATGAATTCCGAAAACTCACTAACGTCTCGTCGCACAGTGAAGAGAGATTATCTCATATCTGATGAAGCAATATACCATACATACATACATACATACATACATAAATACACACACACACACACACACACACACACACACACACATACATACATATATACGATAGAGGCAATGTGCGACATGTTAAATTTTTGGATTTCGTCCTTCACCATTACAGACGCACAGACGCTATTTTATACAAGTGATGTAATTAGCGAACAGTTGCAGACAGAAATCGACTGTCCATTCGTGAATGAGATCATATGATACGAAACTAAGAATTCATTTATGATTAATTGATATGCATGATATACAGAACAAGCTGTGTACTCATAATTTATATTCCTGATAAATATGAGATCATATACATTTACCTCAACTCACGCGTAATGATAACTGTACAATATAATAACTTCACATATATATTATTTACAGATGTACCAGGTGTTATTGAAATATTCAAACAAGTATAACTTAAAAACCTTGAAACAGTTAATTTTTTTGCATCCACACGTTTTCTGACATTTTCTCATTTATCTCGACGAATACACTACAGACGCACATAAAGTTCGTATCAATAAGTTTTTCGTGCACTGTGTGTATACGCGAACATATGAAGGCATGCATATATTAGAAGTATACAAGAGAGATACGAATAAATACCCTGAAGAGAAGTTTGCGAATAACCAGGTGTTTAAGATGTCATGCATTAGGAATACACGGGGCTTATTCCAAACAGGAGGTGGGATGCGAGAGAAGGCGTAAGGACCTGCCAGTGGTGGTCTTGTTGCTAATCTGTGCGTAACAGATGGACCAAGGTCTGGTCGAAGCGTGGATACCTCATGAGGCGAGCCCGTTATTCTACCATCCATAAATTCGGATCCTGCAATCCAATTCTGTATAATGTACTACACCAACCTTGACCATCATTCGAGACAAAATGCTTCAGAATTACCGCACTTCTTTTTTAATTAAATTTTTTAACCGATTATAGATATTTTCTCCATTCTTTTCATATTCGACCTTTAATGTTGTTAAAACTTAATATATTAAATCATATGTCTGTTAACGTCTGCTTAAACATTTTATTATATTATGTTTTCTCATGTATAGAGTTTATTTCGTGAATCTCTTTATATCTCTCTTATAATCTCTTTATATTTTAAATCACTCATTAACCCAAAAGCAATCGAAATGTCGATATTGATACGACATTCTTTAATTTAATTTCATATCAGTGTTTTTCAGTGTAATAATTCTGGAACATTCCGTTTACACAATCAATGTCATCGAGAGAGACTACGTAATAAATTATTCCATGTCATACTATCTATCGGAACTACGCTCTGAGAGAACAAAATTTCTTATAATTTAAAAGTTTTACAACTTATGAATATAACATTTTTAAATTTCAATATATTAGTTACTCAACAAAACAACTTTTCACTTAATTTTTTATAAAAAATCAGAAATCATGTTTTGACAATGTTGAAGGATAGCAGGTAACATTTGGAATAATCCTGATGTATAAAAAATTCAGTATAACAAATAAAGATAAATGAAAATTTGCGCTAGGCGATATCCTGTAATAGAGAAACAATATAAATTCTGCGTGTTAATAATTGCAGGAAAATATTGATTATTATATATTTATATATACATTAAAGGTTTTCCCCATCACCATAAATTATTCAACACCATATAAATTTCCCAGCAGCAAGCTCGATATTAATATTTTCATACAAGCATATACGGTATTTATGTTTGAAAATAGTATATCAGAAATGGTATATTGGTACTCAAATTCCCTCCCACGATTTCTCTCTATAAAAGACATCGTGCCATCACGAAATGTAAGATAACAAATTAAAGCTGCGTTAAAAAAAACTGTGAATAGGTATAAAATGACAATCGCATATGTTATCCATCTAATGCAATGAAAAACAAACATGTAAGTAAAAATAATCTCCAGTTTAAAAACTTTATGATAGATATATATACCGGAACGAAGATGTGTGTGCACACGTGATAATTCATTATGTCATTTGCATTACCCAGCGTCAAGCGTTTCCCAAAGCCAAGTTTCAGGGAAATTCTTGCGAACTTTGACCTTCTCGGGTGGCAATGCAGTTGGGCCTGAGGCTCCCGCAGCGGATGCAAATATCGCGCCATCCAAACTAGATCGGTAGTATACTACACACATACAAGCTTGGTTAAGAAATGTATATATCTAATCCAATTGAGAGAGATGGATCGATAGACGACACTAATTAACAAAATAAATCGGAGACAAAGTTGTTATTCTCTCATGCTATATACTGCAATATATTATAAACAAATGTAATGTAGCGATCCAATGTGCCGCAAAATCAATTTAAAGATATACTTAACGGATGTGTTATATTAGTTTTTAGTGTTTTACTGTATATAATTTAATATGTATATTAATAGTAGCATATGTATATTTGAAAAATGTACCTTTGTACTTACGTAAAGCGAAGTTCTCGTGGACGTACCCGTTTGTGAGTATTACTACGCCAGTTTTCTATCGAACACATTCGCCATCTTAATTCGATCAACGAATAACGAGAATTATAATGTAAAGTATATTGTGCAACATATTTTACTTGAAATATATCATCCGCTGTTCCTGAGCCGGGTCTCCATAAAGGACGACCGAAAAATGAGTCCGTATACGGCGAAACGTCTGCCCTGTCGTACGACTGCAACTCCTGGTACACTTGATCCTGCAAACGTAATGAGCAAATACAGTAAACATTGTTTACTATATCGAAGGAAAATTATGTCGGTATCAACTATCAATTAAATTCAGTTGTATTTTATAATGTATAATATAGCACGTGAAAATATGTACATGAGAAAGATCATTCCCAGATTTTAGCAGAATGGACCTCTGGTCAACAGCTAACAATCCAACGTAAGAATCGGGTTTTGCGGAAACCGTAATATGAACTTCATCTCCAGGCTTTGCTTCCCCAGATGTTACTTTAAGATCAACCTACAGATAAGCATGTGTAAATTATCAATCATTTTGTTAAAATATTATTTCAAGCCACACTCTCTGCTGTCGTCCATTAAATTATCATTTCAAAAGTGTCATTAATATAATATTTTATATAATTCTTCCGCAATGTGAAGAAATGCTTGTTCTGAGTTAATGTCACGTCCTTCACAAATTTATTTTTGATATTTTATCAACTGGAATACTTATGGAATATTTAACATGTCGGACACGAGATCGTAAAGAACGTCATATCAATCTGGATCAAGCAAAGCTATTGATAACTTACAAAGTTCTGAAGTGTTCCCGTTAATTCTACATCCAACGAATCTGCTATTACTTCTCCATCCAATCGTACATAATATACGATTACATGCGCAGTAGGTGCCATGACGTATGTTGCCAAAAACCTGAAACACGTTTCGTTACGTAAGATATTGCATGTGGGTAATTTCGAAACTTTTCCGATCGAACTTTTTAATCGATTATCTTACTCGAAAGATGTCGTATGTTTGTCTTGTATATATATCGATCCCGCATCTAGAATATCACCTCGACCAAGTACTTCGTAACTTATGTATTTTAACGGGGCGGTAGAGTTTACTTCGATTTCAACGTTACCGTTTACCTTAGGACATAATACATCGTGAGATCTGAGAACATTATATCGTCAGATTTAACGTAATGACAAATTAAATAATATACCATAGGTTTTTCCGTTTTTAAATTTGCTTGAATGTATTCATTACTCAAAGATGTGGCTTGATTAGTTGAAGGAAACCACTCGTGAAGATTCAAATATTGCGCCTGCGCAAATACACATACATGACCGTATATTGTATATATTTGCAAATAATATAATGTAAAAGGGCCTTATTAAAAGAAACTTTACTTCTATGTTCAAGGGGAAGGATGTGTTATCTTGTGGCTTAGGAGGATAAAAATCCAGTTGCACCATGCCATGTTCATCCAGCATACGCGTAATATGCGTGTAAGCCGATTGGTTGTATGTGTATCCATATGCTATCAAAACAGAATTTTTCGTGTCCTGCACCGGTGATCCATCGTGATACGTTAATTTCAACTGTGAAAAAAATATGACAACATATACGAATTTGAATATATTTGAATCTATTGATGTGTATAAATTATAACAAATTTGCTCACAAATGCGGTATATTTTAGTCCCGGCTTGAAATATTCTGAAGTTTTTATTAATTCCATCGTATACTTGTGTTTGTGTAGCATGATTTGTATGGAAGTATTTTGTCTTCTACCGGTTAAAGCTTCCTCCACCACAGCATCGATCATGATAGGTCTGTCATATTCGTCGGTCAGTCTATGAAATAAACGTATAATGTATTAATAGTATAATTACGTAATACATAATTATTATATATATGCAATGCCAATTTAAAAATACTTTGAAAATTTACCTCAATTCAGACTTAATATCGAAATCGACCGTAACTTTTCCATCAATCGGTACCACTTTTCTCACAGGTTGCTGGAATATCGGTTGGATAACGCCAGAAAAAATATCGGGATGAGCTGTTATCGTAGCTTCACCTTTCACTGGTTCTCCATAAGTATATCTGAATTATATGCACTTACAAATGAATATTTTCGTACGTTGAATATGTATTATTAAGATTGCACTTGTAAATAGTTTATTTTACACACACGAAGCACAAATTGCTTACTTTGCATAAATGGTTGCTACTACTTTTGATTCTTTAAAGGTTGAATGTTTCGGCGAATCAATTATCACTTCAAAGTTCGGCAAGACATATTCCGCGACTTCGAATGCCTTTTCGAAAGTTTGATCGCCCACATTGGTAACAATCTTCCAGCTGCCCAACACTGGCGACTCTGATAACTCCAATTCACTACTGAAGATCCCGTGAACCACTGATGGTCGAATCCATTGTTTGATACGATTACCATCGCCATCCTGCAGTAATTTTTTAATTAGTTATCTTGTTTTTATAGATATAGAAAGTTTCTTTTTATTTGAGACAATATTTTTTTAATTTAGACATTTTCTAGATTAGTCTAATTTATATAATTATTCTAATTATATATATAATTATTCTAATGTATATCTAAATTTATTCTAATTTTTTTCATATTTTTATTTTAATGTGTATATGCGCGTGTGTTTAAAAAAATTCAATTAATAGTTATATACATATCTAAAAATACTTACAATAATATATACATCCGTCGGCCCTACGATACTTGGCCTTAATCTCGAGTCCAATATTATGCAGCGAAACATAACTTTGTGACCAGGTTTATAAATCGCCCGATCAGTTTGTATGAAAACAGAGTGACTTTTATGTACATAGTCAATATCCTTCGACTTCTCGAAATGTATACCTGACAAACCACGCGCTGTAAGTTTGTATTTCCCTGGCGTGGTCTCACCAATCTAGCATTGCGAATGAGATAAATGTCAACAATAAATAATAAAATTGTTATATTGTTATATTTAATAACCATTTCTCTCTTTCTCTCTTTCTTTTTCTCTCTTTTTGCGGTATTTATCGAAAATCTATACGTACGTTGAATTGTAAAATTTTAGTGTAATAAGGTTCGACGACTATGGTGCGAGAAACGTTGAATATTTTTTCTATATCGAGTTCTCCGGTCAACTCGACATATATCGTTGATGGTGTCGATATACCGGCGGTACTTGCCGCAACATGATATTCTGAATCAGGGCGTACCACCTTCGGCGCAATAATAGTGTAATACCTTTATGAGAAATAAAAAATCTATTAAATCAATACTATAGTACGATCGAGGACAAAACTTTTAAATTCGAAATCATAACACACAAATGCATGTGCACACAATTAATCAAAACTGGAAAATTGAGAACTTACGGTTCCGTTGTTACATTTGAGATTATTCCTGATAGCAGTAAAATACCGAGCCATTGCCAATCCATATTCCAAGCAGAAAGATCTACAGTTTATAAAAAAAAAGATAGAAGCTCTCCGTAATAACGTAATAAAACAGAAGCTAAATTATTAAATATTAAAAAGGCTCTATTTTGATAACAAATCAGATAAAAATATAAAGGGCTTTTATGATCTAATAATATATCTTACACTGATCTAATAATATATCTTACACTGATCTAATAGTGTAATAAATCAAATTCCAATAAAAACTATCTTTCCAAAGTTCTCTTACGTCACTATTAAAATATACGTCAACAATTTTGCACAGCAACGCACACGGTTGGTGTTTTCCCCACAATTACAATATAATTGCAAGAATTCGTGATACAACAATAATAATCACTCGAAATTGTTTTCTGCGAACATATCGCGAGGACGAAAATACTGAAGATACCGGATAGATAGAATCAAACATGAAACTCAAGAATGTTCTTAAACGTCACGAGTAATTATATGCACGACACACTGTGTACACAAGTGTCAATATAATTACGTATCATGTATATAGTTTTCCTTCTTTTACGAAACGCTTATTATTACAATACCGGTTTCTCCGACATTGAATTAACAATGTATCATAATACTCGTTATAGTTATTATCATAGTTATTTTTTAACAATTTGAATAATAACCGATTAAAAAATACGCTTAGTGATAAATATTGTTGGTTATTAAGGATTCTGAACACCTCGAATGCTTGCTGAATTCTTACTCGTATCATTAGTCGGGAAATTTTCTCTCGAAATATACGAAGTACTTTTTAGCATTTTGCATTCGTATAAATAAGTCAGTATTCACGGAAATCTTCCATGTTTCATGATGAAGATTTCAGAGATAGTATAAAACAAAATAATTAATAAATTAAGTTCTTATTTATTGCGTTTCCGATACCAGTCGATTTACCGCTGCTGTCCTACAAATCGATATAAATTCGATTGATAAAATCAATTATAACTAATATTCCGGCATTGCTTAATTTCTTTCACAAAAAACAAAATATATAATATGCAGACCTATTTCAGGCTCTATTTTTATGGTCATGGTAATTTATGCGAACTATTCAACCGCAAAGTTGCACACAACAAATATGAACAAATTGATTTTTATCGTGATAAAAGTTAAAGGCATCTTCTTAATCGTCGTTTATATTATACAAGTCAACATCAAAGTCTAGTGATACTTTAATATAAACCATTACGTACGCAAGCAAATGAAAATCATGCTACAGTTAGACATATAGCTTATAGCGAAATCTCCAGCATGAAAGTATCCACACACACTAAACTACTATCCTACTTTCCATCTGTTTATCTCACGAATCGAGGAGTGAACAAATTTGTTGAACTCACCACTATATCAAGCCCAACAATCACGAATTTCAGCGCTGACTTCCGAAAGTATCGTGACCGATCCGTTGCTACGACTTTGGAACTTTCACCCTCGCGGAAGCAGGGCAATCGTCAATGTGAAAAAGAACGAAGTCAAGTTTCTCGGCTTGACTCGTTCTCACGACAGGATAACCGCGATTCTCTATTCTTAATAACAATAACGCTTCGGGAATATATCCTTTTCCGGAGATGGCAAAGAGGTCGCGTCATCGCACAAAATAATACATTCTCCATGACTCACCTAGTCAAAGAGGAAAAGCACCTTCCTCCACTATGGAAAAATCGCAAGTCAGCCAATCGTCACTTGATTGTAGTTGAAATCGGCGTCGGGTCGAACAATGCGAGAGGAACACGGGAGGGACGCTGATGATCGTGGAATCAATGAAGTAGAAAGTAACCGCACCTGCTAACGCGGCAACGGTTAAGTAAGTACTGACGGCCGCTACCAATCATGGCTGCAAGAAACCGGGCAGCGCAGGTTTCCCTTCCGCCTCTATCGTCTCTGCCATCTCCGCCGGTCACATCTTTACCGTTAGGGGAATAACGCGTTAATACACCGCTTAGATTCACAAGACCTTGCTTGCTTCAGAGAAATCCATTATCGTTAATAAATGTATCTGGTGTCTCGCATAATATATGATCTATAATCACAAGAAACATTGTGTAAAAGTATGTTCCATATTAAAAGACGTATGCGTGTTTACACAACTAAAAAAAAATTCAGTTATTGGGTCAGACAAAAAGTTCAATCTATAGTAAATGATGTCACATGTATTTTACAGAAAAGAATGATGATGATGCCAATAATGAACGATCACAAATAACGAAAACAACTACTTTCTTGATGAATAATATTTCCATGTAATAATATCAAATTTGACTTACAAATCAAACCTTGTAACTGACCTAGTCTTTCTTAGAAAGTATTTTATATAGCAAACTTTGTAGAGATTTATAAGCTAGAATTATTCTTGTTATATATAACAAAAATAACATAAAATCAAGTACAATATAAATAGAAAAAATATTTATATTCTTTATACATCTATTTTATATAATGTTAAGTATGGAAAAACTTATTCATTTTGATATGTTTTATAATAAGATATTACGTTATCTACATTCATCTCTAATATTCTAATCAAATAATTGTAATAAATAAAACTTAATTTGAAAAATAATGTGACTATATAAAAAGACCTATGGATTGAATTAGAAACATATATTATATTTTTATCTATTATTGATTTTTTGTTTTATTCAGGAAAAAACAGAAAATATATACTTTCTATTCAGACAAAATTCCATATATAGATATATATTTGTCTTCTAGTTTCTTTTTTTAAGAGAAAAAGCTTCCCTGATAGCACATGTTCTCCTAGGGACGTCCTGAGGATGAAGAAACATCCCCAGGACGTCGTCAAGATGTACTCTGGACATCCTCTGGTCATCTGTGCTATTAGGTAATTGTATATATTGTAATGTCAAATTTTTACCTAGTGAAATATTTAAAAAATGAATAAAATATCTTTTAAAAAACATTTTTGAAAAGACATACATTTATATCTGTACGTATGTTGAATTGTAAAATTTTAGTGTAATAAGGTTCGACGACTAATGGTGCGAGAAGCGTTGAATATTTTTCCTATATCGAGTTCTCCGGTTAAATCGACATATATCGTTGATGGTGTCGATATACTGGCGGTACTTGCCGCAACATGATAATTAAGTTTGAGAGATTTATATTAAGTTTGAAAAATATTAGGATAAAAAAAGATTAAAATATTTAATGAAATAAAAAAAGAAATTCGTATCGTAAATCTATCTATCTGTCCAAAGAATACTTACAAATTTTCCTTTCGATAAGTTGTAAATGATTTAAACTTTGGATCGCCATAATGCAATGAAAGTTTAACTTTTTCCTTACACACTTGAAATATTTGGCACGTTATTCAGCTTTCGTAGTTATTTAAAGTATCAAGTTCCTTAATGATTTTCACGAAGTGCACATAAAATTTACTGTTGACACTCCCAACAACGATAATTCATCAATTATCTACAAACAAGACTTACTTAATTTACTTAATGAATGAAAACAGCTATACTTCAAATCGTCCACTAATTTGACCGCCATTTATACAAAAGTTGCGATTCTCGAAGATATGGATATATTCAATACAAGTGCGTATATACGAAATTGCAATTACGATGATTTATGTTTATTAAGTCATGCGATTTACAAACATCCTGATATCCTTGATAATATAAAATTTTTATGATAGACATAATTCATGAAATATTAATTTGTACTCCGTACAATCATCATATTACTAAACATAGAACCTTATTCCACACTCCAAACGATGTCTTTTATATTAATATTCAACATTTATAAACAATAGTTTTTGCATAAATACTCAAAACATATCTTTGCATTCTCGATAATGATCATTGGCAAAAAAGATTCTTCTCCGCTAAACCCAAAATTACGCGAGGTATCCGACGGCTTGCAACTTGAGACTGACACGCCGCCATTGCAAAATTTGTGATTCTCGAAACATAGATACAATCGATATAAATAATCGATTAGGAAAAGTATCAATTATCGATTATAGTTTACAAATATCGAGAATAATCGATTTATTTTGAATCTTTCCTAATTATTTAATATATAATATATATGAAAATATTATTAATAATGCCTAATTGGGCTTACAGACTTGCATATTGAATAAATGGGAAAGAAAGAGAGAAAGAGAGAGAATCAAAGAAAGAGAGACAGATGGAAAGAGAAGAGAGAGAGAGAGAGAGAGAAAGAGGAAGTTGCACCGCAGTCTTGATACGTCGTCAATCTATATTATATTTGTTATCTTATTTTCATCTTATTTTCACTTAATAATTAAGTGGAATGCAAAAAAAACATTTTGTTTAATAAAGTTGTGTGATTATGTTCTAACGACAAAATCACATAGAATAAAAGGTTAGTCAAACTTATCATATTGTCATTGTGTTTGTAATAGGTTATATTTCTAACTAATCTGCTTTCCTATTTTATGTTTTTGATACCATCTTAATTATACACACAACTGTCTAGAAAGAAAAGCATTTATCCATGTTATGTAATATTGACAAACGAGAATGGAAATATTTAATGACGATGATTTTGTATTGCTAGTAGGAGAAGGCAATTTTTCCTTTTCTGTAGCATTATTACAACAAAATTTAAACATCAATTTGATTGCTACCTGTTATGAACCTAGTATAAGTCAAGAAGCTGCAAAGAAAAACATAGAGCACCTTCAAAATAATGGTTAGTATAACCTAATTTGTTAAGTTTTCATAACGTACTATCATAACCTGTAAATTACTATTAAATAATATTATTCAAGATAAATTATTTTACATTCTATACATAACATAATTTTGAGTTATAGTTTTGTTAGATATTAAAATATAAATATAATCACATTTAATATTTAAATTATGGAAAGGAAATATGCTTTTCTTTTCAGGTATTTGTGTGTTATTTGACATAGATGCGACGAAATTGGAAGAATATCCCTTATTAAAACCTAAACTATTTGATAAAATCATTTTTAACTTTCCTCATGTTGGTGGTAAGATGAAAATTGAAAAGAATAGAAATTTATTGAGAAACTTCTTTGTATCCTCTACAAAAATGATAAAAGAAAATGGTCAAGTATTAGTGACATTATGCAAAGGTCAAGGAGGAACACCAATGGATAATCCTATGAGACGCTGGGATGATTCTTGGAAAATTGTAGAAATGGCAGCACATGGAGATTTAATATTAACAAGAATAGAACCTTTTTTGTGGCAATCTTTTCAAGACTATATTGTAACAGGATACCGCAGTTTAGAGAAACAATTTCATACAGCTGGCTCATTAACACATTATTTTATAAAAAGCCAGCAACCTACAATATACAATATCGCACCTAGTAATAAAATAAATGCTCTTAAATATAATATGGACAATATTACATGGAAAGAAATAACAAGCAATGTTCAAATCATATCAGATTATGACATCAAGTGCATTTACCCATGTACTTTTATGTTTGATCTAAATTTATCTTCTGATATAGATTTTAATACAGCTAAATTTTATCAATTATTGTATAATTATGCAGGATCTATCATTGAAAATATTGATTTGCTTGATTATTATTTATCTCCTGTTAATAATAAAATAAGTAGAACTTTTAGAATAAAATATAAATCAAACTTCCTACCATTGCATAGGAAAAGAGTTATTGAATTACATCAAAATGCAATTTCAAATTTCATAGAAGATAAATTTAATGTTACTGTCTCAAGATGATTCAAATATGTAACTGACTGTATAACTATCAACAATTAAAGTTATATTTGATTAAAATGGTATATGTATATATTGATTTTTTTTATCGATATAGATTTATAGAATACAAAATACCTGACCTTAGTATATGTCATTGCTTTCAGATGCACTGTCTTCGTCGTTTGAGAAATGTCTCTGTATATAATATAATTCAAAAACAACTCATAAGCTTTATTGAACAGAATAAATGTAAAGTTTCAAATGGGAACATATTCAGGTCATTGTATGTTACCTCATGTACTTATAAACAGGACTCTATACCTAAACCTTTACGTAGCACAAAACAAAAATCAAAACATAACAATGAACAATATTTTGTGGATATAAAACAGGTAAGATAAACGTTATTTTATTGATTATCCTCAGTTTGTAAATGTACTTATTGTCTACTAGGTGAGAACAATTGGAGGAAAAGGTGGAGATGGGGAAATAACATTTTTACGGTTGTGGGTCAATGATCGAGCCGGTCCTGATGGGGGTGATGGTGGAAATGGCGGTCATATAATATTTGAGGTAAAATTGTAATTAAAATAAAATAAAATATGAAGAATTTAGATTCTACTATATAATTTATGTTAGATTTATATATGAGAAATTAAATTTCTGACATTATTTTATATAATATACAATAGATTGTATATAATATAACATATAATTTCATTATGCAGGCATCAATGGATGTGAAAGACCTTAGCCATGTACATTCTTTTGTTCAAGCTGATGATGGAGAAAGAGGTTACTCTAAGAGTTGTTTCGGTAAGAATGCAGAACACAAAATGGTAAAAGTACCAATTGGTACGATCGTGCGCGACATAACTGGCAAAATATTATGTGACTTGAATCAAAGCGGAATGATGTTTATCGCCGCAAGAGGCGGTGCGGGTGGACATGGAAATACCTTTTTTAAGTCAGATATACATCAGTCACCCGAAATATGTGAATATGGTGCAGTCGGAGAGGACATACAATACATATTAGAAATTAAAAGTATGGCCCACATTGGATTAGTAAGTGTATTTAGTATACAAATTTTATTATTATATTTAATTATTTGTCGATATTAATAATTGGAGAAATACTGTTATTGTTTTAAAGTAAGTAATCAATCAAATAAGTAAGCAATCTGTATTTACAATTACAAAATATTTCATATTATTGTATCAAATATTTCAAGATGTAATATATTTGTTTTACGTTTAGATTGGTTTACCAAATGCTGGAAAAAGTACACTTTTACAAGCAATATCGAGAGCTAAACCGAAAATAGCTCCATATCCTTTTACTACCTTGAAACCTCACATTGGTATGGTACAGTATGATGATTATGAACAAATTGCAGGTAATTGACACTTCAGGCATAAGAATAAATTTTTTTTCTCATTTTTTATTTTACCTTGTTATTGTATGTTTCAGTGGCAGATATGCCAGGTCTTATAGAAGATTCGCATAAGAATAAGGGCCTTGGCATAACTTTCCTCAAGCATGCAGAACGTTGCACTGCTTTAATGTACATTATAGATGTTACATTGGATGAACCATGGAGAGCTTTGGAACTTTTAAGATACGAAATTAGTCAGTTTAACGAAAAACTAAACGACAGACCACTTCTTGTTGTAGCAAACAAGATGGACTTGCCAAATGCTGAGGTAAAAAAATTAAATTTAAATTCTTTTTACATATTTTCCTCTTTATAGAAGTTTAATGAGTTTTACATTCCATTTCCTTATTTTATTATTATTCTACTTGCCATCGCATTAACAGTCACAATTCGTTTTTCAGGTTAATTTACAATTACTCAAAGAACATATAAATATGCCAATAGTACCTATCTCTGCCAAAATGGGCACCAACATTTCTATGTTATTAAGAGAAATTAGAATATTATATGATAATTTTAAGACTAATAATTCAGAAGAAAATAATGAACTTAAACAATAAAAAGAATTCTAGTAAAAACGTGTATAAATTAATGATCAATTGATTCTTAACATAATAGTATTAATAGCGTGCAACTTTCATGCAAAATGCAAAATTCTTGATTACAGATCTTACTTGTGGTTGATTTAAGATCGTTGAAAACCATCTATTTAAATTTGTGTACGATTTTCTATGATTCAGATCGAACACGTGCTCATATAGAGGTAACAACACGGTAAAAACTGATATGTCCGCAAGAGTGATTCTCTCTCCTACCAAATACGTTCTTGTATGCAACATACTGTTCAATATTTTCAAATCGCGCAGAAGGCTCTCTTTAGAAAGCTTCGAATTTGCTTTCATATCTTTTGACATACATACTCCGAGTGTTGGTAATATCCAGGTGGTGACTGCTGATAAAACATGATTTTGCGAATAGCTCATCCATTGCAGAACCTGACTGGACGCGAACGAATCATCATCACAGCGTAACTGCGAATTTGACAAAAAGAATGCAATAGCATTGCCATTATGTAACATAACGTCGCCTGTCTCTAACATCATTCTGTTAGAATTCATTTTGTCATTGTCAACTTGCTTTACAGACAGACATTTGCCACTATATTGCGCGATTATTTGTGCTAAATAGTAGTTAATACTGCCGATGTTCGCGTAAAGTACCAATTTTGATGAAGATTCCATGTTAAGTGATCGATCGTCACTTTCAGAAGTCTTAAAAATATCGTTAGCAGTCTTATTGTCTGAAAACAGACAACAGTTCCTGATTGCTAATTGTAGCTTATAATACTCATATGGAAAAAGTTACTAATTTTTAATCTATATTTCTACGTTATATCTACTATTGTGTAATTTCACAGCAACGATTCTTTACTCACTCATTATCCCAAGTTTCTGGTTGGCAAATTCATTGGCCTTGCTCACTATTTCATTTAAACATGTTATATCAGCGCCGGAAGCTTGCGCTGATTCAGATTTTCCGCCTCCTTTGCCCTGCATCATAGGTGCAATCGCTTGGATCCATTCATTTGCCTTTAATCCTTTGGATACTGCGGACTAATAAATTATTTTGTTCAATATTATGTGGTAATTTCATTATTCCATACATGTTTTGTTCTCATATCGCTTTGGAAAAAACAATCTCACCTTAGGAACAGAACTCAGAGCAAATATTTTCTTGACATCCTGATCAACACTGATGAGCAAGGCGCTAGTTTCCGGCGATACAGCTCGTATTTTCTTTAATGCTGAGTCTAAAGCTTTCGTATTGCTGTATGCTTCCAGCACCTCAACTAATACCTGACATCCGACTTTGGACTGTATTATGGACTGTGCAGTTTCTACGACCATATTGGCAATAGCTGCCTTTGCAGCTCGGTCCTTGTCATCGAGAGACTTCTTCAATTTCTTCAACATGCCACGCATCTCATCCTGCGTGAGAAAAAAAATTATTTGCAAAATTTATCAGTGTGTCAAATGAAATCAAGATTTAAGAACTGTATAATTGCCTTCCTCCATCCGGGAATGACGGCATGCGATATGTCCTCCGTCAGTTCTACTATTTTCTTAACGTACTCTTTCGAATTTGCTCCACACTTGTCGGCTTCGATCGTCGTTTGAAGCTGAGTCAATTGATTTTGCAGCAATGTTGCCTTTTTAAGAGCCTTGGCTGCTTCTGGTCCAGTGAGCGCCACTATGCGTCTAATACCTTTAGCAATAGCTTCCTCGCTGGCTATTATGAAGTCACCTATGTGTCCGGTATAATGTAAATGCCTAAGGAGCAAATCGTAAATTTGAAAGAACGCATATGACTGAAACGTCCCATAATTTTACGCAGACAATACTTACGTGCCACCGCAAAATTCTACACTGGTCTGAGTAGCGACTGGACTCAAGGGATTCTTCTCTAGTTCTTCAATCGGCACACCCATGCTAACAACACGCACTGGGTCAGGATACGTTTCTTCGAACATCGCACGCAAACCCTGAATGGTTTTTGCTAGAGCCAAATTACTTTCCTTGGCGTAAATTTTTTTGTTGTCTTTGATCATATCATTCGTGATATTCTCCGCGTTTTTCACTTGCTCCGTCGTCATTGGTCCTATCACGGAAAATTAATAGCGATAAATCAATAATAGCAGTAAAAGAATTACGCTTTTTGCCTATTGAGCAAACTAACGTTTTTCAATACCTTTCGTACGTACCTTTATTGGTGAAGTCGAAGCGAAGTCTATCAGGTGCAACTAATGATCCTTTCTGATCGGCTTCGGTTCCCAAAACTTTCCTGAGTGCGTGATTCAGAGCGTGCGTAGCGCTGTGATTGGCCATTACGAGCCGTCTGCGTGTGGTATCCACATTTGCATGGACTTGATCGCCTTTTTTCAATATACCCTCACCTACGGTGCCGATGTGTAACACATAACCGGCTCTTACTTGAACGTTCTTTATACGTATCTCTGTGGCCTTTGAAACAATGTAAACAATGTAATACATTAATCGTTATTAGTTTTCTCAGTTATGCAAAATCAAAGATAGTTTGAAAGATTCTCAGTTACGCAGAAGAAAAAGATTGATCTCCATATACCTCATCGTCGACTTTCACTAAGAATCCTTCATCGTATATCTGTCCTCCTTGTTCCGCATAAAAATTGGTCCTATCTAACAGAATGCCAACTTCTTCGCCGGAAGATACTTGATCAACGAAAGTCTTGGCGCGTCTCAGCTCGATCACCGTACCGATGCACGGTGCAAATTCATACTCCTTGTACGTAGTAGTACTGGTTATCTTGTAATTGTATTTGGGAGAATCATCCGTAGGCTTTATGCCTCGTTCTTGCAGTTCAGTGATAGAATGGACATCCAGATTAATTTGATCGTCTACTCCGCCGACTTTATTTTGGGAGATTAACTGTAATTACGTTTATGTCATTTATTCCGTTCTTTACTCGTGAGACGTGAATAAAAAGGCATTTATCGTTATGCGTGCATTGGATCGATAGATTATTATTACATAATAGTAATATACCTGTGCTTGCTTTTTAGATTCTTCATATCCTGCCATGTCAATTTTTAATCCTTTTTCCTCGGTCATCAATTGAGTAAGATCAATTGGAAAACCATAAGTATCATATAAGCGCCACGCAACATCACCTGGCACAGTATCGTTCGATTCCAATTTTGCGATCGTTCTGTTTAGTAAATTGCGACCGCGCGACAGAGTTTTCAAGAACTGGGTCTCTTCCTCATTCACGATGTCAATTATACTTTGTGGATCTTTCGTTACTTCCGGGAAAACTTCGCCTATACCAGCAAACGATTAATTTCAGCGATAATCAGAAAATAAACACAAAAGATCGATTACTTTTTAACATAAAAAATGCTTACCGAGAAGCTCTACAACTACGTTTACCAGAGATCCAAAGAATCCTGGCTTAGCATTTAATTTCTCTGTCGCATAACGCACAGCACGCCGTAATATTCTCCTTAAAACGTATCTATAATAGAAAGAAAATGTATTACATAAAGAAAACAAAATCAACTTTTTAACACTCTCACTTACCCTCTACCAGTGTTATCAGGTATTCCACCATCCGCGAGAGCAATTGTGATAGTTCTAGCATGATCAGCCAAAACTCTGTATGCCATATCGACTCTATTAACATCGTCGGTTCCTATCTTACCTTGATAAGGCGGGGCACCTGTACCTTTCTCAATTGCGGCGAACAAAGGCATAAATAAATCAGTATCATAATTAGCGCGTTTATTTTGAATCACTGACACCAATCGTTCCAGACCCAGACCACAGTCTATATGCTTTTTAGGTAATGGTTTAAGATTGCCATCTGCTTCCCTGGATGTCGTTAATGTAGAATAAAGCTTAAATTTTAAATATATACTTATAGATTGTTTACCTATTATATTGAATGAACACCAGATTCCAGATTTCTAATACATCTGGATCATCCATGTTTACAAGATGAGCTGCTTCTCTACCACCAATGCGATCATAATGTAGTTCACTACACGGACCACAAGGTCCAGTTTCACCCATTTCCCAAAAATTATCTTTCATATTTCCTGGTAGAACATGCGAGGCAGGTATACTACAAATTTATAACATAAAATTATTCTTTATGATAATAGAATATACTAAAAATATTATTATAATATATACTGACAAAAATAAGATATTCATAAAAAATATAAAATAACTAGAATTATATAATAGCTAAAACTATATTATAAAAATTTAAAATATGTAAAATTATTGATATAATTAGTTTCTACAATAAGTTCAATTTTTAAATAATTAATTTAATAATTAATAAATAAGTACCCAAGAGAAAGCCATAATTCCTTGCATTCATTATCAGGTGCTAATCCATTCTTCTCATCACCACCAAAATATGTTACATATAACCTATCAGCTGGCAATTTCAATGTTTCAGTTAAAAATTCCCAAGCCCAAGAACATATTTCTTTCTAAAGATATAAAGTATATACTTTAGATATAATGATTTATTACATATTAACATTTAGAAAGAATAATTAAATTACTGATCTATATATAAAAGATTACCTTGAAATAGTCTCCAAAAGACCAGTTTCCCATCATTTCAAAAAATGTATGATGATATACATCCTTACCGACATCATCTAAATCATTATGCTTGCCACCAGCTCTAATGCATTTCTGACTATTAACCACACGTACCCATTTTGCCATATCACTGTTAGGATCAACTGTCCCCAGAAATATTGGTTTAAACTAAAATATATTAACAATAAAATATAAATCAGTTAAAATATAAAATAGTAAATAATATAATATATTAAATACATGAGTCAAGATCATATCAATACCTGATTCATTCCTGCATTTGTAAAGAGCAAAGTTGGATCATCATGAGGTATAGTCGAGCTTGAGTGTACATATTCATGTCCTTTATTTTTGAAAAAGTCAATATAAGCCTGTCGTATTTGTTTTCCACTCATAGTGGTCAACATTTTGATATCCTAGAATTTCTTCAATTTCTGTGAAGCTGTAACAATACATATACTACATTGATATGACCATATGGTTTCAGATCGCATCATCTATCTGGGTGGAAAAAATAATAAATTTACGTAAATTCTAAGGAAATGAAATAATATCTTTCAATATATATATAGTTTCATGATCCATATACAATTATATTTTATAATAATTGAAAATATCTCATATTTACTTAAATTTATAAGGAATTAATGACAGTTTAATGTAAAAAAGGATACCTTACGTTCAAAGCAAATACGGAAGTCTCAGCAAACCCAGCTGATCTAAAAGAACGGATCCAATATCCCGTAAACTAAACTTCTTATCGACTCGTTAAATTAACAGGTCAGAACCAGGAGAGAAACCTGAAAACGGCCAACACGACGTCACGGACAAGATATTAGGTCTGTTTTTTATCGCTGAACTAGTGTACACTCAGGGAACATAAAAAGAAATAGATATACATCTAGGAGTTAGTGAAAGGGAGAGAAGAAGAGAATAAGTGCAAGTTAGTACAGCCAGTTCAGCAATAGAAAACAAATCTATTATGAAGACTATTGGCCTTACAGGATTTAGCATACCAGAGAAATTTATAACTGCTGGCGGCGTGCGTCGAGAAACGTAGGAGCGGCGAGATAAAACATGAGGTCTGTTCTTTTCCTCTGCACCGCTGCACTAGTGCAATAAGTTCGAGTGAGACAAGTATATATTAGTCTCACTTTAACTTATTGCACCAGTGCAGCAGTGCAGAAGAAAAGAACAGACCAATGAATAGTGGCGTGTTATCTTCTGCTCGTAGTGCATCGGCAATAGTTGCTAGCTGTATTATCTTGAGCGTAGCTAAAGCAGTCGGTATTATAATCGCTCTTCAATTACCTGTGGGCCCTTTGGGGCTACCTTAGCTGATACGAAAATTTACCCAGGGCTGTCAGTCTTCATATTACCCCTCGTTGGTGACCGTTCTTAGGTTTCTCTCTGATTTTATCGAGGCCGGCAAATGATGGTTCAAGTATCAGCTGAAATCAGATTTTTAGCTGCAGAGCTGGGTGCTTATACGTCAGTGTATATTTATAAATAAATAATAAATAAAATCTAGCAGTATGCCGTTTATGATTGGCAAAGATCCTGTGCGACGAACGGTAAAATATTTAATGTCTGGCAAATTAGTTCTAAAGGATAAAATACAGATTTTATCGATTAATTATAATACGAAAGATAATCATCACCAAGGCGCTAGGTAAAGTTTTAGGTTATATACGAGAGTTTAATACAGTATCTAATGTTGATATTTTTTATTTTTTTATTTTCTACACAGGGATTTCGTACATTGGCATATGTGCCAAGTACAATACAAAAATCCAACTGTACAAATAGTTACTTTTAGAAACATGACACCATCACCATTCCTGAAATGTTATTATGGTACTTAAGGTTTATAATCTTTATAAACAATATTTATTTGATGTATGATTAAATAGTTGTACAAATTTTAATACAATGTGAAAAAAGATATTTATACTTTGCAGAGGATGGCAAGACAATGCTGATAGACATAGATAGCAAAACTAAAGAAGAAATACTTGAACATCTTATAAGAGTTGTTGGAAAATCACAGGATACATTAGCCAAGGAAGCTATTGTACAGGAGAAAAAGGAAAATTCAGCAAATTTTGGTGTTGGTTGTGAAAAGAGCTGTATATGTCACATCCCTGGACAAGTACCTTGTCCTGGTGTAGTACCTTTACCAGATCATATGCGTGCGAAGAAAATCTTGGAAAAATTAAGGAAATAGACGAATTGTAATTATTACAAGATTTATTTATCAAGTGTATGAATGAAGTTTAATCTTTTTTTTCAATTTAAAATTTTTTCTACAGAAGGCTAAAAAAGCTAAAACTCATGCAAGTACCTCATCAGTGTTTTAATAATAATAATAATAATAATAATATTACATCATGTTTTTATGTATCTATGAGTATGGATGGAAGTTAATTTATACACCTTATATTCTGATCCAAAATTTGTCACATGTGCGTTCATTATAAAAAAAGGTTTCTATATATTATGAAAATACACATATGTCAATTTACATATATCAAGCATTATTCATTGATGGCTTAAAATATTTGTAGCTTTAATATGTTTTGTATATTTGCTTGTTTGTAGGAATCAATTTGCATTTGTTTTATCTGTAATTTAGGAATCACATCTTAATAATTCCTAAATATTTTTACAAATATATAAAATTCCCTAATATGATAAAACAGAGCTTTATGAACAATATATATTAAATATAGGTTATTATATGAATATAAATATCATGACCATGAGATAAACAAATATAATAATGGATTGTTGTTAAATAGAAGTACAGCAGAAGATAGCAATTATCTTCTTGACTTGTGACGATTATATGGCTTGCTGTTATGATAACTACCACGGCTGTGATAACGCGTAGAAGTGGACGGTTTTTGATTTTCTGCTCTTTGATAAAGATGTATAACTGGTGAACCTTCCAATGGTTTATTCAGTTCAAACTCTTCTTCTGACTCTCTCATTAGTTTGAGCTTTGCTTCAATTGCTTGAATTGCTGTTTCACGACTGTAAGTAATATGTATATAATTTTTATCTGTACTAGACTTCTTATAATTACTATTTGAAGGAAATATTAGACTTTACATATATACCTTATCTTCTTGTCTTCCTTTTTTGCACCAGCTAAGGCAGGGATATCTATTTTCGGTTTTGGCTTATCCATTTCTGACTGAATAAAAATAGATTAATTAATTCTTGATACTTTTATTTTATGACATCTAGAATTATTTATTAATTAAAAAGATAATTTTAATGTTTAATATTAATAGCATATTAAATAATAATCATATATAACTTAAAATTCGCAAGAAATTTAAATCTCTAAAAATATCTGGCAAAAATATAAATATACACTATACCTCGCTAACACTATGTGCCCATCTGACAATAATATTTTTGGCTCCAACTTTCAAGTTATGTAAAGCAGCTTTTGCAGTTTTGGCATCTGGTATTGTTTTATAAGTAACAAATGCATATCCTCTTGGTTGACCAGCTTGAGGTCCTGACCGATGAAATAGTAGGTCGAACTTTTCGATTGTACCATATTTTTGGACCAGTTTCAGGAGTTGGTACCGGTTGACGAAGAAAGAGTTAGTTTTTTTCTCAGGTTTTTTTTTTAATACAATGTTCTTTGAAAAGGAACATTGATGAAATTAAGGAAAATATTGAAATTATATAGATACTTACTCATTAATTCTTAAATCTAAATTTCCTACCCATAAACGTCTGTCTTCAACTTGGTTTGATTTTATGGGTTCTAATGGAAGAGGAACTTTAGCAGATGCCTGTAAATAACAAAGATTATATTTTAATTAATTTAGACTGACTTCCAAATGTCACTTCAGGATAGATATAAGCTATTTAAAACCTGGATATCTACAAATATTTCACAATATTTAAAACTAAACCTGAATTAACATTACATTTTTATAAACCTGGATTTTACTTTAATTCAAATATTTTTTATATTGGTATCGAATATTATTATTATTATCATTACTCATTATAAACTATAAAGCAAATAACTTAACCTTATCTACATTATTTTAACAAACTCACCTCCATTCTGGCAAGACAAGAATGGGCTACTGTTGTTGAATCAGTCGAATTAATATCGAGAGACCTTATTTTGCCGGTATCGATCGGCAACTCTAATTAGCAAAACATTAGCCGATTTGAATTATTTATGAAACCTTACAGAAGCAACGTTAGTCACTTGTTACAGCGCTTGCATCATTTGAAGGAAGATTCAAATATGCACTTTGCTCACTGTCATATCCGATAATTATTTTTAGAAGGAGGTAAAGATGAAGAGGTGAAAAAAAACAAATGTTTCACACAATTTTGCATTTTACAAATGCTTTATAACTCTCGCATAATTAATATTGTATTGATTTCTATCTTTTTTACAACCATGGTACGACGAGATCACAGACAATTCCGTCTGACTCGTCAATGAGTGATGCTATTTAAAAATTAAAAATCCGTCCCCTTGGTCGTTGAGTTGTACTACGACCTCAATTATTGAAGATAACAGCGCACGTAGTGGAGGCTTTGGAACTATATTTTGGAAAGCAACCAATTTACTAGATTCTGTAGTACGACTCAACAACAAGAGAGACAATTATTTATTTTCAAATAATACAGTCTTTGAGTGCGGTCCGGGAACCGCTACAAATGCTTTGAAGCGTTTCTCTTTCTCGTTCTATTTCTCGGATACAAACGAAGAAAGAGTGAGAAGTAAAAACGCTTCGAAGCATTTATAGCGACTGATGGACCGCACCCTATACAGGTTAGGGTGAGCCTTTTAATTTCAAATGTCACAATTCATCTGTGGCTTATTTGACAGGAAATGATCGTGTAAGCCGTTTAAAATGGGCGATTTTCTAGCAGCTAATAATATCTGTGGACAAAATTTATTACGATTGGTATCTCGCGGAAATGCTATTATAGCTGAATTAATGCGATTGAAAGATTATGTACCACCTGTTTTTAGGTTAGTTTATTATAAATATCTAATGTCAACCTGCTAATCTTTTTAATGTAACCAATCAATGTATATAATTAATTATGAAATAATGTGGATGTTTATTGCTTATATAAATATTTTACAAATTCTACAATTATTTGTTTTATCAGCTTGGATTCAAAACAATCAGTACAGAAGTATGGATCAATTATAATCGATTTTGCATATTTTAAGGCAGCCAGCATTTATGAGCAAAAGATAGAAGATGATCCTGTAAATATTAGTGCATTTTTTACATTATGATGATGATGATATAATCATACTACTTTAATTATTACAGCATAAATATATCTATATTATTTTCTAGATACTCCAAGAAACAGATGAAGAACTGCGAAATAATTTCTCAGACATACTTACAAGATTTTATTTAGCTTTTGAGAGTATACACAAGTATGTTACAGATCTAAACTTTTATATCGATGAATTAGGAGATGGAATTTATATACATCAGTCAGTAGATTCTATTATGTTCAATGAAGAAGGAAAGCAATTAATGGTACATCTTTTCTTTATATTATTCATCATGAAATGATTAACAATTGTTACTTGAGAAATGAAAAAATAGAAGGTGAAAAAACAAAATGAGTCTTTAATAGACAATAATTAATTTATTGGATATATTGATTGTATATAGTTTAAAATTAAATAATTATATTTTTATATAGTGTGAGGCTGTATATCTATATGGAGTCATGCTATTATTGGTTGATTACCATTTTGAAGGAAGAATTCGTGAAAGATTACTTGTGTCCTATTATCGATACAATGCCCAGAGATCTTCCTCCACAAGAGTGGATGATGTTTGTATGCTGCTTCGTTCGACAGGATATGTGAGAACACTATCTAAAAGGACAGCTAATTATCCTGAAGAATATTTTAAGTATTTAACATATTATTGGTATCAAAAAGAATAATCAATTTTCTTGAAATAGCTAATGTTTTCTGAGGTTCTAATTAAGTGTATAATTTTTAGGAGAGTACCTTTACGAGATTTCTTAATAGATCTTGTTATCGGCCGGTTACGTTCGGACGAAATTTACAATCAGACTCTTGCTTTCCCACATCCTGAGCATCGAAGTACTGCTGTTGCCACACAAGCATCAATGTTAGTTATAATATTGTCGTTTAAACCAACTATACTTCATACACAAACTGCTATTATGAGGGAGATAGTAGACAGGTTTTTTCCTGACAACTGGGTAATTAGTATTTACATGGGAACAGTGATCAATTTGTGTGATTGGTGGTCTCAGTACAAAGCTGCACGAACAGCATTGAATAATACTCTTGAGAATTCCAACGTGAAAGGAATTGCGCAAAAATATGGAATAAAGATGGATGTAAGTAAAAGTTTAAAATGTTTATTAAATTTTTTGTACATTGAAATAAATATATACATAAGATAATTTATAATAATGTGCACAAATATAGAAAGAACTTTATTTTATGATTGTTGCTAATAATACTATTCATCTACCATTGAATTCTTTCTTTATTCTTATTGCGACAAATTGGAGTAATTGTATATACATAAACAAATATTTTACATAGAGTTCCTGGATTATAAAGCAAGATAGTTTAACATTTTTTCAGAGTCTTCTTTTACTTGTTTCATAGAAAAAATATTCCAGAAACTGATACAAGAAACTGATGAAGTACAGAAAGCAGGCACATTGGACGAGAATGCGACGGGTTCCTTAGTCAAACTAATGAGGGAATCTAATGTCACGTTACACTGGATCCTTTTGCACACAACTATACCCACTATAATTTTAGAAGATTCGAAACGTTCACGTACTTTGCGTCAGTTAGTTGTGAGTGAGAGCAAGTATACCACAGCGAATTGTCTGCGATTATTACTGAGTACTGCTCAAATTGAACAGGATGTTAAACAGATGTACAAAGATGTACGTTTAAAATTTCTCACTCTATCGTTACGATCAGAAAAAAAGTATGCCACTGTAACTTGTTTTCTTATTGTTAGTTACTTCTTGGAAAAGAGGCGAAGTGGCTCAAAGATAAAGAAACATGCGTCGAACGTATAATTGATCTCGCACAAATTTTTGGAGGCACTAAACCTCTGGACGGTATTGATAAGAATCAGAATCTTTATTCGTGGTTTATGGAAATCAGTAACCACATCGATTCGTTAAAACAGGAGGATGGGAGAAAGATAGTGCAACTGTTACAAGCTTTGGAACAAGTTCAAGGTATGGATACAACAAATTGAAGAAATACCGGTTCCGCAATTGAACGTTTATCGTTTATGTATTATCATTTTCAGAATTTCATCAGTTAGAAAATAATCTACATATTTCGCAGTACTTGGCTGACACGCGCGAGACTCTACACAATATGTTGCGTACAGGCAGCATATCTGAGGATATTATGATAAGCTTGAACATTGTAACAGACTGCTGCTATGCGTGGAATATTATGGAGTCCTTCATTGACGTGATGCAAGAAAGTATTAAGGAAAATCCACCGACGGTCATCAAACTGAAGGCTCTCTTTCTTAAAGTAAAGATATAAGTAAAAATTGTATCAAGTATAAATTGAAAAATTTTATAGATATGGATTTGAGGTATGAATTTATACATTTTATTATTTTTAGATGGCTTCAGCATTAGAAACCCCATTGTTGAGGGTAAATCAAGCACGAAGCGCAGATTTGTCCTCGGTATCCCAATACTATAGTAGAGAACTGGAAGGATATGCTAGACGTGTTTTGCAAATTATACCTGAGACTGTATTTGGTTTGTTGGCGCAGATTGTACATCTCGAAACGCATGCATTTAAAGAAATTCCAACGAAATTACCGAAAGATAAACTTAAAGACTATGCGCAATTGAATGAGAGACTGCAAGTACGCATTTTAATTATCTCTGCATTAATTACGTAAGTTTAAAAGGAAATTTTATATTTAATACTCAAATATCGTTGTAGATGGCTAAATTAACGTATGCGGTGTCGGTTTTTACAAAGGGTGTCTTGTCACTGAGAAGTGTTTCTTTAGGGGTTTTGAGGGTTGATTCGCATCGTCTTTTAGAAGACGGTATACGTCAGGAACTTGCTAAAAAAGTTAGTTTAGCATTATGTAATGGCCTCAACTTTGATCAGAAGTCCAAGGTAAATTTTAATAATTAACAAAAATTTTCTTAAAAATTATGCTCACCACACAAATATTGCAAAAATTTCCTTTCAGACATCTCTTTTGCAAAAGTTGTCCAATCTATCTTCAATTATGGATGGATACAGAAAATCTTTTCAATATATCCAAGATTACATTAATATAAACAGTTTGAAGATATGGCATGAAGAAGTAAGAAAAAGGATTATTATTATACGATTTGCAGGAAGATGTGTGTGCAGTTACATTTTACTTGATACTTCTTATATATTCTTAGATTACATACATCATGAATAATGCAGTCGAAGAAGAACGTAGAGACTCTTCTTGGGTACCAGGAAAATCGTGGAGGCAATTCCAGGAAGATAAGCATACATTTCCGACAGACAATAATTCCCTGACATTTATGGGCAGGCTTGCCAGAGAGCTCATCCGTATCACCGACCCACGGTATCGTCTGGTTTACTTGGGTTTCACTTTAGTAAATTAACTTCTGAGAATCTATTCGTTTGTATCGTTTCAGAACTACTGTATATATAGACCATACTCTAGCGTGGTACGACATTAGAACGCAAAATGAGGTCTTAAATTACAAAGTCTTTTCCGTAATATTAGAAACGATAGGTACTCCGGGATTATCGGGACTGGATAAGCTTATCTCCTTTTATATTGTCATGGAATTAGAAGCTTTGATTCACTATATAGAAAAAAGTATACGGAATAGAACATGGACGTCGATGTTGGAGGATTGTGAGGCTACTCTGAGTACCTTAGACAGTGCTAAAGGTAAGAATTCGAAAAAAATAGATTTTGCCATTTTGACATAAACAATTTTTTCTCATTTTTGTATTCTGATAATTTTTCATTAGCTTGTCATTAGGAACTAACGCTATTGATGAATATGCACTCACTGCCGATAATACTATTCAAAGATTAAAAACTTTAATATGCGAAAATATGAAAATTAACTAATGACGAAAATATTTGATAATATATTGTTCTTAGGTAATATTACGAAACTTCATAATTCTGTAAGTGCCAGTAGCAGTAAATTATGGTCATCAGCGCTCGAGTGGACATTGAAAATAGGTCATTATCAATTACTCAGGAAAAAAATAGCGTACGAACTGAACACCGCTTGCAAATTTGAAGCGAAGCATATGGAGGCGGCACTCCGAACGTTGAATACGTATGTAGAAATAAATTCAACATTGCAACTTTTTTCCTCTTTCTTCATTTCTCTCACTTTGCAGAGCGATCTTATGCGAGATAGCAAAGAAAGATAACGGCAGTGAAAACGAATCAGAGAAAACTGAATTGCTTCATGAACTCAGCGTACGATTGGACTGGGCTGGGATCAGCGATCCGCATAATAAAGTTTATATTAAGCCACCAAAGATAGATAATATAGCTCTCATTGTATTTTCATTCACAGTGTCGCAATTAAATAAACTAATTTATTGTAAAAATACAGGTACGCAGGTTACTTACCTGGTATTAACGTATATATATCATAAATATGTAGTTCCTATTGCTTTATACAATGTCACACATATTTTTATATTCTTTGTCTATTACAGCAAGTCTGTTAAGCAAGAGATACCAAGACCCTGTTGACGCTGTGGTATTTGCGATAGGCGTACAAACGATTCTTCGTCAATTCCACGTCTCTGTGATGAATCGATATATAAAATATCTTTGTATGTATATTTTGTCATTCCTCACCATGGAAAGGTACGTATAATCTCATCATTGCAACGTCGCGATAATGCGGCATCTTTTGCTGCAAGATAATATTAATTAATAATATTCTGTTTCCAGCATGAAAGCAGGTAGCGATACGGAAACCGAAGGAGCTACTAATCTTCATTTCCTGGAGCTTTTTATGAAGTATTCCGGCATTCCACGCTCTCTTATTCTCAAAGAAATACCAGTTGTTATTTTAGATCATTCTCTTGTTAAAATGACAAAATGATGCAATTTCTCAAATAATACAAAATAATATTATGTACACTGTAAATGAATCAATATTATTAACTCTATAAAGATATGTATTTTATATAAATTAATGAGAGAAATAAAATATTACATAGCTTAGAATTTTAGCTCATTATTCGCGCATTCTTATCTCGCATATAATACAATTCTCTATTATTATAATTTAAAAAATAGATAATCTAATATGTAGGAAAAAATTTTAACAGGTCAGGAAATCGTCAAAGATATCTAATGAGATTGTAGAGAATGTTGAAATTAATTTTATATTATCATTTAATTAAATTATACGCGTCTTTACTCTTCTAATTAGTCGTCGGCCATTGCCAACGCCTCACGCTCGCAGGAACGTTTGCATCGAGCGAGGCTTACGTTCTGTAAATTAGATGAAAGCATGGGCGTGGTATCGTCATTATGAAGAGAGCGTCCTTAGGGGCAGCATCGCCGAATACTGCAGGCAAACTTGGCATACGCATTGGCGGCTAGACGACGCACGGCATACAACGGCGGCGACGACGGCGGCGGCGGCGGCCGCGGCGGTGGTGGCATTGAATTCGCCGCCTTTGTTGCGCCACATGAGCCGACCTGCATTTCGTTTCTAGATACGTTTTCATAGCAAACCACTTGCGTTCTCGATTACAGCTATTTAATCGGTAGAGATTTCAATGCGACGCTTAATGATCTCGATCGATCGGATGCATTTGAGGAATTAAGGAAATATACGATTGGTAACGGCGACGGCGGCGGCGACGGCGGCTGTGTCGGCGTCAACGGCGGCTACAACGGCGTCGGCGGCCGCCGGTGACGCCGATATCGGCGGCTTCCTACAAAACGACGTGGGATAGTCTCGGAAGCCAGTTCTCAGCTCTCGCACGTACGGATTAAGTCGACGTCCTTCCTCCTCTTCGAATCTGCGATCGGACTTGACATATTGCAACGCGTATCACTAGAATTCAATTCGAGCACCTGTGGGAAGAGAAATATACATTTTCCAAATTGAAAATATATTTATTTTGAAGATGATTCTTGCTTCCGGAAAAATACGTGAAACGCGGATAGAGTCGATAACGATTTTTAAAATTTCATTCAAGCACAGTTGGAGAGAACACATTTCGGAAAGAATAATTATTGATTGGTTTAAATTATTATTTATATCTAGATTAAATTATGTTGACAAATTTTGTAAGGACTAACTTTTGTAAGGATATGGTAAAATTAAAAAAAATTCTGAATCAAAAGAAGTTACGAGAAATAATTCATATGTTTTTTGTTGTTAATTATTTAATTTCCAGTGCACTTATTTCTTCACCATATAATATTTTAAACGAATAGAAGTTATGTTTTTACTTCATATTTATTCATATTATATATAGTGATTGTTTTATATAATTTAAGAACACATAAAATATAAATATTCTGTATTAATACGTTTTTATTACACATATCGCAGTAAGTATAAATTATAACTAAAATATAAAACACACATTTATGACGATGCGACGTTTATGCAAGTTAATTTGTATAAGACCGCTCTGATGTCTCGTGAAACCTCGTAAGAAGTTCATATTATAGAAATTAAGGGATGTGCGCAAGAGAGAAGAAATGTAGCGTTTAATTAATTGCGAAAACTAATAACGATAAATGCAAGCCTTCCAAAAGAAAGACCATTTTTTGTGATTATAATACATACGTAAAAATATCCTTGCAACGAATATTCATTATCGTGCTCGATGTTTGCTTCTTTTTCATATTAGAAAATCATGCGAGCGGTATTAGTGATCGCACTGGTCCTCATGGCGGGACTTTTCGTCGCAACGATGGCATCGAAAAGTTGCGACTTAGAAAAGTTGAAGTATCCTCGTTTCATCAAGCATCGGACGAAAGTGAGGGAGATTCGTGGCTTCAAGCCGGAATACATCTCTACGGCGATTGGATTCGGAAAAAGGGAGGGTCCCACGGCAGCTCCGGACTTTGGCAGTCGTGAAGAAATTCTGCTGTCTCTTTTGCGAAGCTTTCCGCGTTCCGGGTGAGTATTTCGCAGGTTCTGTAAGTGATAAGATCAAAATTAACGATATGACAAAATTAAAGATACTTTGATCCATGTGGAAACTTGCATTTACATTATTTATAAAGTTCGAATTGAAACGCAAGGAAATAATCTAAGAAGTTTCGTGTGATACTAATTTATTCTTTGCAATGTTATATGTTAACCAATTGCACTAATCGAACACACATTTCAATTTTGCGTGAACTCAATTTACAAGAAATATATCGGTTGTAAATAATTGATAACTCTAAGTTTACATAAAGACGGAAATATTGCTTATTATATAGTTTATTCCAAAATATATTCATCACATTTAAATTTACAAGATTTCGTCATCCTTTGCAACTAATTTTCCAATTCCTTATAAAACTATGGAAATTTCAAAATTCTGTCAATCGCCATATATGCAATTGCTCATTGGTAATCGATATAAAGTGAAATGTCCGTACCATTCTTCACTTCTCAAATTTGACTTTCTCGAGAATGTTAAAGTCATTACATCTCGCGGTATGTAATGCGTACGTAAACATATTTAATGTAAAATGTATTATTCGCAGGATACCCGCAAAAATGCTACTTCCAGCGATGCGAACAAATCCTACACTCGTGAGCAAACTGATGCAGTTGTCGATCCAGAATGCCGACCAAGGCGACGAGAAGGCGATGATAGAGCATTCGAAATCTGAAAGAATATACGGACTATATTAACCTTTTTGTCGAAGCACGACTATTTATGCGAATTCTAGACACTTATCTAAGTTTGAAATATCCTCATTGATTTTTCGACTCCTCGACAGTCTCCTACGAGAAACATGGCGTAGGCGCTACTTTTCCATTATAATTTATCTCTCTATCACAACCAAACGCGATGTTGAGGAAAGATAAAGCGAGAGATGTCGGAGATTACGTTTTTCGCCTGGCAATTGATGTACAATTAACTTTTTAGTAGAATGACATCACAGTATATGAATCATATGTGTATGTATATATCGAGAGAAACACTGAGAGTCATTATTTTTTGGGTTATCAGAAAGTATATGTAAAACTAGAGAAATAAACTGAAACAAAAGAGCAAAAACAGAAAATATAATCACGCGCATTTTACGATGTAAATCTGTATCTTACGATCTATTACACCCGACTTCTCAGCATCTCCGAATTCGCAAGCGCGATCGGCTTGGAAGATATGAAGAATTTTGAAGGATACGACAGTTCTAAACGTGCAGTCTGCAGTCTGCAGAAATTCAATATCTTCAAATGCTAATTCTATTATCCGAATGCTATTTTGCAGATTGGAGCGAAGAACACGCGCAAGCGCCACGTTTAAAAATTCGAATTCGGTGACAGCCGCCAGTGCAGCCAATCGAACGAGCCTCAATTCCTAGCTCTTACAATTTAATAATCTGGGGAATCCGTTCGATTAGTTCCAACGGAAGTTAAGCCAGCAGCACACGGTGCTTGTTTTCGTGCTGGATTGCTTGTTGGATGAAAATACTGCGTTCTGATTGGTACATTTCCGAAGATGGATGGAAATGCACCAATCAGAACGCAGTATTTTTATTCAGTAGCAAGCAATCCAGCACGAAAACAAGCATCGTGTGCCGTTGGCTTAACAAAGGCAGAGCATACTCATTGCGCTAAATAGCGTATCCCTGAACGCAGCCTAGATATACTATGTCTATGAAATTGACCAACCGCAGTCGATGATTTTTCCGAATAATCGACTGTGGTTGGTCAATTGATTAATGTCTTATGATTAACAGCTTATTGTAGAAGGGTCTTGAGACTTTTATTGTAGACCCGCAAAGTACTTCTCCTCACGATGTATTTCGAAATCCAACAGGCGATATCTATCCAATGGGAGAATTAATATTTGAGCAGTTCTGGGAGAATCGATTCTTTTATTGGATATCGGTTGCGTTTCGAAACACGTCGAAACAACATACGCCGGCACATCTTCTGCTTCCGAACGTACCGAATGTGCATATCCGTTCACATAATGCGTCTATATATTCCCATCTAGTATCGAAAAGTCCCGTGGACGTGTGTACACACACATTGGAGATCTGCGTTCAACTAGACACTTTCGCTTCCTACGATCGTTCTTGTTCTCGAAGAGGCGAGTGAGATCCTGCGAGACGGCAGAGACCGAGGGAAAGAGGTTTGACAAAGGAGAGAAGGATCCCACGACGAGATCTCTCGCGGCGTTTCAGGCGGTCTAAAGGGTGCCCGCCGAGAGGGTGCCGTGAAGGGAAAGGCGGTTAAGAACGTACACGAGTTTTCGTGTATTAACGAGAACATTAACGTTTTACGAGTGACGCCGGCCGCCTTGTGCCTCGGGGAGCCTTGAAGTCTCCTAAGGCCCACAGGCATACGCGTGACCAAGGTAAGAGGCACACGATGCCGTTCTTCATCGCGGACCGTTCATCCCGACGAAACGATGAAGTGCTGCGCACTTGCATCCCCCGCAAGCAGAATCACTCCACAACCGCCCGTTTCTCCTCCGAGCGAATCTTCGCAGTGTCGATTGCGGTGCAACATCGAGTCGCGTAGCGTCGTCATAACCTATTCACGTAGTCGTGGCTCGAGATGGTTCTGTAATAAGACGTGTGACGTATACATCGCGGCACGTGGAGAAAGAAAGTATGATCACACTGATCGAATTCGCGTTTTGTTATCGCAATCAATACTGCAGATTCATGATCGTCTCATAAGATTCGTGCACTCTATGGTTCTATAAGTCTTTTTCACTTTTTGTTGAGAATTAATGCTTTCAGAAATAAATGTATCGTTATCGTGGCAAAGTTTAATTCTATTGGAAATGTTGAATGTCAAAGGTACTCGCAGCATTAGAGACTTGACGAGGTATTACTACGACGACGAATGATTTAGTGTCTCATTGAATTATATTTTGCCAGAAGCAACGATGTGACGGCATTTGAAATACTCCTGCCCATTTACGGTACAGCTTTGTTCATATTCTCATCTTCGACTTGCTCCCAGCCCCTTCCAGTTTCTCTTTCTTTCTCCATAGGGCCAATAAGTATTCTTTCAGGTTAAAAGTTCGCTATAGTTTCTAGTGCAGTAAAAAAAAAAGTACGGTTTGTGGTTTATCGGTACTTTCTTAGTTTGTGTTGTGTTCAAGTTGAAAAGTTCAAAAGTTCCGCGCGAGTAAACCTGACCGAAAAACAGTATGTATCGTATATGTGACGGCTGAAGTTCGGTTTAAGTAAAATAAAGTACAAAAGTTTTTGATAAAAAAAAGTAAGAGAAAAGTTGTGATAAATAAAAAAGTATGTTCGACGCGTTATGGATCGCGCGCGTTGTGCCAGCAAGAGCGAGTACTGCACAATCTCTGATCGACACAGGTAAGCCCTGCGACGCTACTGATGCAGATTTTTCAGTGCTACATTCGGTCGGTATCGCCCTTTCAAAGATTTCACTTGTAACAAGTAAGAGGATAGTTTAAACGTTGTTACATTTTAAAGATATTTGTAAAAATAAAAAAAAAAGACGAAAAAACAAGACTTTCCCGTTCCCGTCCCACGAGGAGTCACCCGCCGCCTTCTTTAACGAGCTTCATTGTTTTACAGGCTGATAGATAGTGTTCAGCATGTCCGATTCTGGTTCAGAGAGTACTTCCTCGGAGGGTTATGATGGAGGTAGAAATCAAGTCACTGCCACAGATGACGTAACTTCGTCACGTTACTCGCATCACTCCTTCGGATCCGGACGCAAGTCACTGGCGAGCTCAATCTCCTCTCCGGGGGAGAAGTCTCCTGGATCGATGTTGACCGATGGCCGGGACTCCAAGTCGCCGAGGTCCACGCCATTGTCGCCGAAGTCGCCACGATCCGGATTAATGTCGCCTAGCGAGGAAGGCTCGCCGAGGTCGATCCGTAGTATGTCCACGAAGTCCCCGCCCGCGTCACCACCTGCATCGCCACCTGCGTCGCCGCCAGTATCACCACCTGCATCTCCACTAGCATCTCCTCCAGCATCTCCGCCAGCATCTCCGCCTGCATCGCCCAAGTCTTATCATTCCGAAAACAATTCTCTTGATTCGCCACGATCAGACCGCAGCTCGTCTCGGTCTCCTGTTCAGGACAACGGCTCGTGTCTTTCTCCACCGAATGACTCTAAGTCTCTGCGCTTCGGCGATGCCGAGTCAAAAGCGTCCGACTTCGAGGTCGACGCGCAAAGGTCCGTCGACAATTCGCCTAAGTCGTACTCGTACAAGAACAGTGAGTCCAGGCAGAGTTCACTAAAATCGCCCAGATCTGGGCCTAGCTCTGTGAAGTCTTTGATATCGCCGAGGAGCTCGCCGAAATCGTACAAGTCTGGCCCGACATCTCCCATGGACGATCAGGAGTCGGACAAACATTCGCCGGCGCATTCGGGTCCTCGATCGCCTGAGGAAACGAAGAACGGCTCGTTTAACGAATTATTGGATGGAGAACAGATTTCGGACGGAGATATCGAAGACGAGCCGGAACCATTGTCCAAGTCCAAGCCGGCGCCTATGACTCATGGTGAGGATTTGTCAGACGTGTCAGATCTTGAGAGCATAGACGGCCTTGAAGGATCCAACAAGCAGAATGCGGAAGAAGATAAAGTTGGAGACAAGAATAATAGAAAACACATACGTAATGAGGAGAACATGGTAAAGGAAGATAAGAGCGCTCCTGTTGGCTTGGCAGAGGAGAGCGAGCAGTTAGATTTTGAAGCCGACGGTCAATGGAAAGACGAACGTGATGAAGGTAATGTGCAAATATATATGCTGGGATTCGAATTCAAGTGTGAACTTTGTCATATAAAGTATAAGATCGAAGTAAAATTGATTGAAATGAAATCAATGAAATAAAGGTAACGCATTATTAGGTATAAAATTTATATAGATATCGTAACAAAGCGTGATAATTTTATGGATTTTACCAATTGCTGGCTCTACAGAAGAACGCTACATTATTTCTCGCTGGAATTACAGGTGAAACCGAAGCGCCACTTACCAAGGACGCCAAGGAGCATGCAGACAAAGATGGTAAAGATAAAGACAGAGATAGAGAGAAAGCCAAGTCGAAGGAGTCCGGTGAGGTAAACGACAAAGAAGAGGGAGAGGACGACGGGGAGAAAGAGGAGTCCGAGTTGGAGGAAGGCGAGCTCAGTGACGGGGACGATGCACGGCCGGAAGAGACCGAGCCGAGACCCGTGTGTCGTTTCTATAATCGAGGTCAATGTACGTGGGGTGTCAGCTGCAGATTTTTGCATCCCGGTGTGACAGACAAAGGTAACTACACGATGTTTGATATGATAAGACCCATGGCGTATCCGCCGCATAATGCCACGCCACATGAGTACCGATCACACATCGAGAGACCCAGTATGGCACGTACGTTACCTGGTTACGGCGCACCCGCGCATACACCCAAGGTGGAAGAGACGCCGACAGAGTCCGCGTGGGAACGTGGATTGCGGCACGCCAAAGAGGTGAGCGCGCATCACGTAATGTTCTCTTCGAAACTTGATGACTATAATTGAGTTTGGTCAACGAGGCACACGAGGAAAGCTCATTTATCTCCGCTTTTTATTCCAGATGATGCGCAAAGCTAACAAACGGAAAGAATCGGACATAGATTTCGAAGAGAAGAAAATGAACCTGAGTTTAGGTCAGGATGATCTTGACCGGGAAGCGGGATATTACGTTAGAGCTGCCAGTCCTGAGCCACCTGTTGAGAGATGGCCACAGCGAGAAGTCCAACGTAGTAGAGTGCCTCCTTCTAGAATCACACCGGACAGGTATATCGATGAGCCCGAGGGATACTATCCACCGCCACCTACGTCATCAGAATATTACAGGTAGGATGATGCGTCAATTTTATGACCCACATTCTTAATCGGGGAAAAAAGTCTTTCAACTATGAGATTCGGTTAGTTTGTGTATCTGTTTGTTTTTACCTTTGTCTCCATTGCTTTACCAGGAGGGTTCATTACAAGGATCGTACGACCGACTATAGAGACCGCATCGATTATCATCCGATTCCTCGTGGCACGCATTCAGTTTCACCACCACCGCCGCCGCCACCTCCGCCACCACCACCATCGCACAATCGTGAACGTGAACGGGAACGAGAACGCGAGCAACGTGACAGAGAGCGCGATTATTACGAGAAGTACGAGAAGAAACACAAACGGCCGTCGCGCGAGGTAATCGTGGAACGTATAGCACCGACGAAATCTTGGCGGGAGGAAGAACCGCCTCCTGTCGAGGTTCGAGGCAGAGGCGACGAATGGGCTGACCCATGGATGCGACGCAAGTCCCCGAGCACCGTACGTCGCAACACGTCATCCAGGCGTCCACGTCGGCAATCGTATTCTTCTGGCTCATCATATTCGTCAACAAGGTATAATATACAAATTTACATCTAGATGTTCCACAAATTTCAACAGAAAATATAGATATAACGAAGATATGCTTCTCAAAAAACAGACAACGATGATCGCCATAGCACATTCGATCGGGCAAACTGTTTGTACTTGTATCTATTTCACTATTTAAATATCTAGTCTCATCCATTCACCGGCTGTACGCGGAGATGTGTACAAGATCATCGTCTTTTTAGTTCTAGCCGTAGTTCGAGCCGTTCCAGCTACAGTTCTTATGATTCCTTATCCAGGTCCCGTTCACCATCCCCTCCTTCTAGAACCCGAGCTGCCGGCAAAGGCAAACCAGCTGCGAGTTCGCCACCCTCGAATCCTCCTACTGTTGCCGCTGCGCCACCTCAACGAGGTGCCATGTTAATGAATCCTCCGGCTCCTTCACCTCGTCCACCCAAAGGTTCTATTTCTCCTACAACCGGCACACTGCATCGTCGAGCCGGCTTGAATCCACCCGCGCCGAGTCCTCTCTCGTCTCATCGTCATCACGAGAAAACCAGAGATAAGGCTGCGATCGCTGCTGCCGCTGTTGCTAAGATCATCAAGAGTCGCTCTAGATCCAGGTATGAGAACTCGTCTATCAGTTTCACTAATAGCGAAGTATTAAAGGTTTTTGAGCGATTTCTCGATAATTTTTATTAAAAGTTGACGTTACGACCTATTCAACTGACGAATAGGATCCTACACCGGTTTCTCAATTAAAAATGCATCTTGTCGTATTGTTAAACATAATAAAATGAATATGTTTTAGATCATCTCATAGCAGCTCAGGCTCAGAGAGTAGCGGGAGCAGCAGCGATTCGAGCGAATCGAGCTACTCATCATCTTCTAGCGAAACCCGTAGGAGGAAAGGCTCGACACCTCCGATAACGCGCAAGGATTCCAAGAGCATGGATGCTCTGAAATTGGGTGGTGCTAAGCAACAAATCAAGCTCACGCTGAAGCCAGCGAGTAACATTACGACAGTGAAGAAAATCGACCGTAGTACACTGATGGCGGGTAAGAAGCGGGGGCTGGACTCACCACCATTGATCGACAGTAAGGCGAGCGTAGCCGCGGCTGCCGCTAAGGCCGCCAAGAAGGCGAGCTCGCGACGCGAGGAATTGCTGAAGCAACTCAAGGCCGTGGAAGACGCGATCGCGCGTAAAAGATCTAAGGTTTAAAGTCAAAATAGAGTAATGACAGCATACGTTTCTTAACATGCTGATAAATACGTACATACGTATTAAATGTTTTTTGTAGTTATATTCTGTAATTAGTCGTTGTTACGACCGCGATCCTACAAAAGTGAAGAATCATATGACGCTCATTGGATTGTGATGGATACACATATTACTGTTAATGAATATTCGCAAGATATTCCTAGGTAACGTTCATTTTAACGAATTATAATGAAAGTTCTGAAACATAACGAACTCGTTTTACAAAAAAAACGTATGGAAGTCTCTTATTCCATATAATTTCATGATGGTCTTGTAGAACAGCTGAAAATAAGAGATTTGTGGTTTCGTGCTTCTTTTCACACTTGAGAAACATTCATGAACATATTTAAAACTGCGTGAAGTATGCATGTCTCAGGTAAAAGTTTTGTTAAATTATCAAGGGGATTTCTACAAACAATTTGAAGCTGATAGTGCAATCTTGTTTTTTATGCCCTGCCATCAATCAATAATGTCAAATATCAATAATGTAACATACATTATTATATATATTATTGAACAAAATTATGTCCGACTATAAAAATGTTGGCTTTGAACTATTTGCAAAAATCCCTACGAACATATTGAACAACTCGATATTTATGAAAATTAAGGATACCCTGAAAAATGTTTTGAAAAAACGTAATATATTGTTGTAAAGAGTACGAAATGTAAGATTCTGTTTTTTTGTTTGTGGCAATTATTTTACGATTCATTCACAAAAAGAGCAACGCGATTGAATTGAAATGCGAATATTCATTATCAGCTTCGGTAAAAAGGAAATGTTTCCATTTTTAAATACAAAAGTTACAATTGTATAAAGTATTTTTTTTCTTTTTGCTTATCCTAAATTTTTCTTTTTCTGAGATAAATAGTTAACGAATACATGATGCTACATAATTACGCTATATCTTCAGTTACATATGAATTTAGTAACATTCGAAAGATTATTTTGACATACAATGTCGATAACATTGTGATTAAGATCGTTAGAGAAGAAGGAGGAATAAGTACTGCGAACGATTATAGGAGACACTAGAGTAAATCTTGACTTTATGTATGAGTGTGTATATGTGTGTGTGCGCATGTATGTGTGTGTGTGTGTATGCATATTCATAGTTTATTTGATTCAATATTTCTTAGTTGACTTGTATCTTGACACACATATGCACAGAACGATTACAGCCACAGTACGACTTTTACCGACATTTCCAAGTGAAGAAACTTGATGAGACGTGATATTAACCGACAATAAATTTGTCGTGTCTGTACACAAGTGTCTGCTTTATTTTTCGTTTGACTCGCGTTCCAATAACAAAATGTCGACCATGGAGGTAGAGTTGAAGTTCACCATGGTGCCAAAAGTTATAATTATTTTGCAACTTGTGTTGTCATTATCATATACAATTACTATCGAATAGTCCTCAACGGAAGTTTGTTTCACTATTTTTACGTATACATAGAAAACGTATATAAGCTGACTCTCTGACGTTTTTTTTTTCGCAACATAAAAGCAAAAACCAATTAATCGTACCGCAGTGGAGTGATTTTGAAAATATGCCATGGTGCTATAATCTCCGATTAGTGAACGAGATATTTCAATTTAATCCGACGAGAAGAAGTAAATTTATTATAACGTATTCTGTGAACTGCACATTTATATTATTCTAGGGATAGCCAAGTTTCTCCTTTGAAAGAGAAACAAAGCGTCATTGTTTCTTTTCTTCTGGAATGCACGTAAACCTTCTCGTTTTCAGTGCATGAGAAATCCTCGACATAATCAGTCAATCTGACCACAGTGCGATATTAGACGATCTTTTAGATAAGCCTAGTTATGCGAGAAAGACTAATTTCAAAAGAACTAATGTAGACGAATATAATCTTAAATGCAGAAAGAAAATTGTGCTACGCGCGAGAAAGAAGGAAGATTTCGTAACAGAAAACGTGTATATATATATATACACACATATATATACATATATATATTTTGTACTTTTCTTCCGTGTATAAATATATCGTGACGAGATGCGCTACGCTAATTTCATGCCATAAGCACCATGTTAACTTAAGGGACAAACGCTTTGTTAACGACAGACTTTATTAAATATAAATTACAAAACAAAGTATCCACAAGAGTGTTACCGGAAATATCGACTTGAACGCTAAATAATAAATTAAGATAACGTGTCTTTTCGTAACAATCCATACGGAGGTATCAAACGAAAAAAAAAAACAAGCGCACGTATTCCTATTTCTTAATTTGTAAATTACAAACACCTGAAGAAACGAGACTCGATAGAGTCGCCCTGACGTAATTGCGTAATCTTAATTACCCGGATCCCAAATTAATGATACCTCGAAGAACACACGTGTTGTGTACGGTCGCGTAGAGTTCGAGTTTTACTTACACGCGAAAAATCGAGGAAGGCATCTGTGTGTATGTACGTGTGTGTGTGTGTGTGTGTGTCGAGCAGTCCTCGGTGAAACTGTGCCTCTTACTCGTACACCCGAGTGAACTCTCGTACTCAACCTGTGGGCCGAATATTCGGGTACTCGCTTGAGTACAACTTTACGCCTCGAACGGACGTGTCGATCACCTCAGGATTAACAAACTTTGTTGTTCTATCAGATTTTCAGATATAAAAAATTACTACTAGACCACATTGTGAATGTCAACGTTAATCAATGTACAGGACGATCACAGGTAGTGCGGGACATCTCTGCGTATACCTTTAATCAGATTCGCCAATTGCACGTCTAGCAGTAGGAAGTTCTCCGCGAAACAATCAGTTCCCCGAATATTCAACCCTTTCCGTCGAATCGCATCAGCGCGCGATCCGTTCGAGCATTCGTACGGCATTCGAGGGTCTTACACTCTGGAGGTGGGTATGTCGAGATCCGCTTGCCTGTTCGACAGACTCGACTCGGCGGCTTCTTGCGTCATCGTCGTCGTTCTGATAGGCATGCCCATGAATGTGGGCATCTGATTGGTGCCGTTCAAGGTAGTGCGTCTCGTCCTGGCAGTGCTAGCCTCCAAGTTTGTCCTCGTCTCGTTGTACTTGAAGAGACCGTCGCCGGGCGCGGGCAAGCCGTTGTTCGGCAGCTTGTACCACCAGTGATACGTAACATACCACGTAATAACAGCCGCCACGCCGCCGAGGAACTTCTCTATCATGATGTGATAGTAGAGCACCGTCGACACCAGCATGATGTCCCACAGCAGCTGCTGCATGGTCATCACCACGAACAGGCCGCGCAGATACGGTGTGAGCGCCCAATGTGCCTTCTTCAGGAACTCCAGGTCGGTGTTAGAGATATTACGGAGGGGTCCGGTGCTGGTCTCGTTCGGAGTGGCGCGCGTGTGCTCCTCACGCATCACCAGGTCCCTGATACCCTCCCAGCCGATCAACGAAGCGCCTTCCTCAGCTAATATCAAACTGGAGTAGATCAAGATGAACGTGTGGCCGGATATGTCGAGACTGCTCCAGAATTTCCCTGACTGCAGACATTTGACCTTGGACTGCAGCTGAACGTCACGGGTGCTCAGGCACCTGCCGTAGTTGTTCTCCACGTAGTGGAACAGCTTGGTCCAGGCGAGCCAGGCGAAGGTCGCGAGGACCACACGACCCAAGTGACGCAACAAGACCGGCCTGCGGCCGCAGCCGATCGTGTGTGCCGTCAGGGCGACCCAGGGAATTATCACGGATAGCAGCCAGCCCCAGCTCCACTTGACGAAGTACTGGTTTAGCGCGTTGTCGGACTTGGAGAAGTACGTGCGCGGCATCGCGATGAAGTCTGCGATCAGCGACACCACGAATATGGTACCGCAGTAGATTGCCACCTTCAGCCGGGTGTCGAAGAGGAGGGACTTCTTGCACACGTGCAACAGCATAGTAACGAGTATGAGGCCGATAGAACTGGGCGCCGCGGTGGGCCGGGTGCCACCGCGGTCCTCCTGTGTGAGGTTCGGCCGAAAATTCATCCGACTCGAGCGGATGCCACCACTAGCACTGCCGCTACCATTGATCCCAGCACTCCCGGACGTCGTGTGGATGCTACGTCGTTTACCAGTCGCCATCCTGGTGGATTTCTCGTAGATTCACTCGGTGGGTCTCTGTTTATCGCTCGTGCGCTCGCTCGTCGAGATCGTCTAAAAGCATCGCACCGCTGGACTCTCCCCAGGTCGGCCGGGTTAGGTTAGGGTTAGATAAGTAACACGAATAGCAAATACTGCCTGGCATCTGCTGGCCAACGCAGCACTGGCTGTTCCAAATCTCACCTCGTCGGCGTTACCTCGTTGTTGGACTCGCGTTAATACGCTCTGTCATCCACTGCTTCATCCCCCTCCCACAAACCGTCCACTCCGTCGCGTCGCTACTCGCGCCATGGATGTTCTCTGACCCAGCTGACCTAGCGTAGACTTTGGCATATAAAATGCGGAAGTCACGTGCGACGCGTGTCCACGCGACCAATCAAACATGTTTCTTGATAACTGTCGCTTGCCCGGCGAAACATCGCTTTCAACCTTTAAACAAGTCGCACCCGATCGTCGCACAGGCGTCCACCTTGCTCCTCGTGAATGAGATGATTACGGTTATTATTCGTTCGATCTTAATCGTTCTTTCACATACCTTCCTGACCAAGCTTCTCTTTCACCGGTCTGTTTATCCTCAGTTCGAGTGAACGCTTCTGACACGTATCAAGGTATACGAAAGCGTGACGAAATTGTTTGTTCAAATATGAGGTCACCAACGAAGTAATATTAAAGACTGTCAGCCATGAGTAAATTTTTGTATTGGTAAAGGAGACCCCCAAAAGGTCCGGAGATAATTCGAGGACGATGACGATACCGACTATTTTGACTACGCTGAAAATAACACGACATTTATATTATTATTTATATGAAAGAAATATATATAGTACATTGGATAACAGCAGCTAAGCCTGTTTTATCCATATTAGCCATCTCTTGCATTCGGTGTTTTACAGCTAGAAACTTATAAATTTTTTTAGATACAATGTTTATCTTTATCATTTATGTATCTTCATTATCCAGATAGCACACTGGACGTCCGTTATATGTATCCACTTTTTTTACAAAAAGACGTCCATAGGACGTACGTTTGTCACAACTTCGGACATGGAGGTCCTACAGGTGCGATGTCCAATAAGGACATCCTTGTTACGTCCAGTTTATGTCCACGGACGTAAATCGGACGTACGGACATAAATTGGCCGTGAAACGTACATCCACTGGATGTCCGGTGCTGTCTGGGTACATATTGCCTCTTGGGAAGAACAAAATAATATAGGCGTTGATTTAGCCGAAAATAAGTACAGACACGCTACTCAAAAAGGAGAGCATTCTTAACTTAGATCTAGATAAATAATCAAAATAATAAAAGATAGATATTTGCGGTATAAAGAAACACGAACATTTATGTCACATTTGACTACCTGGTTGCGGCATCTGTCGGAAGCGCGAGTCCCTTGAGAATCCTCGAATCAACGTCAGATGGCGGCAGCGTGAAGTTAGAACCGGGCGAAACCACGTTTCGCGCAACTCCGCGTCCGATAGATGTCGCTAGCGTGACGTTGAGCGGTCGCGAAGCGTCCTCCGCGACTCCGCATAGATCCATCCTCAACGGTCGGTCGTTTCGAAATCCGGCCAGTGTGTTCGCCGCTATACAACCGGGAACGCGTGCGCGTCTAACCGCCTCTCCACCCGTGTTCCGTAGCATTGTCGACAAATAGTTGACGCGCCTCAAGGACGGACGTGACAAGAGCGGCATTGTGCGCTCTAAAAGGGACGAGTGTCCGTAAGGGAACGGCGAGGAAACCGAAACACGTCGGGGACGATCGCGTGTGCGGAATCTACTAGAGCGTGCGTGCGGGTTTACTTGCTTGCTAGCTTGCTTGCTAGCTTGCTAGCTTGCTTGCTTGCTTTTTTGCTTGCTTGCTTGCTTGTTTGCTTGCTTGCTTGCTTGCTTGCTTGCTTGCTTGCTTGCTTGCTTGCTTGCTTGCTTGCTTGCTTGCTTGCTTGCTTGCTTGCTTTCGTCTCGACGCCTCGTCATCTTGAGCGTCGTCGGCGGAAAAACAGAGTGTGACAGTCGAGCGCGCAGCGGTGTCTTCTTCGCGTCGATCGGCGCGGGAGAATTGTCGGAGGAAGGAGGGACAAGACGAGCGAGAGAAAGAGGGAGAGAGAGAGAGAGAGAGAAAGAGAGAAAGAGAGAGGTGGAGGAGGAGGAGCAGGAGCAGCTGAGACAGTAACAGGTGGAACGGTAATAACTGAGCATGCTATTCGATTACCGCGAGCGTAACTCTGTTGCATACACCCGAGGCTTCCGGCTCTCCGTGACGTCAGGGAAGTTCACGGATCGCTTCGGGTGCGAGCGAGTTATACACACACGTACGCACGGAGCACACTCCTTTCTCGCTTTCTTTCTCTTTGTATAGATCTCTTTCTCTACAATCCTATGTCTCTCTTCTTTAAGAAGCTTCTATTCGGTGTTGTTTTTTTTCTCACCGTAGCGCGTGCAGTAGGTTAAAGAGTTAACCTTAGAATAATATCAAACGCATTTATTTTTCTCTCTCTCTCTCTCTCTCCCTCTCTCTCTCTCTCTCTCTCTCTCGCTCCCTCCCCCGCCTCAGGTGATTCGCCGCGAATCGCGTCGCGGTTCCCTCGGCACGGCGCGCAGCCAGTCGATAAGCCTGCGTCACACTACGGATCAAAGATCAAGGATTGCGGATTGAAGATTGAAATTTGACCAATCGGAATAAAGTGAATCAAAACCGAAGTTCGTCGATTTGTCGAAATCTAATCTTCAATCCGCAATCCTTGATCTTCAATCCGTAGTGTGACACGGGCTATAGCCGTGCTAATTCGACACGTAAGTCGCTCGCTCCGTCTTCCTCTGGCCCGAGCATGAAGACGACGACAGGGCGTAGTTCCGTGGGACTCGCGAGTAATGAATGAGCGACGCTCGCGACACGCTTTCGCGCGCGACGACGCAGTTTTCGTAATTGACGAGGCCGCTCGGACGAGCAGCGGCCACATTCCACGCGGAAATTGTGCAATGTTACTTGCACACTCGATCGCTCGCGGCTTAATCGTGATACAAACCGAGAGTCGTTCGCGTTCATGTTTACGTTCGGTCTTTTTGGCCTCGCGCGATTCATCGAGACGGTAGCCGCGCACGCGGCATCGTCTTGTTGAGATTCCCGTCTCGTCCTCGAAAATCCGCCGTTTCTCCGCTGCGAGCGTGTGAGTGTGAGAAATTTCCCTTGTCCTATATCTCCACGACCGCGATATGTCGCGCGCGAATCTCGCCGTCCCGCCTACGTGGGAGCTCGCGACACGCGTGCGTGCACACGCACACGCACACACACGCACACGCACACGCACACGCACGCACACATTACGCGTTCTCTTGTGCGACACCCACTCCGTGCATGACCGCTGATATCTTCAGCGATCGAGATAAGAGCAGCGGTCCGGTCGGACTGCTGCGGTTGCGGCTCTTCGCCGTTTAATCCGCATGCGGTCGCGTGACTTTCATCTCGCGACCCCGTGACCGTGCGAACGCGTCGCCGAGACCTCATCTCGAGGTGGTCCGCTAATTGCCACAGACTCGGTGAAATCGAACAATTCCAGGTCATCGCGCGTACGCACGCGATACTCGCAATCAATTACGCTCTCGGTATACTCGCGAGAGAAATAACTCGTACGCAATGTGTGTATATACACGAGGGAGACGGTAACGACTCGTAAATACGATATCAAGCCAAGAGAGCGTACGTTTTCGTTATCACGTTTCCACAAGAGGTTCGTTCAGTCCTTCAACTGGACTTTCGACCCTGCTGCGGACGGGTCTTCGACTCTCGTCAGATCGACGCTCAGTCATCGTTGGCAGAAAGGGACGGCCCTTCAGGCGTCTCTAAGCCGTACTTTCGATGAATTTGCGGGAGGAAAGGATGTTAAGGAGGGGAGGTCGAGCGAACGGCGGGATGAACGCTCGCCTCTGCCGCGCGCGCGAGCGCGAGTGTTTGTCGATGAGGACGCTAATTTTATGGATTATCGATAGCATGACGTGTAGCATTACGCCCGGCACCCGGTACCAGCGACACGCTGCATACCCACGGAATATTCTCCATGCACGAGCAGGTCGCATCGCGTCGCTCCTCTCTTTCGCCGTGGGAGGATTTAACGACCACGTGTGTAACGGCCGCGCCCCCCGCGCCCGGCAAACTGTCACTATCTATTTCCAGTCGGGATGACCTCACGCCGCGCGAGATCAAGTAATTCCGCTGCAGCGCGCCTCTGGAATGACATAATACCGGGACGAGAGCGGTCTGTAACCCTAATCTCAGCATTAACCCTTAATCTCAACCGGAACGTTCTCGAGTTATCCTCGCGTTCTCGGCGCGACAAGAGTTGGCAATATCTCGTGACTTCGACTTTTAATCGCTCAGATTCCGCAGCGAGAGGAGGGCGGGGGGAGCTCCTCTGTCATCGCTGCTTTTCAATTCTTCTTCTGTCGGCCGTGCTTTCTTCTTTTTGTGTTTTCTCCTCGCAGCGAGGAGTTATTATTTCCCGATGCCGCAGAGCGCGATGCCGCTCCGGCAGCAGCCGGGCGTCGCGTTGCTCATCGATCATCTTTCGCTGTTATCGCTGACACAAACGCGTTTACGCCTTTCGCACGCCTGCATGATACGCTCCGGTCAATCGATCCTCTCGCGCGCCCCGAGCAAAAAATTGTTAGGGCCATCCTCATGAAGTATAAGGCTCCGATGAGGCTCTGAAAGTAGGATGTCCTGAAAAGGATTTATTTTTATTTTAAAAAGGGTTTGATTTATTATCGAGATGGATCCTTTAGGGATACCTTAGATTTTACGAAATAATGCTTTAATAAACGGAAAACTGATAAGGGCCTTAGAAGAATTTTTTAGGGATGCCTTAGATTTTACGAAATAACTCTTTAACATGGAAAACTGATGTGAGCCTTAGGAGGAGATCTTTTAAGAATACTTTAGTTGTAATGTAAAGTCAAGTTTTGTTATAGAAAATTAATAAAATCTGAAGCGTGTAATAAAATTGTCATAATTTAGTATTGCTTTGGTAGATATGCTTTCTATCTGGTTCTTTTAAAGATTTCTTAATTATACCGCAATTAAAAATAAATCTTATTAGTTGCCATATTCATTAATCTCTCCCAAAGATTTCTCTAGTATTGCCTTCGTTTTGAAATACAGCAAACTTTAATAAAAGTAACAGAACAGAATTTTTATGTGCAAAGAATGTTATATTTTTGTAAAGTATGCTACATGTTTTTAAAACAAAAAATTCTTGTATACTAACAGGGTTATAAAGAAATAAAGAAATTACAGTCTAAATTTCTTCGAATGAAAAGAATATTTTTACTCAAGCAATAATAAAAATATTTCCTCATAAGGCCCTCATAATATTGCCTTATTAAGGACCCGTTAAACCATATTTGTTACACATCTTGTAGGATCGCCCTTGTCCTTTCTATCCATATTAGGGCCCGACTAATGTTAGGGAAAAATAATCAGACCCTTATCAGAGTCTTATTAATTTTTCTACTCGGGGCGGCGGTTTCGTCTCTCCATGTCCCTCCGGTGCTCGCGTAGATCGCGTGCACTCCGTCGTCACCGTCGAAGGGATCCGCGTGGCCGCGATCTCATTGAGCGTATTAATCGGCCCGCGATTGTGCGAAGAATCATACGCCCGGCACAGCGAGCATGGCCCTTCGCAGAACCAGCGTACGGCAGCTCGATCGATCGGCGATTCGAATACCCTTGAAACTCAACGGGACCTGTGAGCTCGACGCCGATTGTCGCATGTTCGGTCGTTCTCGACTCAAGAGCCCGTTGCCCGACATGCCTCGCGATGGGGAAATTTTCTTTGCAACGAAAGTCGACCGCTGCAGCCGGCGTCGTGTGCGCGCCTTTGACCTTCACTCGTCGTTGTCATTCATGAGGAGGTAGAATTCGTTTGGTTCTGGAGCTTCCTCAAACGCGACCAATTTGCGAGTAGGACTCACTGGAGCGAGGGGGGTGGGGGATTTCTGCCCTCCGAGTCTCTCGAAACGAAATCTCGCGCGAGGCGAGCAGAAAGGTGACGATATCTTTGCTCGATGTGATCACGCTGGGAAAAATTATCTTGTCATAGTGAAAATTATCCAGGTACGAGAAATTAGCTGAAATGGCTAAATGCAAGCACTACGATATTGCGTATGTTTTGTATTATATCTAATATAAATGGTAGAGACAGAATTTATATGTCAAATTTAGCAAGAAAATCTCTTTGTGGCACCTTTAAATTATTATTATTATTATTATTATTATTATTATTATCATTATTTTCATTTAACGCAATGATTCATATTTAGCTACGAGACCTAAATTTTCCTGCAGATATTTCTAGAATGTTGTTGTTGTAAATCCTGTGTGTATCACAGACAATTTTCTAGCAGGTACAAAAATCAGCGAAAAATTTTAGCTGCAACGTTTCGAATTCTAGCTGGACTTCCCAGCGAAACATTTTTTTGAGTGCGCGAAAATGTTCCGCTCAAGCTTAGGGTGCATTCTGACTCGATGACGCGATCAGTGGGAGCGAGTGTACGTTCGCTCAAACAGCGGAGAGCACATCGGGTTTTGCTATTGAATTTCGATTGAAGGATGTTGGATCCCGCCTCTTGTGAGCGGAGAGTCACTCGAATTCGAGTGTGATTCGGCTGTCCTCCGAGTGGAAGTTGCTCCCGAGAAATCGAGAGGGTACGATTTTTAGGCTCATGCTGGCGGAAACGGGTAAAAGCTCGAGTATCCTGCGAGTAGTCCTAGTTCCAGTGTTGAGGCTCACATGACTGCTGCTGCTGCAGGTCGCTCGCTGCACTCGGATGCGCACTCCGTCTTTATAGATCCCGCGGCGTGCGCGCGTTTACGGCGCGCGTGACACATACCGCTGATGGATCTTTATTTTAAGGTCTGTCTTCCACATCCCTCGAGTCGCGCGAGCCGCTCAGTCGATGCTCGCTCGACCGTCCCATTTCACTTTAGACGCGCCCTTGCGTGGAATATCGTTGTAGTCGCGCGCTTCACCGGACGGCGGCGGGTGTATCACTCACGCTCTCGCTTCTCCGCGTTTCTCTCCGCGATAACACGTAAGAGAGTGCAATAATCGCGTGGCGTATATGCGCGCCGATAATGTCGGTGCGCTTAATCACGCAGGGCGCGATTGTTCGATCCCGCCCGAGTCCGAGATTCGGCTCGTGAAAACGCCACCGGGACTTTTGCGATCTTGCCAGTAATCACCTCGCAATTTCAGACTGATCACCGATGATGGAGCAAGGCTTCCCGGGGCAGCACACCACTACGACGACGGTGACGACCAGCACGACGACCGTGCAGCCCAACGTGCGCTTCGATCCGTCCTACGTGAGAACAGTGCCCGGCCTCTTGAAGATCGTGCAGGTGGTGAGTTCGGTGTTCGGTGGCAAAGCCCTGTCACATTTGCTTTCGCATCAGGCTCTCCTCGCAGAGGGAACGCCGCGCGAGTTCTCTTCGAATCGAGACTTGGTGTCACATATCGCGCGTTAATTAAAGTACACGCGCCGGTAAAACGCCCACCTGCCGGGATTACGACGCGCCGCTATGTTGCGAGCGCCCGGTTGCATCAGCGTACTATAATGGAGTCTTAAATCTCACGCTTGCTCACCGGGCCGAGGAGCATTGTATTTGCGCGCGTCGCACGCTCGCCCGGCTGCAGAACGCTTTCATGAGTGATAATCGCGTCGGGCTTGTTCCCTTTCAGGTGCTAAATCTCCTGGGATTCATCTGCATCACGGTCTCGACTCTGAGCAGTCACAGCCGGGGAGGATGGTTCAATACCGTGGCCATGGGCGGCTTCTGGTTCACCGGGATATTGCTCGTGCTCTACTTGTTCCACATCATCGAGAAGTTCTCCAAAATTCCGTGGCTCAAGATTGTAAGTCGCGTCGGCGGTGGCGGCGGCGGCGGCGGCAGCGGCGGCGGCAGTAGTAGTAGTGGTTGCCGATCGATTCGCACGTTGGTCGCGAGATCGTTCCTTTCTTTCTTTTTTTATCTCGTTCGTGTAGAGACGCGCTTGAAATAGAAGCGAGTGCATGCACATTGGCGGTCATTCGTATTCGATAACACCGGGAAGACGGATACGCGTGTAGTGTATCCGTGTGTGATACGGCAGCGAGCGAGTGAAAGCCGGCTAGAAAGTTTCCACGCGCCACGTAGGAATCTAAAAATCGACCTGCCGTGCCGGCTTTTATATTCACGGGTGAACGATCGATCGCGGCCGACGTAATGAGGGCGGTCGTCGGCGACGGACCGATGATCGCTCGTAATCAGGTTAGCCTTTTTAAAACGTAGTATTACGAGAAGGAGAGAGAGAGAGAGAGAGAGAGAGAGAGAGAGAGAGAGAGAGAGAGAGAGAGAGAGAGAGAGAGAGAGAGAGAGAAAGAGAGAGAGCGGCTTCTTGTAACACCACGTAACGCGGCTCAACGTCCGTCTCCTCGGCTATGTTACATGGACGGAAAAAAATGTCAGTTCTCGTGTAACTGAGGTGGAGGACCGGACAAGAACTCCCAGTGAATGAGAAACGGTGTCTCCGTCACGCGGTCGAAAATATTTGTCTGAACATCCAGCTTTTGAGAAACTCACTTGAGATAACTGAGATAACAATTGACAATCAAACAGCGATCTCCCACGGAACACTTTTTTGTTTCTACTATAATAGATAACAGACAAAATCGGTTCTTCTTTTCTGTGTACACTGAATCTCAACACGGACTTTGAAGTTGTCTCGGAAAATTTCCCAAAAGTCAAATTTCTCAAAACTTCCGTCTCTGAACAGTTGCCAGAAGTTGAGCTCTCCTATTTGGACACCTGTTACGTACCGAGAAACCGTACCCGAGAAAAGCGTACAAACCTTTTTGAGACTCAGTGTATGTATGTACCGTTATGTTCTACGAATTCAGTTTCGCTTGAGGTCGCTTCTCGAATCTTTTACATCTTTCTAATCGCCTGTACGAGTCGTTCGATCGAAATATTGGGAGATAAGATTACGACTTAAGATCGCTGTCCACTCACATTCAGTGACTTATGTATGTACGTTTCATTTTAGGAATTCATATTCTGCACCATATGGACCGTTTTCTACCTACTGGCCGCTTCTCTCGCAGCTGATTATGCGCGTCATTCAGAAGCCTTCGGTGTGGCTGCGGTAAGAATTCTCTCATATTCTAATCATGAATGTTAATGAAACCGTGAGCAACGCGTGCCAGGAGAATTCCGTAAGAACCCGCAAGATATATTCTACAGACGTCTTTCAGAGTCTCGCATGCGTCGGGACGCCCTCGAACTGTCCACTTGGACAGTTCTTAGTTTCTGACAGCTTCAGACTGTCCTGAAGGCAACGATCGAGTAATCTTTTTCTTTGTCAATGTGACGACACCTCTGATACCGTTTCTCTCTACGTAGTTCTTCGGATTTTGCGCGATGGTGGTGTACGGCTACGACGCTTGGCTGAAGTTTAACGCAGCAAAGAGCGGAGCCTTGGCGCAAGGCCAACACACGCCGAAACAAGTGTCCACCGTCACCAGCCCGGCGTACTAGATCGACGGAGCGGGAGGTGATGGAGGTGGCCCGAAGCGGACGGATGGACCACACACACCGGTCGGTCAACTGTAACGAATGATCGACCGATCGGCACATATCGTTACCTGCATGTGGGGCCAGCCCTTTTGTAATTTCCCGCGCCGAGAGGAGCGCTCAGGGAAGAAGCACGAGAAAGAGAGAAAGAGGGAGTGACACTCGTGCTTCTTCCACTCGATGCTTTTTTTCGTTCAATCGCACGTGTACGTGCGTGCGTATGTATCACCTACGCACATATACAACACATCACATTCACATGACCTTCCCCTTTGAAGCTCTCGTTTTTCCTCTTGTACATCGTAACAAGGCAATAATCTACACGCTTTAGCGTAAACGTTAACTTATATTCTAACGTGGGGCGATGCCGCCGGCGCCTTGCCCTCCGACAAACAACGATTGTTGATAATAATATGTTTTACAACGTTCTTTGCTTTCGATCGACTGTTATTTATGCGACAACGCGTGTGTACATACATAATTACCTAGACGTATTTGCGCATATCACGTCTGTAAACGTTGTTGAATCAATGTGTCTTAAATTATTGTTAGAATCGAGGCGACACCGGGCCTCTTTAGGCATCGTTGTTACGGCGCGTTGCTCGCTCGCGTTTTGTACACGCGACATCGAGCGGCTCTGTTGATGCGAGTGCTAGATCTATTTTAATCTCGCTCCTTGTCCGCAACCGACCCGGCCCAATCGTGTTCCGCGACGATTGTTTTCCACGGCATGTTTCCGTCGACGAGAGCCGACTGGTCGGCAAAACGTCCCTAAATTCCGTCGATTTCCGACCCGAAAGTTCCACTGTGAAATCTCGACGCAATAGATTCGACGCGGAGCGCGGAGCGTTGTTTCTATATAAAATAGGCCCCGAACGCGCGAATTCTCCAGTGTCATTCGCAGCCAAGGGCAAAGGAGTTTGCGGGTAAAAAATGAAACGCTGAGTCACCGCAACAATCTTTCTCCCTTCTCGTCGTTCGTAGTCGTGTTAGACCGTCGTGTAGATTTTCTAGATCGTTCGATATCGCGCTTTGTCGTCCTACCCACCCACCCACCCACACGCACACATACACACACACACACACACACACACACACACAGGGATCAAACAATACAGTCGCGACACTGTGCAAATTTTACATAGAGCGGCGTGAACAAAGTGATGCCGACGAAGCATATTCAACGTCGTCATTTGGCTCACGACGGACACATATATATCCGTGGCGGTCGTCATCATATCGGATGGTCGTATCTCGTTACGCGCGGTAGGCGTTTATATCTCGCACGACGCGATTGCACGATTGCTCTCTCTCTCTCTCTCTCTCTCTCTCTCTCTCTCTCTCCGTCGCGGACGGGAATAATTTGTTGCTGTTTACGACCGACGAGTAATTCGCATCGTTTGCGACTCGCGAGACTGCGAGATGTATATTTATTAATTTTGTTATCTTCATTGTGACCGAGTTTATATATACACATAGATACATCCGTCGATGTGTACGCGATGCAGTTATACGCTATATCAAACGTCTGGTTGCAAGTTGCGGCGAGGCGATGTGGATGTTAATATACATAATGATGGTTGACGAAATGAGACCGAGGTGTCAATGAGTGTACTCAACGAAATAAATCATTTCGTTCATCATCGACTGTCTCCCAGACATGAAGTACACGCGACTCGCCTCCCGACCCCCTTTTTCTACACGTACGGTGAAATTGATCGAGTAACATTACGCTCCCGTGATGCTATCGCGATTATCTCCGAGAATATATCCGTATGTGGATTCGATTCCTGATGGAAATAGACAACTCTTATCTCGCGGCTAAGTCGCGCATAGGTCATTGCACTCGTGCGCAATCGTGACTCTCTCTTGTACATCTTCGATAGCGTTGTTGCACGACGGAATTGAATCGAGGATTGCCTCGATACCTCCGCGCGTCTCGGCGCGATGACCGAACTTGATGATTGTATTGAACTTGACGAGCATGTTACCAACTTCTCGTTTTATTAAGTTATTTTATTAAGTTATTTCTTAAGTCTAATTTACACGCTAAATGATTTCACATGAGTTATAGTGCACGTTAGTGGTGAGCTCTCGGTACTTCTCTCCACTTGTTGATCCCTCTTAACTTAACTCGTTAACTCTGTTCTTCTCTTCGTTTACTCTAAGATGTATGATTTCGCAAGAGTTACAATCTAAGTCCGACGGGGACGACGATGGCGAGTGTGGAATGCGAGAATGGGTGCCCTCTCTTAATTTCTGTATTGAAACTGCGGCCGGCGCGCTTGCTTCTTGCCCATCGACGAGAGATCGATGGTTTTGCCGTCCGGCAACACCAACTTGTTCTCTTGATAGTCCACGAAACCGTCCTCCTCCTCCTCTCGTTCTTCCTCGTCGCACCTGATCCCGGTCTCGTATGTGTATTCGCGCCGGATCCCGTCCGGGTCAATGTATCCGTACTTGCCGCTCGTTATGCAATCCACGCCGATCGTCTCTTCCTTGTACGAGCCATCGTCGTTCTCGAAGCCCCACGTGATGGAACCGTCCGCGTTGTCGTGTCGATATCGCCTGACGATCTGTAAAAGTGCACGTTGTGATTGCTAGTTGGGAGACCTTTCCGGAAGAAAGAAACAGTCGTAAGCCGCACGCACCGGCTATTTCACGGTCCAACGCGTTCTTACGAATTCCGCAGGATTTCAGACTGCTTTAAAGCGCGCGCTCTTGGGCACGCTGTGCGTGTCACCTGACGAATTCGAGCGCGACACGCGTTATGTAAGACGCGCGAGCAGGTTTCCCGGCCGTGCGTTTATGAGTTATTCCAGGGTGCGTGAGACGATAAAAAACGGGCACGACGCCCGATGATTCCGGCTTTCACCTTTCGGCTTTCAAAACTCCTGCGTTAATCTTTTTGTCAGTCGCTACCGCCGATGCTACGGGCGACGTTTACCACCGAGAGAATTTCGTAGCAAACATTACCATAAAATCTGGCAACTTCATCTATTATTCATCCGATCTTATATATTTGCTGTCAAATTTTACATGTTAACCGATCTGGTAGACAGACACTCAAGATACTTGTCGAGTAGTCCATCTACCAAGACTCGGTCCGCAGTCTTGTCTGTTGATAATACTGACCTATACCTGCACCGCTAGAAAACACGGCAAGATTGTAAAGAACTTGTTGTAAAAAAAAAAAACTCAGGCATTCTCTCCGTGTCCGATCTTCGCCTGTCGCGCGGCCTCGACCGCTCAGGACACGCACGTACCTGCGCTACCGGCTTCTTGCCGCGGATCTCGTAAGCCTGGGACGGTTTCACCGGCTTGGGCGGCGGCTTGATCGGTTGTTTGTACGCGTCGTCGACGACCTGCTTCCGCGGCGCCTTCGTCGGCTTCTGCGTCGGTCGGTACTGGATGGGTGGCGGCGGCGGTGGCGTCGCGGGGCTTCCTCGGATGCTGGACGGTGTCACTGACTGAACCGGCCGGAACAACACCGGCGCTGGAGAACCACCGGGAGGCGTCCTCGCGAGATTCGACGCAGGACGCGGCGGCAGGTTCTCCTCGCTCACCTCCTCCTCGCTCTCCGGCTCCTGACTGTGATCGCGGGAGTCATCGTTGTCGCGTTCGCGCGTACTCTCGCGCGCCACGTCCTCCTCCTCTGGTTCCTCGTTCACCGGCTTCACGTGCTGAGCGAACGGAGGTGCTATCGGCAGGCTCGGCCGAAGCGGCCGGAAAGTGCCGGGTGCGTCGTCGCTGGCACCTCTGGGTCTGGTACATACAAGGTGTAACGTTAAACACCATTGAGCCATTTGACGGTCGAGTAATTAAATACTTGTGACATTCATATTTATTAACACAATATATGAAATGAAATATTCTTAAAATGTTTTCTTGAAGGGAAGGAAGTCTTTGAGGGCATTTAGATAAGTGAGAAATTTAGACAAGTTTAGAATAAAATAGCATTCCAGTTTTCGATAAGTCTTAAGCTTTCCAAAACGATTTTCCACAGACGTGTTTACCGTATTTATCTGCGGTTTAGAACTGTGGCGGCAGGCGCTCTGATCAAATGTTGCTCGGTCTTTCCTATTCTAATTTGCGAGCCTGCGCCGCTACGGGCAATTTTTGCGTGCTCTAACGTTACGTAATCCGGTAATATTCACAGACACACCGATAATCTCCGTCGATATGTCGATCATTTCCTGCTCGATGTCCTGCTTGATCGGACGGACTTAGCATTAAAGTTGGCTTGTCCGTTAGACCAATTAACGGCGATATGCCGGTTTATTTTGCACTTCTTAGACAAAATATTGAGCGCAGCGGTCAAACTGGTTTTCCCACCTTTCCAATGGCTTTTCGCATTTGTAGATCGCGTGGATTTTTTAACAACAGTGGCCATTAATAATTCATCCGCTTGAGTTTTCCAGCAAGGTCGGCAAATCTCTCGGCTATTCTCTCAACATACCGTTGAAGAACGTGTCCCGACTTTGTGTACTGGCATGTGTCAAAAATAGATAAACGATAAAGTACAAGCTCAAGCAGACCGTATAAAATAAACTGCCTCTTCGGATATATATATATATATAATCAAATAACAAACGCAGAGGCGAATGAGAGCTAGCGTTGTCTCTTCCACTCAATTCGTCAAACGTCTCAGTCTTACGTCAGGACTCTCTCCTGAAGAATCCTCCGTGAGAGGAAAGTCCAAGAGACGAGACTGAGACGTAATTGGAATTGAAAGTAAAAGCATATTTTTTTTCTCGTACCTTTCGCGCGAGAAACAGCGCTGGCTCTCGCTCACCCTTGTGTCAGTTGTACGTACAAGCAGATGTTTCATATCGAAATAAGCAGCGAGTAAACGAGTGTTTCGAGATTTCTAAACTCTCTCCCTGTCTCTCTTTCCGCACACACGGTATTATCTCGCGTTTTAGACCAAGCGTGCGATGATATCGAGCCTTACTTGAAAGTGATCGGTCTACGAATCCGTTGATTGGGAAAGATCGAAGATTGCGGCCCGCTGCTTGGCCGAGGCGGCGGTAATCTCTGATAACGGGTTGCTCGTATCGGACTCGGTAGGCTCCTTTGTCCGTCCTGGAATTGTGCCGAGCAGAGTGCGGCGACGCACGCCAACAACTGGAAAAGAGAACGAAAAGTTGCTCAAGTCGCGATTCGATGTTGATTCACTTTCTCGGGCTCTCCGGATGTTCACTGCGCGGCGTTATTAAATCAGAGCGTTATTAAATGGCCGCATTCCGCGCTCCATCTCGCCGCGGCCGCGGCGGCGCAGCGTCGATCTAAAGAGTCTTGGCGTGATTTAGCGCCACGGATTCACTACCGTGGCGATTCTTAACGACTTCCATGCCCGCGGAAGGAAATGTTAGCGGCAGCTGTTGCCGGTATCGTACGTTGTGCCAACATTCCACGCAGGGTCGAGAAAGTTCATTTTTAACCGCCTTCGTTGCTCAAGAGCAAGTAACGACGGTCGTTGCGACCGCCGTCGGTTTCTCCGTCAGATTTTGCGCGCGGACATTCCCTCCCGGCATTTTCACCGAATTCTGCGGACATTATTTCTCACGGCTCACCGCCATTAATTCCATGTGAATGCACTCTACAAAGCTACAAAGTAAACGGCTGTACTCGTTATCGTTGCGCAAAAATGCAATTGTGTGTTACCGTTTTATCTATCTATTACTAATGAAGAAAAAATAATGACTAAGTGCGTAGTTACCGGGGAAAGTGACTTGTAACCGTAACAACGTCGATTCCCAGGCCCGATTCGATGATACCGACAAGGAAATCAACATTCTCCCGCGCGCACGCGATTTGCTCGACGAAATATGCGATTTGCTTTCCGTTATGCGTTTGTTTTCTAAGACCGTGCGCCGATCGCTCGATAATTGCGCTTGATGTTCCCCGGCGATCGGGGTCATTAAGTTTCGAAATTTTCACCGATAATCGCGTCGCCGATTCAAGTTCGTGCGTGTAAGCGACGATTACGCTCGCCGATCGTGGCCGTTGCGAAAATTTCTGCACGCTACCTCGCGAGACCCGCGAATCAATGAACGGCAACGAGCGTGGCGGAATTATTTGCCACGCTCGCGTGTGACGCGTTATGCCAGACTCGTTCTACATCGTTCTACATCGAGATTCTGGTTTTTTCTCTCTCTCTCTCTCTCTCTCTCTCTCTCGCTCTCTCGCTCTCTCGCTCTCTCGCTCTGTCTCGTGGCGCGTTACAAACAGCGCGACGCAAGAGAGGTATGTTGTTACATACGCAAAATCGACCGCGTCGCGCGGGAGAAAAGAGAAAGTGTTTCGATTCCGAGGGCCTTAAGTCGCGTAATGCATACATTCCCGATCCTGCAATAAATACACGCGCGCGCGCGTAACCGTACGCTTAATCGGCTGACATTTAAAAGCTGGCGACCGCATCGATGGCGACGATTACGATAGTCGTGGTGGAGGACGTAACGACAAATAAATAGAGAGACATGCGTAACGCGTAACGCGTAGATGCGTGACAAGTGAAAAATCGTCGAATGTAATGCGTTCGGGCGACCCGCTCGACGACTGTGTTCCTGGCTCGTCGACTTTTCCACTTCAGCTTTCGTTTCAGCCAGAACAAATCCGCTCGATCACCGTTGACTCAACTCGAAGTTTACTTAACAAGCGCTCGAGAAGGAAAGCAAATGAGAGTCTTATCAGCCGTTATAGCGCGCGGTAAATCGCAGTGTGCGAGAATTGTATAAAATACAATACAGTAAAATAATTGTTCAACGGCAAGCGGAACGTCGATGATTCATTCAGCCAACGCGTGGCCCCTCTTCAGCCTCGTCGACGATGAAAAATTAATGTACTTTTTTCATGTATCTCTTATTCGCGTCACACGAATTTTCGCGTGCAGTCTCTGCCAAGCTGTTAACCAGGTGGTGAACCAATGAACGACTACGTCGAGAGCTTTCCGTCTTTCTCATCTCAGAGGAGCAATTTCAGCATCTCCGATTAACTTGATCGGCCGATTATCCCATCGGAATCGACCAATCGACCATTTGTCGTTAAGCAGAATTGAGCGGAATCACGGTTGCCGCTCGATCGGTCGAGTCGATCGAAGATGTCAAAATTGGCCCTGGGTCGTTTTTCGCGGCTCCCAGAACGCGAGCGGAAGTCTGGCCGTGAAGGAGCGCTTACGGAATGAAAATCACATTTCCTGCGTTAAACGACGCGTGAAATTGCGATTGGAATTCCGTCCCGAGGCCGGCCGTAGAGTGCAGACCGTTCGCGGCGGGCTGCGCGCAATTTTAACTATTCGCCACGGCAATTGCGGACTCACGGCGACGGATTACGGAGCAGAGAAGCGGCGCGCGTCCAGCAGATTCGGACGGAAGCAACGCGACGCGCTCGAGGAGTTCGCCTCGCGCGCGCGCGGTTCCGGTGACTTTCGTTGGAATGCACCGGAGCGGCCTGGCAACGGACGGCCGCGAGCGAGCAGCGCGAATCGAGTCGCACGGCGAATTCGTTTCTTCAGCCCGCGGTTCCGAGTCGAAGCACGCGCGGCCGTTTCAGCGCGGCTCTACGGCTAAAAATCTGCCCGCGACTTTCTTAACGGGCGCTTTCACTGGCCGCGGCGCCGCGCGTTCCCCGCGCGATTTTCGGCCGCCGCGCCGCGCCGCGCCTCGCCGCGAGCGAGCGAAAATCGCGGGCGCGATCTCCCGTTCGAAATCTCCTTTTAGCTTCTCCCTCGTTCGCAACACGAACAATCGGAGTCGCGAGCGTGCACGCGCGGCCGAGGAAGAATGCCGCCGCAGACGAGGGTCCCCCTTTCCCTCCCCGAGCGGGGCGCGCCGTTCGTTAATGTATCGGTTACGCGACGACTTTTTGCGATGGGTCGCGCGCGCGGGTGGTCGAACGCGACGGAGACGACGCGCTCTGGCCGCTCAAATTTCCCGTTGCTCCCTCGGAATTTCCGCCGTTTCCGCTCATTAGTCCCACAGGTGATCAGCGGAATTTCAGGTAAGCAGCGACGACGAGAGAAACGCGTGAGCGAAACGCGAAAGCGGGGGTTCAGCCGGCCAACTTGCGAATTCCCGATTTCCGCGAAAGCCTCCCCCCCCCAAGCGCGTAACTTAATTCTACGGTAAGGTACATCTCAAGGTACATCGCAGCGCGAGCCCCCTCATCGCACACCGCGAACACTGAACCCACACCGAGTCCTCTATGGAAATCGAAGGGATCATTTCTCCCTCGCGCAGGGGTGGTGCTGCCGATGTCGGAAACGCAGAGACGTTCTCTCGAAGGCCGATTTCGCGGACTGAAATCTCGTCTCCGTGGAGACGGAGGGCCCCCCGCGAGTTTATCCAGCCCCATGTTTCTAATCGGCGCTTTTTTCGCGGCGCGGCGCGGCGGGGCGGGGCGCGACGCGGGGCGAAGCCGAGGGGGATGCGCGGGCGGACGGAGAGCACTATGAGCTTTGGGTACTCACGATCACCGCGACGCGCATGGCCGTGTCTCTTGTCGCAACTGTTGTGGGCACTCTGGGTGTGGTGCCGTGGCGCGTTTGTGCCTCACACTACCGTGAACGACTCCCCGTCTCCGCGTTCTTATACTTATATCCCCGTTGAAATTCCTATGGCACGGGCAACACGCGAGCCAGCCAACTTTCCATCGGCCAGCAGGAATTGTGTTCTGCGCTCGCTCGCTCGCTCGCTCGCTCGCTCGCTCGAGTACGCGCGGAACGATCCACCGGCGCCGCCGCCGCCGCCGCCGCCGCCGCAGCAGCCCCGAGCGGAGACTCGCCGCCGCGACGTGGTGGCTTCCCCAGCTGGCGTCGCCGGGACGCCCCCGCCGGTTCCATCGTTATCGGGCGGGATCGCCGCCGAGGATATCCGGCCGAACGAGCTCCAACGTGGGACCAGACTTGTCCGGATCTCACGGTCAATCTCTCCAGCCGCTCGACTGATATTCAAAGCATATTATTCGTCGATTATCCGGATAATGAAATATTTCTCATTTGTTAGTATATCGTTTGAAAACAGAAGTTTTGCAGACTACTGTTCTGGTTTTCCCTTTGTCTGTTCCGAGATCCGTCCGGTATTCTCAATCTCCGAATCTGGCAAGTCCTACGTGGAGAGCTGTCTGGCGAACTTTTCGATTGAGATCGATTCGTTTTCTCGTGATTACAATTCTACCGCGAAATGTCCGGAAGAACCGGAAAGATTCCTGCATCTCGTTAACGATCGGAGTAGAGCTACGGAGGTCTTACGTCGTGTTTGGAGAAAAGTGTTACCGGCTGTGTTTTCGTCGACAGACTGATCCCGCAGATCTGCAATAGTCCAAAATCGCGGTGGGAGGTCGTTGGTCGGAAAAATTAAGTTTTCCATCGGAATTGTCCGTAGATCCGTAATAACTTCGCGTACGCAAACTCGCAAACGATAGCCTGACGCTCGTTACCGCGAACTCGATCCTGTCGGATTTTTCTTGCTGTTCGTCGCTCACTCGAGATCAGCTGTTGAGGCTCTGCAAGCAGAGATCGTTGAGAAACGTAAATTGAAGAACTGACAGACTGTAGGCGAATGAAATAATAGAGGGACTCTGTCACGTCTGGGAAAGATCAAAGAGCTGGAGGAGAGTGACGACCCACTCGGATTCACTTCGTTCGATTTTGCGTGGACCTGCTCGTGAAGAGAGTCAAGGATCAACGCGAAGTCCTCGAATGACTCGTGGACGCATCATGGGGCAAATCACTGGTCACACTTGATCGGCTTGCTAATTGCAACATTCGCCCAAGAAGAAGACACTCGCCGTCCTCTCTCTCTCTCTCTCTCTCTCTCTCTCTCTCTCTCTCTCTCTCTCTCTCTCTCGCCGGAGCCGGAGAGACGAGTTTAAAGGATTATCTGGACTTTCGCTGGATAATCGCTAGGTAACTCACCGATATCACGAGGAGACACTCGCTCAATAGACGGGATTCTGCTTCTAACGGTCGACACTCTTTCTCTACGAGTAATTGAACGCAAAGATCAACGGTGACTATTGAAAGCCCGTCGCGAGTCTGGTCTCATCGATCTTCCTGCGAATCTTGCCGCTCGCGCTTTATATAGAGCTACGTCAGAGTCACTGAGTTTTCTCCGCTGTCAAAAGCTAAGCAGAGATTAACGAGCGATCGCACGTCGTACAGGAACGACGAATGCTAATCGAGGTGACACGCTATTGAGCGGGATTCCTCGCGACAGACAAGGGAGGCCTTGTTCATCGGCAGATGCGAGGCTAGAGACTTCGTCGATGTCCATGTTTAGCGCTAATTACAACCGCTCGAGAGTAATCCTAATTTGTCTCGCGACCGGAAGTCGCACACATGTATTTTTCACAGCTTCACAAAGTTCACGGAAAGAAGAGAATTCGCTAATGGGAAAATTTAGCTGCACCAACGAGATTGTTTTCTCCGTGTGTGTGTGTGTCAATCAGCGTCGTGTCGCCGGAGCTTTCTGAAAATTTCTCAAATAATTTCTCCGCGCCGCCGAGGGACTCGGCCGCCACTGGGAAGCGGCTTGGCGAGCGCGAACTTGCGTAGAACTTTTTGTGACTTTGTATTCAGCGATGGAAGAGTTGCTAGAAACTCATCCTGCACTCTCCTTCGCAGGAGTGTAGTCGGATTGGGATGCACCTGGGACCAAAGTAGAATCCTCGCGCCGCGTAGATCGGCCGCCTCGACTGCGCTCTGCAGCTTTTTTTCTCTCGAAACTCCGATTTCTAACTTTAGCATGCAACTACAGATCGCGAATGAAAATCACAACGATGAAAACGTCATGTATGAAACTATTCGACTTTTGTCGCAACCTTTTACCATGTAGATGCATCAACACCATTCAAAATTACAGGCAGATCAGGATTCTATCGAAGTCTTCTCCTCGTCAGCGAAATCATTCGCGAATCACCGATTCTCTCCATTCAATTATGCACAATTAACCCACCATAAAACAATAGTAAATCTCACAGCCCATAAACCTCTCTCATCGCTGCGTGCGCGTCTCCAAGCGGAAAAAAGAGTCACGTCACTTTGACTCGTCGGAATGACGAGCAAACGAGTGTAAAACGAGTGTCGCTTTTCGGTCGCGATTCGATTTACTTTGATATCGCCTGTAAGATGCTCGTAAGATCCCTCTCGAGTTCTACCTGGATATCCTTGCGCGTCTACCTGCGCGCCTCTTTCTTATCCTTTTTACGGAGTTCGACGGCAGTTGCCGCGTCTTTTCGCGGATGCCGCGACGGGGTGGTGCTCCGGCCTGCCGGTTGCATAGCTGCGCCGGAGAGTCGTTGACGAAGAGCGCACCCGCCGTGCACCCAGCAACTTGGTGGTAGCTTTTTCGGGAGTACACCCCTGCACTCCTCTCCCGACGACGATGAAAGGAGCGAGCGTGCTGCTTTTAAAGCAGCTCGCGTCTACGGCGCGCCGAGGAGAGCCGATGCTCGAGACTCGGCGCCCAAGGTCAGTGCCGGGGCCGACGAAGCCGGCTGTTGTACGTACCGATCCTCGTAATGCGCGCGTACACACACACACACACACACACACACACATACATACACGTATATGCGCTCGCCCGCGCGAACTTATCATCCTGCCGGTGCAGGAATGCGACTCGCGGTTCGTGCATTCGTCTCTCTGATTCACGACATGCATGTTGCATATTCGGCGAGACTCTCGCAGCCGCGGAGAGAAATCACGAGGAGGGCGGAGCTTTCGTTTTCGAAAAGCGAGCCTCTCGTCGCTCTGCCTCATCGAACCTCGACGAATCGAGCTAACGCGCGAGCGAGGCGCCGAAGAAGCTCGGGGAATTAGAAAAGTGGAACGGAACCCTTCATGTCGGGGTCGTGATTCTTCGACAAGACACTTCTAACCGGCTAAAGCTGTAGAAGCAAAATGTTGCACAGTACTTGCTGAAAATTTCATCAGCTTCTACTTGTTGAAAGAAATGCAACAGGATCTGTTGTATTTACAGAGTGCGATGGGACAGATTGATGGGGCAGAGACCGATCAGAGCGGGATCTGTCGTTCGGCGACTGTCCAATTCAAATTAACCAGTAAATTAAAATAAAAGTTCTCATTCAAATGAGACACCCTGGCAGAACCTGCTTGGTGCCTGTCGCTGCCGAGTTATGTTAGCAGGCACTTTCGACAGAACACGAGTTCGATAACGAACGAGGATCGACGAACGCGGCGTTTAGGCGCGTATCATCGTTATCTGGGCTTAAGACGCGTCGAGAAGAGATAGATAGATGTACTTGAGGCCCGATGCGAGAGGGAGGTAAGCTGAGAGAGAGAGAGAGAGAGAGAGAAAGAGAGAGAGAGAGAGAGAGAGAGAGAGAGATAGCGCGCGGCTACAAAGGGCAGACCTATCTGTATGCGCGTCGCTTTGTTCGGCTTGCGTCCTCGCGGCCGTTCGATCCTGCTGCTTATTAAAGCTCGTCGCATCGTCGCGCCGTACCGAAAGTATGCGGCTCGCGCCCATCCTTCATCGGGATTCTTCAAAATGTCAGAGCGGTGCGTCCAGATTACAGCTCGCGATACGTCGGACCGACCCACGAGACCAACGCGGCCATACGTCCTCGCGGCTCGTCGTCGTCTTCGGCGTGCTCTCGAAGTGAATGCTTCATGATGCCGCGGCGCCTCTTTGTTCGGGATATTTTTTCGCCCGCTCTCGCTCTCGCTCTCGCTTCAAGAGCAATCGCTTTTTGCCCGGTCGAAACCCCGGTTGAAAAGCGCACGCTTTCGATCGAAACGTGCCGAACGCGATGTCGAACAACGTCGAAAGCGACGCGGGCGCGAATCTCTCTCGTATTCGCCAGCGCGGATAGATTACAAGGGATAGATTGCAAGGTAGGGGGGAGATTTTTTCTCTTGTTTGCAATTACTTCGCTCGCCGATCTCGCGCAATCTCCGGTTTAACGCAACCGCGCAACTCGGGAGAACGCCGCGGCACTTTCCCGCTCCGTTTTCTCCCGCCTCCCCTTGCCGCCGTCATTCTTGCGTCCCCAGTGAAATCGCGAAACTGCCGAAATTGCGCCAGACGATTTTCACGGAAGCTGCGCGATGTCGCGCCGCATCTCGAGAGCGCGCAGCGTCCGCGTCCGCGCGGCTCTGTCTGTATCCCCTTGGAGAAAAGCGACTCGGAGGTCTCGTGGAGCGAGAATTCCGCGAGAGCTCTTCGCGCTCGAAGGTAGACAGGCAGGTTGGTAGGCAGATATGGGCAGGTAGGTAGGTAGGTAGCTAGGTAGCTAGGTAGGTAGGTAGGTAGGTGGGTAGGTGGGTAGGTAGGTGTGTGGGTAGGTAGGTAGGTAGGTAGGTAGGTAGGTAGGTAGGTAGGTAGGTAGGTAGGTGGTGCACCGGAGCGCGCAGACACTCTCGCGGGAGTCGCTGGGAGTCGAGGCGAGGCGAGTCGCGAGAGCTAACCCAGACGGATCGCGCTCGGCTTGAGGCATCGGAGAGAGAACCCCCCGTAGAACCGGTTCTCCGCGTTCCTCCCCCTCGTCCTCGTCCTCGCCCTCGCCCTCACCCGCTTCCTCGCCCTCTTGCCCTACGGTTCCCTCCCCTCTCGGGGCTTTTTTCTATGCGTGTCGCGGTCGTCGCACAGGCGTCGACTGCTACCACCGCGAGAGAGCGGACCAATACACGCGCGGGACCGCTTTTAAAACACTCGTGCCTTTTATGATTAATTGTCTGTGATTCCTGCCGGCCGCGGCGCGAGGGATACAGAAGCGAAGCCGCGCGGGAGCGAAAGAAAGGACGAACGAGGGAAAGAGAGAGAGAGAGAGGGGGGGAGAGAGAGAGAGAGAGAGAGAGAGAGAGAGGAGAGAGAGAGAGAGAGCTCGATGCTGGGTCTAGTGCATCCGTAGATGGCGGAGTGCTCGAGCGGAGTGCTCGACCGGAGAGTGCTTGCGCTCTTAAAACTCACCACGGCGGTCGCGGTCGAGGACACGCGTCTCCGCCCTGCGAGTGCAGTAACGCGCTTTTACTTACCTGTTACTCATCCGAGTCGTCTACTCGTCGCCGTCGTCCTTGCCGCTGCCCTCGTCGTCGTCGCCATCGTCATCATCATCGTCGTCGTGCCGTTTTGTGCCGGCTCGGTACCGCGGCTCGTTCGCGCTCATCGGATGCTCTCCTGCAGCGGTCTCGGCCGAGTGACATTGAGTGCGGGTACAGCTGGTCTCTCGCCGGCCTCTTCTAGGTATTGTAGCCTGGGAAATGATAGAGCTCGATTATGCTTAAGTCTGGGCCTCTTGAGGACATCAAGTGCTTCTTGGAACTCGGTGTAACGAACGGAGCCAACAGGTGATCCGTGTAGCAAATTGGAGCGCATATTAATAATGCAAACGTTTCCTTTCTCGGGCTCGTTCGTTCGTTTGTTCGTAGAAAGCTGTTTGCGAGGAGCAAAACTCTCGCGAAGGTTGCGAATGGAACACTGGGACTTGACTAATCGTGAGAATAGAATAGAAATGAATTAACGTTCAAAGTAGTCGATCATCAATGGAACATCTAAAACGTAATCCTCGTTTTCTCATATTTAGTTTGATAATGGGCTTAAAACACTAGAACTGCTAAACGGTCCGAAAATGACCGGCTTGTATCTGTCGGGAAAATTACTCACAAATTTAAACTACTCAAACATCATGATGCATTTTATATTTTCAAAGGACATTGAATATAGCCAAAAGAAATAAATAAGCATTTTTGCCCTCGCATAAAACATATTTTTCCGAAAATCTGTTTTTTCGACCGTTCCCGTGAAAACAGTTTGCTCCAATCTTCGGTAGTTCTAGTGTTGAGAAAGACAGAATAAGAGAAAGAGAGAGAGAGAGAGAGAGAGAGAGAGAGAGAGAGAGAGAGAGAGAGAGAGAGAGAGAGGGAAGATTTTTATCGAATAAAAATCCGGCGCACCTCGAAGTGACGGAAAGATGGACGAATTACGGTCACTCTCGTCAGCTGCACCTGCATAAGTACTCGGGAAGTGCCGATTTGCATCGGACGCGTTTGCAAACTCGCTTTCACTTTTCACATTGCCATGCCTCGCACGACACTTACGACGACCTGATGTCGTTGAAGACGTCGCACGAACACGATGACAATGCGACGTAACGAGTTCTTAACGAGTGCATAATTGTATCCTGGCGGTAGCCGATGTTAACCGCGCTCGATCGACTTCCTTAACATTCTGCCGAAGTAGCCGCGGTGTAGCCGAAGTAAAAGCGGTGCGTCACGTCCCATGAGCTCGGTGTAACGTTACAGAATTGTGAACCAAATTAATAATCCGCATCGCACGCTCGGCGCATACACATCTGTGTGATATCGCATCTTAGTCAAACCGTCGCGGTCGACTCTGCGACGTTGCACCTGTCGACGGTGCATCATCGTTTCCTTCTTATCGTTATGCAGATCGCACGGCGGCAAGGGAGAGCAGGGCGGAGGGAGGGGGGAGAGAGGAACGCAGTGATGCGTGTTCTGCAATTTTGCAGGAACGGCATCGGAAAAGTATCCGCTACCTTCGATAGCGTAGCGATTTTTCCGCGATGAACGCCTCTTCTCCCTTTATCGATCTGATGAAATTTCGAAAGAAGAACGGTAAGAGAGTCCGTTAAAATCCGCCCGACATTTCATTAAAATCCCTCGACAGCTCGACGTCGAACGGACGATTTCGCGGAGGTCCCGATCTCGCGTCGAAGGTCGGGATATCGCGAAGAAGGTCGCGGGAGGATTTACGAGCTCGCTTCTTCAAGCTCGATCAGTTCTCGCTTTTCTTCGTGCCTCGGCTTCTCCATCTTCGACGTCTCTCTCTCTCTCTCTCTCTCTCTCTCTCTCTCTCTCTCTCTCTCTCTGTCTCCCTCGCTCTTGCGAAAAATTCATACGTTCCTCTCGCGCGTTCTCGTTCGCTCCTTTGTCGCGGCGACGACTCTCATCGCATCGCGCTCCCCTCGCGGGAGATTCCTCCGCGCGCGCGTTCCCTCCCGAGCGAGGGAAGCAATTTTTCCCCCGTCGATCGGCGGGAAGCCGCGCGGCCGTTTCCTCCGCTTCTGTTCGCGCTGCCGGATCCCCCGTTTCGCGGGGAAGCAGCGTCTCCTTACCTGTTTCGCCCCTTTTCGCGAAGGATCGCGCGGCGCTACGCTGCGCTGCGCTGCGCTGCGCGGCCGTTCGAACGTTAACCGGCCGGTACGGCGATCGTTGCCGATTCCTCTCATTGGCCGAGAACCGGCGGGTACTCTCTTGCCGCAAGAAGACTCTTTGTCCGTTTTTCGTTCGCCCCGACGAGCGGCGACGCGCCAGCCGAGCGGCGACAGCGACGGCGAGGCGCGCGCGAGTTATACGTGCAGTCGGAGGTCTTTCGGTCGTCGCGCCGGGTGCAATTATCGCGCTCGCCTTCGAATTCGATCTCGCCGGTGCCCGCCTGCATCGTGTCTGCCTGCTTTCCTGCCTGTCTGTCTGTCTGTCTGTCTGCCTGCCTGCCTGCCTGCCTGCCTGCCTGCCTGCCTGCCTGCCTGCCTGCCTGCCTGCCTGCCTGCCTGCCTGCCAGCCTGCCTGCCTGCTTGCCTGCCTGCCTGCCTGCCTGCCTGCCTGCCTGCCTGCCTGCCTGCCTGCCTGCCTGCCTGCCTGCCTGCCTGCCTGCCTGCCTGCCTGCCTGCCTGCCTGCCTGCTCGCGTGCGTGCGTGCGTGCGTGCGTGCGTGTGTGCGTGCGTGCATGCGTGCGTGCGTGCGTGCGTGCGTGCGTGCGTACGTGCGTGCGTGCGTGCGTGCGTGCGTGCGTGCGTGCGTGCGTGCGTGCGTGCGTGCGTGCGTGCATACGTACGTACGTGCATGCGTACGTGCGTACATACGTGCGTGCGTGCATACGTACGTACGTGCATGCGTACGTGCGTACATACGTGCATGCGTGCATACGTACGTACGTGCATGCGTACGTGCGTACATACGTGCATGCGTACGTGCTCGTTGGCGCTCTTCAGTATCGCAGAGCGCGCGTCACGAAAGCTCCCGCTCGCGAGTGCGCGCGTTTTTCAACGCTAAACGCTAAACGCTGTCTCGCGATCTCTGCAGCCGGCAACGACTTTTAGAGCGTGCCTCTTCCTCCTGTTCCTCCTCCTGCAAGGACCTGCAACGAACATCGGAGGATGAACGGACAGACGAGGCTCTCTGCCTCTCTCTCACGAACTCTCTCTCGCTCCTGAGCGCGGAATGGCTTCTCGAGGAGTAATTGATAGAACTCGGCGATCGGACAGGTACGTTCAGGACTGAATGCACGTGGTGCGTCTTTCTCGGCCTCGAAGCGAAGAGAGGACAGCGTCGAGCTTCCGGCGTGACGTTTCCTCGTGGACAAGTCGGCCGGAGAATAAATACCGTCGTATGTGCGATTGTAGTGGTGAGTAGATTCCGCGCGAAGGTTCGTCTTTGGAAAAATGGACAGTCGCGTCTGAACGACGTCGACCTGTCGCCGATACTCCGGTCGCTCTCCTTAGAAAGAATCGCAAAGGGCGCGTGTCCGAGAAGGCCGAGAGAAACCTGTTTTTCGATCGCGACACCCGGTATATGCGAGACAGTTCTATTCTCCCGCGGATCTCTCGACTTCCCGCGACGACCTTCAGCGCCGTATCGCGAAGTCGTCGAAGAGCATTGCCTGCGATCGCGTTCTTTCTCTCTCTCTCTCTCTCTCTCTCTCTCTCTCTTTCTCTCTCTCTCTCTCTCTCTCTCTCTCTCGCGTGCGCGCGCGCACATCTTTGAAAAATCGTCTCGTCCGATCGAAGGGCCGATCGTCGGCCGACTGTCGATACGTGCGCGAAAGGGAGTGCCCGCAGACTGGCCTTGACCTTGAGTCTCTCTCTCTCTCTTTCTCTCCCTCTTTCTCTTCCCCCTCCCCTCTCTCTCTCTCTCTCTCTTTCTCTCGCTCAGCCGTTCCGACCGCTCTGGCTCTGCAATAAGTCGCGATAAGTTCTCAACGTCGTCCTCGCACAGTCACCTCCGACTAGCCGTGGTGAGGGAAATTTCTCCCAGCTTGACTTGGCCAAGCGCGATCGCGAACGCCAATTAAACGGCTCTGTATTTGGTGGCGTGTAAATTTCCCGACGCGTCCGGATCGGTCGAGCCGAGACGAGGAAAAACAAGCGGGCAAGGCTTTCCTCTCCTTCTCCAAAAGGCGCTACGCCGGACGCTTTATCGCTTCTCTCCTCGGCTTAATTATAATTACGTCTTCCCTCGACATAATTACTTCCCGTAATTACGCTCGTTCGTATTCGTGCTCGTCCTCGTCTAGAGATTTCTCCCAGGCCGCGAGGACGCGGCCAAACTTTCGAAAAGTGCAGCGCTCGGAGAGTGCCGGCCGCCTCGGCTCGTCTCGAGCGTGCCTTACATTTTGTGTCGGCGGCGGTTACGACGTCCTCGACGAAGTGGCTCTGCATCGAGAAAGAAATACTCTCGGCAACGAAGCCGAGAGGGAATGGAAGGAACCCCTCGACTCGCTAGACGGACGCACGTATGTGCGCCTCGCGCGCGGACACCGCTTCGGTCAAGGTCGCAGTCTGCGCGCGCTCTTAACGTTCTTTTTGCACGTTCTCTTTCCCCAGTCTGTACCCGGTGTCCCGAACCGATCGGCGTCGCCCGCGAGTCGCGTTATCGCCGCCGTCACAGAAGGGTGATGTGGAGATGCGAGTGAGCCGGCCCGTAAGGCAATATAATTGACCGCAATTACGTTACGCGCGTCCAAGGCAACGCCTTTCTTCATAATTTGCGGTTGCCGTCGGAAATTCCGGCCTTTCTCCCTCCCCTCCCCCCCTTTATCTCTGTCTTTTTATTTCCTTTTCCATTCTCGCAGCCGCGAAGACTCGTTGTTTCTGCCTGGTAATTTTGGCACGACGGATTTCGGGGACGATGTCTCCGTGCGCTTGCGATCACTTCGCCGCGGCGCGACCTGCGACCTCGAGCGGAGAGTCTCAGGATCGCGAGCGAGATCAGAGGATTGCGATTATTTCTGCGATCGCGCCCATCGCGCGACTTCCATGCGCGAATCATCGCGTCGCGACACGCCCGACGAGGACCTTGCAACATTTCTTGAATATTTCTAGCGGGTTTCTAATAGAGGAAGAGAGAGAGAGAGAGAGAGAGAGAGAGAGAGAGAGAGAGAGAGAGAGAGAGAGAGAGAGAGAGAGAGAGAGAGAGAGAGAGAGAGAGAGAGAGAGTGAAAAAGAGGAAGGGCGGGAGGAAGAAGGAACAACTTCTGCGCTCGTGCGCGGCCGACTACGGCGTGGCAACGATATGAGAATTTTTCACGGGTACGATGAATTTTAATACGCGTCTCAAGGCCTCAAGGCGGAGAGACGAGAGGTAAGGCATACATGTAAAGAAAAGAAAGAAAAAAAAAAAGAGAGTATAAAGCAGGATTACGAGACTGCATACACAGGATACTGTGTCGAGGCTTGGTAACTCCACCACCGTTGGCGGAATACGACGGCCAATGGGGTACGAGTTTCCTTCTCTCGGCGCGAAAGGCGGCTCATATTACATATTTACAATGCACCGACGTTAAAAACGTCTTCAAGAGCACCGCTTATTATCGCACGCGCGCTCGCGACGCTGCCGGGACGTGCGTGCGTGCGTGCATGCGTGCTCGCGGAGGACGCGGGTAAGTACAATAACGAGACGACACATGTAAGTAAGTAAGCAAGTAAGTACGATCCGCGGGGGATCGATTTGTCGCGGATTCGTCGCGTAATCGCAAATTCGGCCGCGACGACGGCGAACTCGGCGGAACTCGCGACAGAGGCGAAAGTACATCGACCGGCGAGAACTCGCCGGCGTTAAGGGCGGGTTGCTCCAACTCCTTGGTAAATTAACCCGCCAGTTAAATCACACATGTCTGTCTTTGTCTAAATTAAGGTAAAAACAAAGATAAATACCTATATGATTCAACTATCAGTTAACTTAACCAACCAAGAGGTTGGAACAACCGGCCCTTGGTAAGTTTACTGATAGTTAAGTCATATATTTATCTTTGTTTTTCCTTTAATTTAGACAAAGACAAGCATACGACTTAACTGTCAGTTAACTTACCAAGAGGTTGGAACAACCGGCCGTTAGTCGCGATGACTTTGGCGAGATCGCGTTGAGATCGCGCTACCGCGATGCACACAGACCGGCGCGATAACCTTCGCGCATGAAGAATTGGAAATTGGGATGTAATATCATAAGCAGTATACTTCCTTCGGGACGTAATATCGTTTTCTATGATGATGATTATTATCATTACATCATGCTGAGACCGTCTGTGCGAATGTCTCGACGAGTGCGTTGCACCGCGCGCGCGATACATTAATGGCGTCGCATACTATCGTTATTCATCACACGTGACTCACTCTACTGTTGAAGAAATCATATCTCTTCGTGACCAAAGCCGACGACCCGCCCCGGCGGGTGATTCCGCGAGAGGACGGAGAAAACCAGCGACGCGCGCCATCGATTCCGTACGAATGCGAGCGCGCGTCGGGCGCCATTGCTGCGCGGCAACTGCTGCGTTGGGAGCGATGGAAGGGTGAGTCGGTAAAGAGGCTTGTTCTCTTACCATCAGCGCGAGTGGTAAGCACTTACCGGCCGCTTTCCACCGCTCGTTTCCTGAAGCTGATCGACGCGGCGTTTCTTCGGCGAGAGAGCACGAGAAAGATGAGTGAGCGAGAGAGAGAGAGAGGGGGAGAGGAGGGACAGAGGAGAAAGAGGGGGGAGAAGGGAAACCCGCGTTCCCACGAGCGAGCGTGCTTCAGTAGTCAGCACGAAGTAGCGTCACGGCATTCACGGTAAGGCGAGGGTCGACTGGCAGTGTGTGTTTTGCACGTCGTAGTGGTACGCGACGACGTCAGGCATGGCCAGCGTCTTGGCGTTCTGTCTGCTGCTCGTCGCACTGGTGAACCCGGGTTGTTCCACGCGTCGCACAGTGAGTAGAGAACGCATCGGCGGCATCGTTGCGGCGAAAAGCCCGACGAACCTCGTGGCGCGACAGGCACGGGCGACGCTGAGCGCGTCCGTTCGCGCTGTGCAGCCGTCGTGAATTTCCGCCGAGATCGCGCCCAAAAGGAACGACCGCGCGCGGTCTCGTGCGCGTGATTCATTCACGCGACTTTGAACCTTCCCGTCTCAGCATTGTTTGTTTTCTCGTCTAGACTCCGTCGCGTCGCGTCGCGTCGCGTCGCGTCACGTCGCAGCACGCTGTGCGCGCCTTTCATCGCATTACTCACAGTGATTTATTTCTTCGAGCAGCAGGGGGGCGTGTTGTCGTCGCAGGGCCCACCGCCGATCTCTCTTTCGTAACCTCTCACTTCCGGTCTGCGCTCCGAAATTCCGACCGTGCGCGCGCGCGCGCGCGCGTTGGGTATACTTATTATAGTTTCATCAATTATTAAACAGGTGGATTTATTGATAAATTGGCTACTCGCGTACGGGTGATTCACATAAGTAGCCGCCCGGCACCGACCTGACCCAGATCGCCGCGCGCCGGGCTAAGAACACGGCCGCTCGAAATGCGTGCGCGGCGCGGCCGTGAGCGCTGACGTTTGTCAGGAACGCGAGGTTCCCCTGCACCGGCGAATAACGCTGTGATCGGAGGAGCAGTCGAGATGCGGGAGAAGTAAGGCAAGACGAGGCATTACCGTGAGACTCCGAGTTCCCGGTCTCGCTGGTTGTTTACATCGCACGGCCTCTTCCGCTATAGATACGCACGATAATCGGCAATTAATCTTCCCGTAAACGCGCGATAAGTGGCTTCTCCGATATTCTCTCGCGCGTCGAGGCCGTTAATCGCGCGCGACGACGCGAGTTGCCGTGACGAATGTTTCAAACGGCGGCAAACCCGCGCGATGTCGAGTTGGCGCTTCAGCTCGCGGCACCGCTCGGCTCGATATCGATCGCATCGGAGAATTAATGAATAAGCAACGCTAACTCGCCGTGGACGTCGGCGTGCGGAGCTTCCCGCCTGTCGGTCGTCGCGACGAGAGGGGAAACGAAAGTAATTTGTCGACGGTGTCACCGCGATATCGTCGACGGCGTTGTTCGCTCGCGAGAACGTGTCCCCCGTCTTCAGCGTAAACGCGAGCTCGCCGCACGCGGTCGCGCGCGCGCGCGCATTAACGCAGCGTCGTTTTGTGCAATAATCGTACGCTCATTGTAAGCTCTCGCTCTCGAGGGTTGGGCGGAGATGATGCGGACGCGGAGGGCGGCACGGGAGGAGAACACGGGGGCGAACGACAAGGCCGCCGTCCGTCCGTTCTCCGTCTCTCCGTCGCGGTCGGCCACGATAATCCGCCACTGATCTGGGTCATCCATCCGTTAACACTGGAACTACCAAAGCGGTCGAAATTGACCGGTTTGTCGTTTTTCAGGAACCTTGTTCTCGGATTTACGCGCGATAACGACGCGCTTTTTGCACTTCCTTCTTCACGGACGCTGAATGAAATTCTCAAGGAAATAAAAATCTACAACTGTGCGCTCCCTCGCGTGACGTATTTTTTTTTTTCTTTTTCGAAAACCTGTCACCTCGAGCCGAAAAGAAGAAACCTGTCTTTTGTTGATTCACATGACAATGAGCCTTTCCTGAAATGTATGACGCGTATATATCTTAATTGCGAGGAAGGGTTCTGCGGTCTAAAGACACAAGCGTTGCCGAGGTGCAGAAAAATAAGCCGCGCGGTCGCTTCTCTGAACGTTCTTCAGAATGACGCGCTTTTCTCTGACGCACTCTGATGTACGTCTTCATACGTGAGCGCGCGCGTGTCTAATCGACCCATGGTGAATCGCTAAGACACGTCCGCGATTGCTCATCCACCCTCGTCTCCGCAGCTACGGTCGTGGGTGAATCCGGGCTGCGACGAGTACTGCCAGCGACAGAACGTGACGACGCTCTACCTCAGAGCCGATGGCGCGAACGACACGCTGCATTACTTATGGGACTTCGCCATCGGCAGGCCGTCCGTGCTGCTGGCGCTCACGTCGTCGTCCGCTTGGCTCAACATCACTTGGCCGGATTATCTCGACAAGCAGGAGAACTCGATCCACTTCTCGGAGCCGCCCGTCTACGTCTTCGGGGTGATAGTGAATAAGGTGACACCCTCTCGACGAGGACGCGCCCGTTTGATCGCCGATTTTCGCCGCGTGACCGCGGTCGGTGGAAAATGTCCAGACTTTTAAAAACTTCCTGTCTCTCCAGTCTATCAGCAATGTCGATAGCACGCCGTCGATTCAATATCCACGCATCCAAAAAAGAATAATTTCAGAACAAACGGAATCATCTAAATTTTGGAGAATTTTACTCTTATACATGGTCTCAAGAGGATTCCTCTGAAACTAAGAGGAAAATATTATAAACACATTATTCTGAAAGTTAGAGGAATTACATGTTATATGTATAATACAAATCTTGTTGATTTTAATATAAATTTCCTCTTACACACAGATTATTTAATATTTTTTTAAGAGGATTATTATTATTATTATTTATTTTTACTCTACTTTATTCTTGCTGGTTAATTTGAAAAAATTATATATATATATATATATATTAATAAGCGGACATTCGAATCAACATATTCCTCTTTATATGAGAGGAAAATTAATTGAGATAAGAGGAAATCCTCTTGAGATAAGAGGAAATAGAATAATATCTAGCAAATTTTAGATGCATTTAGTTTACTTTAATCGAAAGAAAGCGACCAATCCTTTTTCTGTAAAAGGCTTCGTTTAGAATATGAGATTGTGAGAAAAATCACAACTTTACAAATAGAATACTTTTTTTTGGGTGCACGTCGGTGGAGAAGCTTTATTTAAGCGAATTGCGAATTTGGTGGCTTGATCGCGCTCGTCGGTCGCGCACGCTTCGCTTTTGGGGTCAACCGACGCACACGAAACGGGATGTTTTACAACGAGTTTCAAGCTTGTACATCAACGAGTATAAACAAGCGTGCCGTGCGCTCGCGCGTGCGTGCAACCGGTCGACCGGCGAGCGAGTCGGAAATTTCGCGCGCGGTACGCCAACGTCGAAGCGGGATGACGCTGCTTTAATCCCGATTAATTTACTGGCGTTTAACGCGCGCGAGAAATCGCGATCGCGTTCCGTCTGGATATAATCGCGCGCGCAGCTTCCATCTGCTGACCCGATTCCGCGCTGACGCGCGCGTACGCGTGCGTCGCGCTGATTGTTGTATCTCATTAACGCTCGATTAGGGAGAACCGTGCGTGTCTAGCGTGTCTAGGTGATCGACGCGCCGTTCGATAACGCTAATCGATCCTCTCTGCCCGTAGATTATCGAATTCAACGACGTAAATGACACGGCACTGATTGACACTGCCGACGTCGCCAGTACAAACGTATTGCGTCCAGAGTATTTCTACTGGCGGCTTGTGTCCATGTCGAAAACTGACGAGTTTGTCTACCTGGATATGGAGGGTAACTCTTATAACGATACAGCTAAGAATATCAGCAGATACGGGAGTATAAAGCTTTCGGTAAAGTATTTTGAGCAGCATTCCAGAGAAAATATCGCGCATCTTTCTGTCTGTCTGTCTCTCTTTTTACTCTTCTCTCCATCTTCCCAGTAGTACATAGCGATGCATGCGGAAATAATTACACGTGGTGTGACAATGAGATCGATTGCGCGACAACAGTAGCTTCAAGTTTGAACGCAATCCTCTGGCTTCCTTTTGTCCCGCTCACGACTCGCACGACGTAGCACCCGGCTAAAGCCTTCCTCTCTCTCTCTTTGCGATTTTACAGCTGCGAGGATTCTGCACCGTCGACCACTCGGACATAGTGCCGCATATGTTGCACACGGAGAATTCGACGCAAGTGGACATCATTCTTGATGACATACAGACTAACGCGAGCTTCTCCAGGAGCAGGTTCGCGATTGAGTTGCTCGTGGTCGGCGGCGGTGATCCTGAGATACCGATGTTCGTCGATCCGAAAAAGAGTCTGGACGACGAGCACACTCCGGGTATATTTGAGGTAACAAGTTACACGCGGGAACGGGCGATGAGCTGATCGATATTTTATTGTTTTCCTCGTTAAACGATTCGCGTCATCCTATCGATGCTTGCCGATTCGAGTGACTTTTTCGCTGCTCCTCGCTGAGCACTTGACTTTAATGCACGCATACTTGCTTCAAGTATTCACGTATTATTTTGAAATTTATCCTGCTTGGAATTTATCAGCTTTCCGTATTATGATTCATCATGAAGAAGGATTCTTGGTTCTACCTGATAAGCGAAGGCAAAAGTCTGTCCGACCGTTCGGGATCGTGTTCGGGACTGGAAAGTAAAAGTTTCGCCGATCGGTTTCTCAGTCGCGCGCATTTTGAATTGGAAAGGCCTTTTGACACGTAATACTTGAGAATGAAATCTTTTGACCTGCTGTTGAGTCGTAGTACTAAAAAGTAATAAGGCCACCTAGTCTAGTCGCTGTTCCGTGCTCCGACCTCGGTTTCTCATTGAAGAGAACAGAGGCGGCTCGTAGCGGAGGCTTCAGAACTAATTAGCCAAGACTCGAACCCGATTAGCCGAGGCTCAAGCCTGTTAAGCGTAACGAGCTTTCTCACAATACCGTCAGGTGACGCCGAGTGGACTGTTTAATCGCGTTCCAGCGGAAACGCTGTTTTAATCGACTCTCATGTCGAAGTGTAATTTAAATTCTTGTTACGCGTACTTTGCTTTTATTTCCAAATAGCGCGACTCAAAGGCAAATGAGGTTATGAAAAATGGTATTTTACAAGCTCCGGATCTTTGATGATCGCCCATTTATAGATACCGATTCCTTGTCTCAACAACGCTCGAGCTTGATTGTGTAAGCTTCTGTTATCTCCAGCAGAGAACCAACTCGTACTATTCGCTGTCGCATATATTTCTCGTTTCAAGTTGGAAACGAAATTATAACACACATTCTGAAATCGGTGTTCGTCTCCAGGTGGTCGAAGTCAGAACGCCGCCTTACAAGGACTTGGACATCGCGCTGAATGCCGGAGCGTATTTGCAGTGGCGTCCGGTTTCGTACAATACCGGCTCGCGTGAGGTAACCAGTTCCACGGAGACAATGCAGTATCCTCCGAAGAAGGTGTCGAATCGTACGAACGCCATCGACAATTCCATGCTCTACTGTTACTACGGAAAAGACACAGACGCTCTCCTTCTACAGAAAGTCACGGTTTCCTTCGGCTCGAAGGGAGACGGTTTCTACAGGAAGACGAGTTACTCGACATGGTGAGCGGTCGCTTGAGACAACAACAATATGAAATACCAAGCTCCAATATCCCCAATTAATCCAGTCTTCTTCTTTTTTCTCGCGCAGGACCTTCATTATCGGATACGGCACACCACCCGAGGAGAGATTCTCCAATCTAGTGATTATGATAATCTCAATCGGCCTCGGGCTTCCTTTGCTCATCATGGTCATCGTCGGCCTGTACCTTTGCATTCGGAGAATGCCGAAGCGACAAGGCGACGTTTACCTAAGTCAATGAAAGTGATCGCATCGGGGCGACCAACGAATCGCCGGTCGTCAGCTTCGCTCGCTGACGATGTTCACGCGAGTCGCGCTCGAGCCGTGTGGTTTGCTTGTGTGTCGTGTGTACGTTTAGGTACACAGGGTACACCGTACCACCGTTTGTTCTATACAAAGAGATATTCCTATATTTATGTACGACACATATATTTTTACACGAACTGTTTAGCTCGGATCTGATATTGCAGTGTGATATTAAGCGCGAGTGTTGGAGTCGGTTCTCCCGCGGCGTACTCGGCGCTCGCGCTTGCGACTCCTCGTCTCATTAGTAGCCTTAGATAATAACACGTGTACCATGCAGAGAGAGAGAGAGAGAGAGAGAGAGAGAGAGCGCGAATTCACGTGTTTCTGTTTGCATTTGCGCACGAACGAGGGATGCGTCGTGCTCGGCGCCGGGTACGCTCGTCGTCGTCGGGGAGACTGCGTCGGCGGAGAAGTGCGATTGATTTATACAATTAGAGGAGAGAATCGAACTTTTCTAGGCGATTTGTGATCGAACGACGTGCACGATTTATGGAAAATATATCTTACTCCAAGTTGTACACCAAGTCTCTCGTACAAGGCCTCCTTTCTCACGACATCCAGTCCTTGCGTCTGATCATCGCGCACCGCTTAGAGAATTCGCAGTGGAACGACGGAACTCGCCAAGCCGGGGGGCGAGGTCGACACGCACGTGCGTGAGGGGGAAGAACCGCGGGCGAGCTTACCGAAGCTCGCAGGGTATGGTCGGACGGACGGTTGCAGGGCCGCGCGCGCGTGCGGCCGGGCAGATGTTTTCAGGCAGAGGTAGTAAGAGTGGCGCGGTGTGGTACCGTGGCTTCTCTCCGTCGCAGGGAGAGCGGCGGGGACGCCGTCCACGGCGGCACGGCTGGAGGGGTACATTTTCATTGATCCAGCCCGTGTGCTACGGAAGCGCACCACGCAAGCACTTACGAGCCCTGAACGGAGCATTGATCTCAACCCCGTCGTCCGTATCGCCGGCGGTACCCCCTGTCGATTGCGCGATACTCGTCAAGCAAATCGTCAACTTGCACCCCTACGACACCACGCTCCTGGCGTCGCGACGTCGCGGCCGATTCTCGCGACGACGTTCGCGATCGTTTTCGCAGGGCTGATCGTCCCGCTGTACAGGCCGGAGGCGCCGCGGACTCGGAACCCGCGCGATGGTTTTAACAGGGTTGGTGAGAGAGAGAAAGAGAGAGAGAGAGAGAGAGAGAGAGAGAGTGAGGAAGGGAGGGAGGGAAAGAGAACGGAGGAAAGAGGGGGTGGCCCACGTAGCGGATCGCGAATGGGGGTGCGGGTGTTGTAGCGAGCCATCCCGTGACTAGTTCTCGCGGAGTCCGCTGCGCGAGAGATTGGCGCGTGGCGATGCAGTAACGTCTCCGCGTCGGCTCGACTGATCGCGACAGTCGGCACCGAGGAGAGGAGGCTTTCGCGATACCGCACCGAGAGACGCACCGTAAGAGGAACGCGAGAGTGAGAGTCCGGGAGACAGATAGAGCGAGAGAGAAAGAGAGAGAGGGAAAGAAAAAGGGTGAAGGGTGGACTCGTCGTGGGTGCCAGAGAGAGGATCTCGCGCGCGAGAACAAAGTCTTAAGCTGGAGTTTAGCAGCAAGCGAGCGACCCTTCGTGCCGGTCTGCTCCGAGGGTGAGAGACGTCGGAGGTCGGTTCGCCGAGGGGGCGCAGAGGGACACCGTTAGCGACTGGAAGGCGAGGGAGGGCGACGGTTGAAAAAGAAGGAGAGAGAGAGAGCGGAGAGAGGGGGGGAGAGAAGGGGGAGGGCAGAAAACGGTGGTGGTAGGTGGGAGAAGTAGCGAAGGAGGACACACAGTGTTCGAGAGGGAAAGAACGTGGCCGCTCAGGGAGGGTTGGAGCGAGAGCGATAAAGAGAACGATCGTTAGCGCACGGGCGAGCGAGCGAGCGAGCGAGCGAGAGCGCGCGCGCGCACGTTCTCGGCCGCGTCCACGATCCGAGTGTCTATACGCAGCGGGTGTGCTTGTTGTGTATGCATGTGTATGTAAAATCCTCGTGTGTGCGATTATATGCGCGCGCGCGCGCGCGTGTCTATGTACGAGGGTGCCGCGGAGAGAGTCGACGACAGAACAAAGGGAGTGGAAAAGAAGGATCTGCACGGTCCCTCGCGGCGGACAGTTAAGGGCGCAACGAGATCACCGACAAGTGGTAGCGTGGCAGGTGTCTAACCGGACGTAAAGAAAGTGAGAGAGAGGAAGAGAGAGAGAGAGAGAGAGAGAGAGAGAGAGAGAGAGAGAGAGAGTGTGAGTGAGTGAGTGAGTGAGTGAGTGAGTGAGTGAGTGAGTGAGTGAGTGAGTGAGTGAGAGAGAGTGAGAGAGAGAGTGTGTGTGTGTGTGCGTGTGTGTGTGTACGAGCGCGCGAGAGAGGAATACGACCGCGCCAACACGGGCGACACGGACAGGGTACGAACGCGTCGACGGGCCTGTCCCCGAGGAAGGGACCGTCGCGCGCAACGCGATCAATTTTCGTTGCGGCGCGCGGGTGGACGGCTAGACGCGGACGGGCGTAGGACGGACGAGGCGAAATGACGAGGCGCGCGAGGCACCGATAACCGGCCGGATAATGTTGTCGCAGAGCAAGTTTTACGCTCTCTTCATCCACTACACGTTCGTGTAGCGCGACACGGGGCGGGTCCTTGCCGCTGCGGTGAAGAATAGAGAAGGTGGTGGTGTAGGGGGTGGAGGAGGAGGAGGTGGAGGAGGAGGCGGTAGAAGAAGAAGAGGAGGAGGCGGAGGAGGAGGAGGAGGAGAAGAGAGAGAGAGAGAGGAGCCGATAGCGGAGAAGAATAGAAAACAGTGGCGGAAAAGAAGAGAGAAAGCAAGGCGGTGGAAAAGAGAATCGTCCGAGAGCAAAAAGCGCCTCGAATAGCCCGTAGTCGACGCCATCGTTGTCCGAATCTGAGGGTGACTCGGAGAAACGGAAGTGCCGAAGTGGAGATCAAATAAAGAGTCATCCACTACGCACACACGCACTCATGCACGCACGAAAGGGGTAGGACATCGCGTGAGGAGGAGTTCCACGAGAAGTACCACGTCGTCGTCGTCGTCGTCGTCGTCGTCGTCGTCATCGTCGTCGTCGTCGTCATCGTCATCGTTGTCGTCTTCATAGTCGTGGTGGTCGTCGTCGTCGTCGTCGTCGTCGTCGTCGTCACCGTCGCTGTCGTCGTAGTGGTGGTAGTGGTGGTGGTGGTGGTGGTGGCCGTGGTAGTAGTGGTGGTTGTCGTTGCCGTCGTCGTCGGCTGTTCTTCTTCTGCATCGTCTGTCGATGTGAAAGTGCATCATCTCAGTGTCGTCGCACGGTGCTCGATTGTGCTACCCTTACCCCGAGGTTGAACGAGCAAGGCCCGCGGAGGTATCCCAGAACCCGCCCCCCTCTCCTCTCGACGTCGCAGTGCCTCTTTTCTCTCCATAACGCTACGTCGCGCTACGTCTGTCTCTTTTATGTTCGCAGCGGTGACTATCTACTCTGGTGGAGAGTGTTCGACCTCCTCAACCGTAAGTGTCATTCTCGTGTCATGTTACATGTATACGTGTGTGTGTGTGTGTGTGTGTGTGTGTGTCTGTGTGTGCGCGCGCGTGCGTGCGTGTGTATGTATGTAAGAGCAACCGTGTGTGTGAGAATGCGCGCGAGTATGTGAGTCTCCTTCACCCCGCGACACGAGTTTCTGAAAGACGTCGCGAGGGCGTCCGCGGATTCTTCCGCTCTTTCGGATATTTGTCGGATGCTTCCTCCGGAAGAGTTGTTCCTTCTATTCCGAGACAGACAGAGAGAGAGAGAGAGAGAGAGAGAGAGAGAGAGAGAGAGAGAGAGAGACACGGAGACGGCTCGCCGCATTCTTGCAGTCACGCATAGTACAGGTAGTTTTCCCTTTGCCTCGGGCTGATACGCGAAACGACAGCGCAACCTTTCGACGTACAACACACCGTTGTTTCTCTCTCCTCTTGATCATTTTTCTTCCAGACGGATATTCAGACAATAATAGACAAAAAGTTCGAGAGAGAGAGAGAGAGAGAGAGAGAGAGAGAGAGAGAGAGAGAGAGAGAGAGCCGCGTGTAAAAAGTATCTAACGCGTCGGGGCTGCGCTGTTACACGACGGATCGTTTGACATTCCATAGAAACAAAGGCGTAGCTGTCGTAAATATAGCACGAATAAGCAAAGTGTAAAAGCACGCGAATACGGGGGCGTACGCTATAATGATGTATATTAAAAAGATAATAGTCTTAAGGCGTACGACGGCGACAGGGCGGAGGGGTTATGAAAACGGCCCCGGTGCATTTCAAGTAGCCTAGCATCGCTTGGACTTGGTGGCATTTGATGTTCACGAGAGCACAGGGTGGTGCGCGCGCGCGCGCGTGTGTGTGTCTGTATGTGTTGGCGATCGCCCGGCCACGAGCGAAATGGCAGGATTAAAATACGGTGCGTTAGGCGCGGTGTCTCGCGCGTTGACGATTCAACAGAGCCGAGTAACGAGCCGAATTAACGACCATGTCCGCTTTTATTTCCATCGCAATCCCTCCTCTAATTAGGACGCGAAGAGAAGCAAGTAAAACGCAGCGCACGGCTCACACAGCTGTGCGAAGTATTTGACTCTCTCTCTCTCTCTCTCTCTCTCTCTCTCTCTCTCTCTCTCTCTCTCTCTCTCTCTCTCTCTCTCTCTCTCTCTCTCTCTCTCTCTCTCTCTCTCGATAGTCGTGTTTTTCGCTACCGAAGATGAAGGAAGAGTGCGAGAGAATCCCCGGGGAAAGTAGGGACAACGGAATCAACATGAGTTGTCGATGTCGCGCGACACGGCAAAGTCGCGAGGAAATCGTCGTGGCAGTCGTCGGGGGGGCTCGTGGAGGGCAAACGCGCGCGCGGAACGTAGGGCACAGAGGCTGGCCGCGTCTGACCAGTGCTTGATGCGCGACCACTTGCACCGACTCGCTCTCGCGATGCCTTCGTGCAGAGGCTGCTCGAGCCGAGCCGAGCTGAGCCGAGCCGAGCCGCGTGTGCACGACGTCGCCGTTTACATCGGCGGTGGTAACGAGGTCTCGATTACGAGGCGCGATAGCACGGCAATCGAATCGTCAAGGTGTGTGTCACACACGGCGGCGCATATATCGCGGGCACATACGTGTAGCGACCGCCGCGGCTGCCATTCCCGATATATCGATCGACGCTGCTGCGGTCAGGGATCGGTCGCCGTGAGCTCGCGACGACGATCAGCGCGAGAATCGTGCCGATGCCACGATGTTCGAATTCGCTCGCGCACCAAGCTCGGCCCGAGCTCGTCCCAGGTGTCCGAGGTGGCCGCGAAAAACTGGAGGAAGGAGCGAAGGCGAAAGGGGCGAAACGCGGCCAGCAAAGCCGTGACGTTCGTGACATTCGAGCCTGAGAGTCACCGTTCGGAAAATAGATAGAACTCGACGAATCAAGTGATCTCGATCTTGGTCCCTTCGTCCCTACGTCCTACGTTTCATCAGGCTCCAATCTCTCAGTCGTGATCTTCAATTTCTAATACTCCAATGGGGGG